TGACCATCACTTCCGTGGACAAGGTTTAGAAAAAAATTACTTTCTTGCGCTAAATAATTTTTTCTAAGCTCAGCTACTATGATATTTTGTTTTCTAGTGATATAACGAAGATATTCAGGTAAGTTTTGACAAAATTTCTTTCTTAAAAAAAAATTAATCAAAGTGTACCATTTTTGTAGAACGACCCAAACAATAAAATCTCACCTCCGTTACTATAACCTCACCTCCGTGAAAAGGCCGATCAATTTTTTTTAATTTCGCTAAAAACTGTTTATGATCTTTGTTGACCATACCTATGACAGTTATGTTCTTTAACTTAACAGTACAAAAATATATAAAACATATATTTTTAAGAAAAAATTTTATTTTTTTTTATTTTGTTGAAATGTGCCCGATATTTGAGAATGACCCAAGTACGGAAAATGCGAATTACATACAGTGTTACAAGTTATTATTACTAGTCATGTAATGTGTCATTTTGAAGAGGAAGAAATGTAGCTTGTGATAGTGGCAGCCTTCAGGGTTATTTCCGTTTTCTCTCACTAAGATGACGAAAATGCGTCACTACTTTCAAGGTCTCATACACAAAGTGCCTTGTATTCGCCATTGCGTGTAGTTGCCGGTGAGTTTTCGCTCTCGTTTTATCTGCGATTTATTACTAAATTTGTTATTATTTCGTATTGTTAGAGAAATGTGTGTGTATATATAACAGTAATCTTCATGCATTTTATTATGCATGAATATTTATTGAATAGTGTGAAATTGTATTTATAAAAGTTTGTATTTTTCTTGTGGTTGTATTTTGCGGTTTTCCGTTTTTTCAAGTTGTCTTTATTTACACAGTACAAATTTTCATACATGAATAGTGTCTATTGTTAGGCTACTTACTACGGTACTCAAATTAGCAATGAGAAACAGTTAAAACATTACTATATTACAGTCATTTAGATTATAATGCCCCTTACACGTAAAAAAAATTGTTACCTACCCAACGTGTTATAAAATTTTATGTAGGCAATTGAATACACTACAAGATGATTATGTTGGTTTGAAGTAAAAACATTTGGTACAAAAGTTTTATACTAAATACTGTGAATTTTTTTTTCACAAAATCGCTAGAACACAAAAACATTATGACTTTTTTTGGATTCCTTACTTTATTAGCTTTACAAACATGTATACTGTATAGTAGCCTATACCTACACATATAAAATATAACTTTTTACAACACAAACTAACACTGTATTTAGCCTACAGTTTTCAATTTTTTTCGGTTCTCCGTTTGTTATTATATTTCGCCCCAAAAACTTTTCCATAAAAAATCTGTAGAAAAATTTTACCGAGGCTGCTTTTGAAATTTCAAAAGAAAAAATATGTACTTATTTTTTTATTTTTTTCACTTTACCGAAAAAATTCAATGTCTAAATCATTATTACCTATTTTACTATATTTCTAGATTCTCCTGTTCTTTCCGAACAAAATGAATATAGGCTATGGTTGGCTAGGTTTACCTGTAGGCCTACGGTTGAATTTTTACGAATTTTCAAAAAAAGGTCTGCAAAATCGCCAAAATGGGTTGGCCATTCCCCACTGCTAGGGTTAACACACTCCTATCTGAAGTGTGCGATAGGCAAGAAGATGTTAATATCTTGAATTTGATGTGAAAGAAGAATATTATAAGTTAGGCTAGGCCTAGTGGCCACTTTTTAAAAACAGAATTAACTTACTCTTCAGTTTAAAAACGTCTTGTATAACGTTTTACGTGAGTTGGGCATTGTAATTAATACCCCAATCTTCAACTTAACCTATTAGGCCTATATAGTTTTTCATAGTAGGATATCAGGGTGTAAACTTAACCTTTCCCGGACGGGCGAAATCGTGACATAGAACGGGAAAAAATTATAAGAAAAAATAAAAATTAATTTTCCTTGTTTGTGTTTTGTTATACAAGACAAGTATACATAAAATAATAGGTACTTTCCTGTTAAAGGGAACATTCTTTATTATCGATGATTTCTTTTCAATATATCGATATTTTTTTATTTGATATAGGCCTACTTATTGATATCAACAAATTGAAACTTATCAGCTGACAACTACGATAAATAAATATTGTTCAGTATCAACAAACAAACAAAAAATGTTTGAAATGAAACTGTTCTTAACTAACCAAACTTGCTGTAACATTTCAAAATACCCACAGTTTGATAGCCTATTCCCCATGCCTTTTCTATTATCAAACGGAATTTTGAAATGGTAACTTAGCCTACAGCAAGTTTGGTTAGTTACGTTAGGTTAGTTTAGAATAGTTTCATTTCTTAATCTAATAGGCTAATATTTTTGCCTAAACAAGATTAATTATCAATCCTATTCTCTAATACTCTGTGAGCTATAACCATCGATGTATAATAACTCTACTGGATAGCCCGCTATGTGGTGGAAAAACGGTCTGTGCCCGCCAATCGAATTGGCGGGATACCGAGGCGGACGGGCTGAATGAACCTCTCTGTTTTACACAAACATACATTCACTCAACCTGCTCTGCTATATTTATTTGTTAACATAAAAATTTCAAATTGATAGGCCTATACCGTTTTATTTTTCTAGAAAACCAGTGCTTATTACTATGTAGTTAGTTTTTACCTTAACATATTTTTAGCGAATTTCCCTATAGGGAAGTAGCTATTACCGTAGGTGGCACGGTAAGACCTAGACCTGGGACCGATTTAATTTTTCATTTTGATGTCCCCAGAGGCCAAAAACACTATTCGTTCAAATTTTTATATATGTATATATATATATATATAGACATATATATATATATACAGGGTGTCCATAAAAAACGTTTCAGGACTTTGGGAAATGAATCCCCATACTAAAAGGAAGAAAAAAGTTTATGGGAAGGTATGTCCGAAAATGCATATTAACCCAGATATCCGCCATTTTGTTTTTTATACAAAAATTTTTTTATCTGTGAAGTTTTTTATTCGACGATTATGAAATTTAGTATACATGTTAATATACACAAGACCTATAATAGAAAAAATAATAAAGTTGTTCCGATTGTAAATTTCAAAATGGCGGCCGTTTGAATTTTTCTAACTTAAATAACTCAAAAACGGCTAATTCTATGAAGAAATGTCAAGAATACTTTTTTTTAGCATTTTTAATTTCCTATCAAACGATACCAAGATCAAAAAGATCGGACAAAAGATAACTGAAATATAACGTTTTTTGTGTAAAAATAAGGCAAAGTTAGTAGAGGAACCCTTAATTTTTACATATAATTTTTTAATAAGCATTCAGCTGTGCCATGTGCAAACGCTCTTACACTCACAAATGCGACCTGATCAGGCACCAGAAGCAGGTATGCGGCAAAGATCCTCAGTTCATATGTCAGTTTTGTGACAAGAAATGTTTCTTATATATATATATACGTCCGTGAACGCGATAACTTGAGTAATTTTTGTCCGATTTTGATGAAATTTGGTTTAAAGGTGTAAAGCGGGATAAACTTGAATGAGTTCGCGAACCAGCATGATCGGACCATGGGAACGGGGCTTTACGGGGGGTTTTATGGGGTAAAAATTGGTTTTTCTCACTTTTGACCCTCAAAACACAAAATTTCCCAATTTCTCTTTAGACCTTTTTAAAGAGCTTAAAAAAACAAATAATTTAGTATATGAAAGTATTTTTGTTCGATTATTAGTAACGGAGAAAATTAAAAAAATTGTAAATTTAAAATTCCCATGTTATTTTTATGGAGAATATTGTCAAATGTTGTAGTTTGCTTGTTTATGAATATATTTTGATCAAACTTGGCAAATTTATTTATTTTCTACTAAGCTATCAATATTTTACTCAAAAACACACTTTATTAGTTTCCTTGTAGCAGCAAACCTAGGTACTCGTTAAACCTAATGTTATTAAAATATATTTAACTGAAAATCAATTCAGACAAATGGAAATTCGCTTAGTCGGCAGGTTTGCTGCGGCGGGGGTATTTATAATTCATTATACATTCGAGTTATTATAGGCTACATCGATGGCTATAACTCAATAACTAGGTTATTGAACCAAGTATAACTTAAACATATATGCTATGAATGTTTGTCTGTCTGTAATTTAGGCCTAAATGCGTTTGAAGTTATTACAACAGATGGAATATGGATCGTAAAGGAAAACAAAAATATCGATATATCGAAAAGAAATCATCGATAATAATGAATGTTCCCCTTAACAGGAAAGTAACCATAAAATAAACACAATGGAACACTTCACACTTGTGAAAATAATTTTTTACTCTTTTTTAACTATGCGTATATATCCGCCACCCGTCTTTGAATATATAGACCATGACAACGTTAAGCTATAAATAAAGAACAATGTGTAAACAATGAATAATGACAACGTAGTGTTGAGCGCAAAACGTCGAGAGGGGAGCGTAGGAGAGGTAAGGGGTGCGCAGGAGAGGGGATGGCTAGGAGGGGTAGGCGCGGGAGAGAGTGTAGCCATGAAGTGAGCAGGAAAGTGGCGCCTTGGTACCGCGAGACATCTGGTTTCTGCTCAATCACCTGCCAGTCTGTCTGAAGAGAAGGCGGTTATCCGCTTCCCGTCCAGAACATCAAAAACCATAAGCGGATATATCCACCACCCGTCCTTTATTGCCAAAGACTTAGGCGGATATATCCGTCACCCGTCCGGAAAAGGTTAAGTTAGCTGCCCGTTGACAGTTAATGTGGGTGTCAAGTGTTATGCTAGACCAAAACTGACATAGCCTAAGTTAGGCCAATTTATTTGAATGTAGGCCTAATCCTAGGGCTACAGAAAGCTTAGAAATAAAACAGTTTGATATAAGTTAAGCTGATACGGCTTTGACTAACACATTCTGCTCGAGACTAGGTATAACCTGGAGCTATGACTCCCGGCTGTCGATGCGATAAGGCTCACCACAAAATTAAGTTTAAAAATGCAAAATCCATAACTAATAAGTTGCTTACCAAATTGGATTCGGATTCTGTCGCCATGGTTAGCAGTAGGCTTACTACCAGTTCTCGTTTAAATACGTGTCCGTAAGCCGTAAGCAAAAGAAAAGACTTAAATAATTATTGTTTTCCACTGAAACAACCAGCAACCTCAACAGACAAACAACACACACAACACAACGAAACGACGACAACACTCTTGCTCTTCTCTTCCTCTTCCCTTCTGCTTCTTCTTCTCTTCAATCTTGGTCCGAGAAGAGAACAGGCGGCAAAACTAAAGCCAGTGTTGCCATAATAAGTTTTTTTCCCGTTTCCATTTAGCGGCTTAGGTATGTGTTTCATCATAGTTATAACCACAGATAAAACCATGTAGTTCTATCGTTCTCTGAATTTTAAAATTTTGTATTCCTCATTCCTCATTTACTGAAACCTGCTTTTTACTTTATTTCCGTAAATAGAGTAGTATAGTATCATAGATAAATAATGGAGTATGTTTTATGTGGGTAGTATGGAGTTAAAGGTGGCCGTGGATATACAGAGGTGTTCAAAAAAGGTGGGGTGGTGGGGACATAATTTACGTAGTGATTCCTTGGGTCAAAATATAGAGAAAATCAAGAAAAACATTTTTTTCAAACACAAAATCTTTTCCAGGTATCCACCATTTAGTATTTTTTACATTAACATTTTTATCTTTGAATTTTCAACAGATCAATGTTAGAAAAAAATCATCTTGATTCGCCTTTAAATTTCAAAATGGCGTCCATTTAAATTTGTAAACTACTCAAAGCTGGCTGATTTTATGAAAAAATGTCAAGAACACTTTTATTTAACATTTTTAATAGCTGAAATATTCCGATTTTTTGTTGTAAAATGGAGCAGACCTAATAGGTCTACTTGCTTTGGTTTAACCTGACTGATCACTTATTGCAAAGAAAAAAAAGAAAAAAACTGGCCAGTTAAAAGTTAAAGCCAGTTAAAGGCTGTAGACGCTTGTTATTTACCCTCACCAGAGGTTTGATTTTGATTAAATTTGGTATGTGGATACTAATCCATGGTATATCTAATGTGCAAGACTGGTCTAGGCGTGGACAGATCAGCAGATGGCCAGGATCCTAAACAGCACCACACGCACACAAGATGTTTTATCCGTCAAGTAAGAGACCCCATTTCTGCATGTGTGTCTTGTATTTTGGTACCTCGACCCTGATTTTCGATTTAGGGTCTTCCACACCGTGTAATGTAGGTCTACACCAGGAGCCATAGTTCCTCCTTCACTGGTATGGGAGTGTTAGTCAAAGTGGCCTCCCACCTTGCCACCCAATTGCTTGAGAGTGATCCATCCAGAACTCGTGTCCGTTATAGAAAATAGCACATTATGTCCAAATCTACCAGAAAATGAGAAATAGCCAAAAATATTTTCCATGGAAAATGAGGAATTGAAAAAAATCTACTTTGTTTACATTTAACATGTGATTACACACAGCCTTTCTCTGGAGGAACAAAACTCCCCCACCACCTCGCCGAACCAAACTTGCTGATACAGTAATATAAAATACCGCAGCCCGCAGCAAACCTGCGGACTAAGCGAATTTCCATTTACTTGGCTCGATTTCTACTAAAATATTCCCCAAAAATTGTCAGATTTATTTCCTATTTAAATCAAATTAATTTGAGGAAGTGCTTAGGTTTGCTGCTACAGGGAAGATATTGAGGTATGTTTTTTTATTGCAATGTTTTGATATAAGTTAAGCTGATACGGCTTTGACTAACACATTCTGCTCGAGACTAGGTATAACCTGGAGCTATGACTCCCGGCTGTCGATGCGATAAGGCTCACCACAAAATTAATAATGATTAATTTTAAAAATTAATATTTTTTTTGTCATAAACTGATGTTAGCTTGGTATTAGCTTGGTATTAAATAAACCGTATTTCCAAATTCGATTAAAATGTATCCATTAACAAGCAAACTACAACAGTTTATTATTCTCCATAAGAATAAAATGGGAATTTTAAATTTACAATTTTTTAAATAATCTCAGTAACCGTTGGGCATACTGGCATACAACATTTCAATATACAAAATTATTTTTTTTAAGCTCTACAAAATGGTTTGGAGAGAAATTCAGAAATTTTTTATTTTGTCATAAAACCCCGTTCTTATAGTCCGATCATGCTGGTTCGCAAACTCGTTTGAATAAACGTAGGTTTACACGTTTGTACCAAATTTCATCAAAATCGGATCATTTTTGTTCGAGTTATAGCGCTAACACACACATATATATAAGAATTTGAACGGATGGTGTTTTTGGCCTCTGGGGACTTTAAAACGAAAAAGTAAATCGGTCCCGGGTCTATGTCTTACCATGAGACCTACGGTAATAGCTTATTCAATATATGGGAAATTCGCTAAAAGATAGGTGGTGGGGGGTTTTGGTCCTCTAGAGAAGGTCTTGTTGTGATTACAAGTATCAATTTTTATTATCTACTTTTAATTCTAATGATAGAGTGCGTGTAGTTTGTTTTCTAATCAGCAAACAATTTCGATGAATTTGTCTTTTACTAACGTGATCTAAAAATTATTCACTTACAATTTTCGAAGCCGCTGTGTGAAAGATCATTTGATTCTTAGTTTGTTTAAATATAACAATAATTAGTTTTTCATTTAAGCTCTTTAGGGAATTGTGTCCCTATTACATGCCACTATTGTTAACTTGCTGGACAACTGTGAATTTATCAATAGACTGAAAACTGTGAAAGTGCTTGAACTGGCATACAGATTTGTTTAGTTTTTGTTACCTGACATGATTATTTTTGCAAGATCTATTACTGGAGAGATTATTGCTCATGCCATTTATTTATATTATGCCTTTTACCAATTGTTCATAACTCTAAAGAGATTGTAAAATAAAATAAAGTAAAAAAATATCTTGTTTGACATTACATTATATTGAAAATTTGACCATGCTCTGTGAATAATCAGGTTGGTTGTCACAGGATATTAGTAAAATCTAATAAGAGAGTTGACACTTTTTCATAAACATAAAAAATTTATAAGACCGGTTTTTACAAGGATTGTCAAGCAATGATCAAGTCTTTGGCTGCTTTATTTTATCAAATACATAACAAAAACTTACAATTTAGAAAATCCTTAGATATTTATATTAGATCAACAGTATAATAACAATACTTACTGTACCCAAACTATTGTGGGGGGATACTTAAAAGTTACAATGTTGGTAAAATAACCTAATTATGCTTTCAAACATATCACCAATTGGACTTGTATTTGTTGAAAAGTAAAACCCATGTATTATGTATTCATTAGACATTACAAGTTACTTTTTAACTAGTTGAAAAGAATCAACCGTCCAGAGGCTATTGGCAAATTATATTTTATTAGAAAATAATTATTGTACGATGCAAAAAAGCTATTAGTAGGTAGCTGACTGCTTTAGAACCATACTCGTCTCCCATATGTCACAATATGTAGTACTGTACACAAATGTTTAACCAGTGCATTTTACTATAGCACAAAACAATAATTCATGCTTGAAAAGCTTAACTACATTTATTTACAAGTGCAATGGTATTAATAATGCCAGGGTCAAGGTTTTTTCATTCTCAATTACATTATGTTTTACTTCCTCAGCTTTAAATCTCGGTCTGATTTTCTAACCTTTGTAACCCTTGTAATCCAGTTTGTCAACTGTTTTTTTTTCATACTTCATTAGAACATTTTCTACTTCCTTTGGTTTTTCATTGTTTGCTGCTTCCATCTTTTATAGATGGGAACTAAATTCTTATAGAATACCAAATCTTTTTCCTCTCTAGATGTGTAATTTTGACCATCATGTTTTTTACTTGTGCTACAATTAAGTTTCACTAACTTATTGCCTACTTCTACATTTGATTTTGAACTACTATGAATATTCTGCTTGATATAATTTGACTCATAGCTTTGGGAACTCTTTTCGGGAGGGTTGCAATGTTGATCCTTCGGATATTTTGCTTTTGTTTCACTTCTGTTTCTCTTGTTATAACAAGTTTTGTCGTTTGTTAGCACCATCTTTTCATTTTTAGTTTGTACAGACATTTTACTTTTGGTTTTTTTGGAGTTTTTCTTAATGGCTGGTGGGAAAAAGCCTGAACCAAAAGACTCTTTTCGAGTCCCGTTAACCAAAAGATGATGAAATTTCTTTGAAACTGATGTTGAACCACAAGCTCTACTAACTTTTTGAATTTGGTCATTTTTCTTGTCCATTTTCTCGAACATTTCTAGAGTCACACAATTTTCTTCAAGGTCAGATACTGTTTTGTCACTTTCATCCTCTTCTTTTTCTTCGTTTTGTTTAGTAACTTGAGCAGGGGTACAAGTCGTCTGTTTAGAATGAAAAATTTTGTTTAAAATTAGGTCCTTCATTTTCTTCTGGTCATGATTTAAATGTATTTTTTGAAAAGGTAAATCCTCACGTGCTTTATACATTTTTGAATGAAACTTGCTTCTCAAAACTAAATTTCTAATTTTCTCATAGTCATGGCAACGATTCTCTGCTCGTTCAACCATTTTCTGGTTTTCAGCTTGTTCTACTATTTCCTGGTTTTCAGGTTCAACAATTTTCCGGTTTTCAGTTTGTTCTACTATTTCCTGGCTTTCTGTTTGTTCTACCACTATCCGGTTTTTAGCTTGTTTTAACATTTTCTTGTTATCAGCATGTTCCACCATTTTTGGGAAGGATGAGGAACTCTGAAAACCACGTCTTCTGGAATATGTTAATGCTTCACTGAAACTCATTACAGGATATTTTTCTGGTGATATTACACGACTTGCAAAGACTATGTTACCAAGAACATTTTGTTGGTCATTAGTTCTATTATCTCTCTCTTTCTTAGACACCTTTTCATTAGTCTGAAACATCCTTTGGTCTGTTAAGTTCTTGTTAACCCCATGGACAGTCTTTTCTATCAACATCTCTTTCCTCATCACCGGCATAACACTTGGTTCTGAACTAACACATTTGTCATATTCTTGATCTACTTCCTCCATGGATGTAGTAGCATTGGGTTTCAAAATTGGTTTTAAAGAATGTTTTGAAATAAACTGGCTTGTATCAGTTAACAGCGATACACATGATGCAATCGGAACCTTATTTGGAATGACAGTCTGGTTGTTTGGAGAGGAATCACAATCACCTAACGTATTAATTACATTACTCTTTAAGCATTTATTGATCAAACCTTTTTGAACTGTATTCACATCTACATCACTGGTACTTGAAGCTTGTTCACTTGATTTGTTTGGGACAACCTGTTGTTCAAGAACATGTTTCTGTGACAATTCTTCATCAGACAAAGTAAAGTACTCTTGACTTGAAAGCTGATTAGACAAAGCTGTCTCAAAGGGTGATTGTATTACCTTTTGAGAAACTTGGACATCTTGATTAAGTTCTTCCAAAGACACTCTAGGAGAACAATAACTCCTCACGATCAAATCTGGATCTTCGTTTGCTATTTCAGATTCATCTTTTTTATCAACACTTGAGTTTTGACTCATACATTCCTTTCCTTTTAAAGCTGGAGCAGTTTTAGCCTTAATTTCCACAGTTTTCAAACTAGCCACTGAATGACCTTTTGTTGTATAACTAATGACATTGTTCTTTAGACCACTTGCAGCCCCAACACTAATACCGGGTTTGAATGATGTTTGGCCGATTTCTTCAACAGTCTCAGAATTTATGCAAAATTTTAAAATGCTTTCCGGTATAACATTACAATGGTACAGTTTTGATTTTTTATTGATTTTTACTACGGGAAACAATTGTTTAGGTTTAATTTCAGAAACAAATTTTACAATCTCCGAGTGGCAACTATGGTCACTGTAGGGGATTTTGTAAATGCCGTTATCCATGTCAGTATCTGTATCTTGGAGTTTGGTGCATGGAGGTCTTGTAGTATAGAAAGCAGTTAATAGAATGGATATCACAGGACCTTTGCTGGCTCGTCTGAAACAGATAATAAAAAGAGTTTTTTACACTAAACACAATGGTTGTTTTTACTATCTTTCTATATAGGCCCCTACAAAGTATATAGAGAAAGTATTGTTTTGTCAACATTTTCAAGTTAGATTTTTGGATGGAAATATCCATTTTGGGTAGCGGTTTTTATTTTGGTTTTCCAAGTGATGGCTGGTTGTGTTTGTAAGTGTGTGTGCGTGGATGAGTAGAGAGCTGCTTGCTACTCCTGTTATCCAATCCAGGGTTTTTACACATTTTTTGAATTTTATTTTACAACCCCAAACGTTAAGATTACGGTTTGAAAGTTATTGCAATTTTTGTAAGTTTCCTCATAAAAACCCTCAGTTACTCCACCCGGTTACCCAATATAATTGTTTTAAATGTTTTTCTCATAAAAGTAGTATCTCATAATGATAATAATAGGATGATAAATTTTACTGTAAAGCTAATGGAAAAAAGTATCAGTCAGTTTGCTGATACCGTTTATTTATGTATGTCTTGTACTTGATTCTTGTTATTTGACCATAATGATTTTTTTCTCACAATAATTTTGCAAAATCCAGTTAATGGCAGTTTTAATTTAATGTATTAACTGAATATTTTAGGCACAAAGTCTCAATCTTTCACGGATAACATCATGTAGTATCGATTTAGGTTATGTTTTAACTGAAGATTTTGTTGGGCAATCAATTTTTTCGGGGTCCTAATGCAGGATTGTCGGATTTCTTTGACTTTGTCATAACATTCAGTTTTTTGTCGGCCAAGTGAATGCCCTTTCAAAACACTAACTGTGCCACTACCACCGGGCACTCTTTTGTGCATGCCATGGTTAACATTTCATCCCTTGTTACACGGGAAACAAAACTTAGTTGTTATAACTTCTAAAATAACCTTCTAAAATGTTTAGTTACCTTGAATAGTACCCAAGCAATTACCATTTACAATCCCGGCATTCTTTTGTGGACACCCTGTATTATCAGAATCCAAAGCAATCTAAAATCTCACAATTTGCATACCTTTGATGGTAGTAGAGACTAAACATGCTATTTCCTAATTTACTATATCAAGGGTTTGGCTGGTTTAAAGTAGGGAAAGTCCATAAAAAACTATAAGTAGATAGAAAACTGATTGTTTCACAAAAGCATACAGATAACATCAATATACAATTTACATGGGGTCTACAAATGAAACATCAAAAAACACACAATAAACATGTCACAGGAAATTGAACAACACTGTGTAAAAACTCACATTTTGTTAATGAATCGTTCATTTACATCATTGATCTGAGCTACCAGTATACGGGCTTCAGAATGCTGAGTAGTGAACAAACGATCCTCGTAGCCAAGATATTTGAGAATAGCAAGTTTATCTGATGTAACACAGATTTTTTCCTGAAAAGAGAGGATTTATAGATTAAAATTAAACAATTGTATGATATTCACAGATAAACTAATATATTATGTGACTATTTAAAAACTGTATACTATGTTACATAACCATTTGAGCTTGATAGATTTTTCTCGAATTTAATTATTTGTAACTATTATTTCTTTACCTTAAAAATCCAAAAAATCTAATAATTATAATTCAAGTGTTAGGTAGACACACACACACACACACACACCCACACATAGTAAGGATAACTAAATAGAAACAAAACCCTGTTTCTAAACCTAAATTCTTTTACGTGGTCCTCTCCTGCCAACTTCTGTCCCAAACAGGAACTCCTTATGGGTTTGGTCACCTCAATCTTTGGGGTTGTCTGTTGCTGGAGAGAAAAATACCTTTGGCTGCATGGCCTTTAACCACAATCCAGAACTAATGGTCTGCCACCCAACCAACATTGTCATGTCAGGGTTTTAAACTAGAAGACAACCTGAATACAGTAGGTGGGGGAAATATAGGACACTATTTGGAGACAAGTAAATAATATATTATGATTACTAAAATTCTCTTTTTGAATATACACATTTTTTTTTGTTTTACAAAAAGCCTGTTCCTTTGAAAATCATAATAGGACAAACAGTTCCCTGTTAGAAAAATATTTATAGATACCTTAAACTCCAATGCTAAAGCTCGAAGCACCTCTTCCTTTCCTAGTTTTCTTAAACCCAGCAGAATACTGTGATCCGGATGTTCCCTGGAAAGTAGGAGTTATAAAAGAAGAGATAAGCTGTTATCTTAAAAAATCAACAAATAACATGGATGCTACCAAAACAGTCCTAAGTCAACTTTCAAACCAGACTCACTTAGCCTAGCGTAGGTGATGATTATTTATTTATTTAATAACGATACACATTACTGCGATTTCTATAGTTGGATTTCTGCAGTACCTGGTTTTAGTTGTTTAATGAACACAATTGCCATTTCTTCATTTTCTTCTTCTTATATTTAATTGTTTATACTATTTAGATACGGAGATAGTATTTAAGATTTTATTACACTAACTCCACTTAATGAATAGCCTAAATCGTTGAAGTACGTGTGTATAATGGATTGCAATACATTGTATAGTTTTGCCTTTACTCATGACCATTATTTTTAAAAAATTCCAAAGATCTAGAACAGGTTCTGTTTCTTACTGACAAAAAAAAGCCTCCAAATTTTCTCATGCCTAAACCAGCCCCATATTGTATTTATTTATGTACAATCATCACATTTAGGTAGTTGTCATAAATTATAGTCTAATTTACTGATTACTAAGAGAGCACTATAATTGGTGATCCATAATATATAAATCCCAGAGTACCCATGAACTTTAGAGAAAACTAAAAGTCACCCCCCCATAAACCATATATGTACTTAAAATGTTCGTCATGAAGAGAAACCTTGCTATCCATTTATAACAATCCATTATTTCATAAATTGCACTTTAAGGTCGTAATTCCTTTCTAAAGGGAACATTCCATATACCTAATGTAAAAAATACCTCAGCTGTACTTATTTGTTTGTTATTCTTACAATTTAATACCTTTTTAAAATTAAGTGTGATTATTTGTTTTATTACTGTATTCTGTTTTGTTTATTTCAGCTTAACTTAACCAATCAATAGTTTTATTAATACTTATGAAGTCAAACGGGGTGAAGCCCGTGGGTAACAGCTAACATAAATAAAAATTTACTTTACGAGCTTGATTAAATCCTTCAATGCTTCTTGGCGTGGTGGAAACTCACAGTTTTCAGCTGCAAACGTGTTGTCTAAGTAAAGTGTGTCCACTGCCTGTTAAAAAGAGTAAATGGAAAACATATTATTAAGCTTTCACACGGAAAAATAAGGTAACGATTTTACTGTCTCTTAGATATTCAAATAGTATTTGACTATTATGGAGGATGCCAATTGGCTTATTTTAACCAAAACTTGAATATAAGATATAAGATGATAGTGGGACGAGTGGGATGCCTTATATAGTTTTTTTACTGACCAGGATCAGCGGGTTTTTTTTTGTCAGGACCATTTAGGCTAAATAACCAACGACAGGTGGGTACAGTTTCAAACTATAGACTTTTGTCAAGTTCAAAAAGGTTCTAATTGTTGAAGGGGCACTAAACACCCAGCTAAGTTAGCAGTTAAGTTATTGAACTTGTTAAATATATTTTAAACGTTTAGTTTTTGGTAACTTAAATATGAAAGGAAGGCAAATTATGAGTGAAGCTAAGGAAATAAATTTATTTTTCAGATATTATAAGACAGACAAATTGGAGACTGAAATTTAGGTTCTCTTTTTAACCTTTTAAAATCACCTAAACAAATTTGCATCATAAAGATTTGTTGCCACTGTTGCCAGTAAGAACAACAAATAACACTGATTAGTTAAATGTATGCCTCATAAAAAGTAAAATTCTTAGAGTTCAAATTTAAAACTTAAACTAGAAAACTAACAGATTACTCACTTCATTTTCAATTAGCGATTTCAGCATCGGATGATCAAGCATTGTAGGACTGTAACGAAAGTCTCCGGTGTATAAAATGTTTCCAAAGACACCTAGAAACAGTTCTCCAAGTTAGGTGTTTATTAAACATTATTTTAAGGTCTAATTCCAACAAATACATCTAAAACCCTGGAATCCAGCCAACCGGGAAAAGCTCGAAGTGTAGCCTATTTGAATTTTGATCACGGTGAAAAGTCTGAGAACTGTATTTACAAATTGTAGGGGACCGGGAAATTTTAACTAGGCTTATGGCGATACATACAAAAAATTACTTAAGTGGATTTAAATTAAGGGGTGGACAACTTGGACAAAAGTTGACTAGACAGATTGTTCTTGCAAGTAGCATCTCTAGTCAATCATTCTACTACCTTTAACTCATCCTTAATGTTGTAGGCCTATGTGTGTTTGTGTCCCAGTAAAAACTTATTTACCATTAAAGCATGAATGTTAATATTCATATTTGTACATTATTTTATCAGAATCTAAACAAATCAACAGTTATATTTTGTTTATACATTGCTCAGTTGAAAATGACATAAAATAAGTTTTATTTTTGTTTGTTTTTTAGCGAATATTATTTAAGGTTTGGTTAAGCTAGGGTATTGATACAGTATTTTAAATAAAATCTTATTCTCCTTCAAATATTCATTGTTTTCTCCTGCTATCATTGAACAGTCTCTGACCGTTTTAATAAGATTGTGAATTTTATATTTTTATCTGAGGAGGGAATGCATGGCTCATAGATTGTGCTATACCGCAACATGAAACAAATGTTATTTACACGTTTCAATGTGTTTATCACAATGAATGGGTTAATATAATATGAGAAATAGATTTCAATAAAACAAATGTTTTGTGCAGTTTCTTTCTATTTTAATAATAATATACTAAGGCAACGGTTTATTTTCAGCGCAAGCATCCATCTAAAAATAAAGGGATTTCCCTCCAACGAAACAACAGTTTATGACACATTTCAGCCATAATTGTTAATAGCAATACATTAACATCAAAAAGTGTTGTAGAAGATTGCCTTGTAAAATGGATTGTCAATGGAATGCAGCCTTTCTCGGAAATAGAGAGGCCATAATTTATTAAACTTTGGTCATCTCTAACACGTCAAAAACTAATGTGTCGCACTACCCTTATGAAAAGAATTGATGACAGTTTCCATCAAATGACAGGTGAATGGCGAGCCAATTTGAATCCATAAATCATGTTTGTATCATGGGAAAAATGATATATTTCAGTCATAACAGATCGTATTTAGGCATAACTTGCAATTGAATTGATGGAAACCTTGAAAGGAAAATGTCACTTAGGCCTGCATGAGGATTAAAGGCAAACATACATACGATGTTCTGGCAAAAGGAGTCTCAGATGTTTTAATTAAATATAGATTTCAAAACAAAGTAGTTTTAACAATCACTGACAGCAGATCTAATTTCTTGAAGGTATTCAGAGTGTTTGGAAATGAGAGAGAAGCTGAAGAAGAAGTTGACGATGATCTTGAAATCGTGTCCCTTGAAGACATTCTCGAATCCCACGAACATTGTGATTTTGTAGGTGACACTTCTTCTTTGCCTCCACACAGAAGATGTGCTTGTCACACTTTGAACTTAGTAGCGACGAAAGACACAGAGGAAGCTCTAAAAACGGATCCGATATACAAAAAAGATGTCACGATCAGTCTTCATGAAATGCCAAAGTCTATGGAACAAGTCTAGGCAAAGCTCGAAGGCGGCAGATATAATCCGCAAGCACCTTGGATGTGGCTTGGTGACTCCAAATGCAACGAGGTGGAATTCTACTCATTCTTCAGTTTCTGGGCTTTGCAAGTTCCTTGGGGAGAACCATGATAGGATCCATCAAGTCTGTGACAAACTTGGACTTCCCAGTCTCGAAGGCCCTGAGATTAAATTCTTGTGGGTGAGTTAGTTTTGTTTTCAATCTATCACAAATATTGACGTTTTTACCCTCTCTCTGGCATTATGCCTTAACGGCAGAAGGTGAGAAAATCAATCTTAAGTACACTGATGTCATGGACCCGTTGCCAAAAGCCCTTGATTTCTTGCAAGGTGATAAAAATGTGTCGATTGGCTACTTACTGCCAACACTTCACCGACTGCTGCATTTTGTTGAAATGAAATTAGAAAGTCCCTTGAAACACTGCAAATCCCTGGCAATGGCGGTCAAAGTCGGAATCGAAAGAAGATTTGGGAATGATCTTTGGGCCAAAGATCTTGTTGTGGCAGCATGTCTTCACCCAAGGTAATTAAAATATATCTATGCACCATAAACATATGCCATTGATAATCCTTTGTTTTCACAGGTATTTCTGTGTAGTTAAAAAAATTCATAAAAGGTAGCTATTGTCTTATTACTTGATAGGAAGCCGTTGTGACTTAACTATATTGTTTCCTTTTATTTGTCTAGATAGATTCATTATGATCTTCAGATTGCTGCAATAAGCCTAGTGCAGTAGTGCTGCCCTTGATTTGTTTCAGCCACATGACCGCATGAACTACAAGGTGCATTTATAAATTTGTATACAGTGTGTAAATTAAGTCTGGCACACATTTTTTATCTTTTTTTCTATAGTAGATAGAAGAAATCAATTTGCGGGACTGATTAATAACAAATGTTAGGCACTTTTTACAAATTTTGAAAATAAAAATTCCCTTAAGGGCAAGGGGGGGTGGGGGGTAACTAAAGATTTTCAAATGACAACCCCCATCTTGTGACCCCTCATTTTAAAGGTCATTGGAAGACAAATCCAAAGATGTGCCTGAAAAAAAAATTTTTGCACCCTATCCAAGATGGCGGTTTAAAATGTACTTAGGGTTAAACCGGTAAATTAGGTATGGCACACATTTCTTATCTTTGTTAGTCTTTGTAGATAGAAGGAATTAATTTGCGGGACTGAGTAAGAACAAATGTTTGGAATTTTTTCATAATTTTGAAAAAAAATTCCCCTTAAGGGTAAGGTGGGGGTGGGGGGTAACTAAAGATTTTCAAATGACAACCCCCATCTTGTGACCCCTCATTTTAAAGGTATTTGGAAGACAAATTTAACGACGTGTCTGGAAATGTTTTTTTTGCATCCTGTCTAATATGGCGGCTTAAAATGTACTTAGGGTTGAACGGGTGAATTAAGTCTGAAACATATTAAAAAATTTTCAGACACATCGTTAAATTTGTCTTCAAAACACCTTTAAAATGAGGGGTCACAAGATGGGGGTTGTCATAGTTGTCTAGTTTTTTTGTGTTTTTAACAACCAGCTCTTGTCTCTCAATGGACAAGCTTACTGAATATATTTGCATGTAAAGTTAGGTTTTTATATTTTAAGTTATACAACATTTAAGTGACACTTGACACTTTTGTCAATATAAGTAAACCTCCCATAGTAATTTATTTATTTATTTATTTTTATTTTATTTATTACATACACGGCAAACGCCATTTTACAGGAGAGTTGAGTTGAGATTGATAGTTATAGTGTGATCAATATTAAATATTTATATATATATTTTTTTTTTTTTTTAATTAGAATTAGAGAGTGTAAGATTTGTTTATGTTGTTTATAGGATGTTAAGGATCACAGCTAACTCAACTGATTAGAAATAGATGGTTAGAGCAAATCAAATCCATTTCATTTCATAACCCATTAGAATTACAAATTTAAATAAATAATTTAAATTATTATTTAAGTAGGCCTACTATCATACTGTATATTCTCTTATTCTTAATAGTAATATTTATTATAAAAAAAGAAATGTAGCAAAAAAATAGTTTGCTACATTTTAATTGTAGTTGTAGAGTTGTAGCAAGCTACATTTTGTAAAATTGTAGAAGTAACAAAAGCAAGCTACATTTAAATAGTTGTAGTTGTAGCAGTAGCAAGCTACATTTTAAAAGTAGCTTACCCAACACTGATTTTCCCTAATAGACAGGTGTGTAGACACAAAAATCAGTGGTATTGAGAAGCGACTCATTCCTAAACTAAACCTACACTTTTACCTTGGAACAGGAACATGACGGAGCCTGGGCAGTGGTTGGCATCAAACGGAGTGACACTGTAGAAAGTGTTGCTTTCTCTATCACTCACAATGTGTGTGTCTCCGACAGTCAGTACCACGATCTGTTCTGGCTTGATCTGGAAACATCCAATACTAAATACACACTCTATTCAGTTAACATGTTCGGCGAATAAAGCTATTTAAGTGCATTTTGTGCAATCTGACCCTTTCATGAATGAGACGCAGTAAATGTAGTATGTACAATACTAAAATGTGATTAGTGATGATAACGGAGTTTCTGACAAGACCTTCTTTGTCTCATAAGTATTGGATTATTATGGAGAGTCAACTGTATTCTAAAACAATGCCTGTTAGAATGAAGAAAGACAGTTAAGAAATTTATTTAATATAAGAATTGATTTAATGTGGGATATTCAATACTTACTTTAAACCATCTTTGCAGAAGCCAACAATTAAAGGGGGAGGTGTAGATGGTTCCTTCAAATGATGAATTCAATCCGACCGTGTGATCAGCGTGTAGATGAGTCAAGAAGTGGTCAAATTTCTAGAAATAATAGCATTTGGTATATAAATAGCCTAACAACAGTAGTTTTAGAATAATTTTGAAGTTATTTTCTACAATATAGAAACATTAAATCCTTCAACATTGATGAGCTAGGAGCTATTTTTATTTCAGAGATCTTATTTTTTTATCTAAACTCAGATCTATGATTATATCATTTTCATAATCAAAATGTAAACATCGTTTACTCTACAAAGACTGGAATTTTGAAATTAGTAAACAGATTTAAAATACTGTATGAAAAAGTTGAGCTAAAACTACTTACCTACCCTAGGCCTAAGTGTGTCAGTTTATTCAAACTAACAGAAACACTGAGAAAATTATTGTAACAACGCATGGAATTTTTCAATGGAATCATAAAAACTTCATCAAACAAAGTTTGATTGCAAAGCTTTAAATAAAAAATGGCTCTTAAACCATTAAAAATTAAAAAGCTAAACATGCATAGCTTATGCACAGTTATAAGATTAATAAATTACAGGAGTGATAACATCAAAAGAAAGCCTACCGTTAATTAACACGTTCCATGCATTTGCGCGAAGTCCAGCTACGCCCAGTGGTGCGAACAGCTAATGCGCTGCGTAGATGAGTGTGCGAAAATGTTTAAATTTAGTTTAATTCAAATGAGAGGCATATTGGCATATACTTTATCCCAGTCGTTGTGGACATAATTTTACAAGAACCCAACAGATAGCAACACTAAACAATACTGCCAACTGGCCCTCAGTATCGCCAAATAGAGACAAAAAGCAGGGGTAAAGTAACCGGATACACAAAAAAAAAACGCAAAAAGCAGTCGAGCACAATTTTGAGGTTAGGTTCCTTCCACAATACTACAGTACATTCATTATCGTTATTCTATTGCATGTCATTAGATCCATGCCTGAAACCCCACACTACAATTAATAACTTCCTGATCAGCATTGTACACGTGTTATTAAATTTACGGAAAGTAAATAAAAGAAACGGGTCGCCGGAATTTTATCCCCCTGGAATTTTACCCCCTGGGCAAAGCTGTCGTCACTATGACGTAGTAACCTGAGTGGCCAAAAGTTTGTTCGCGGCCGGAATTTTACCCCCGCGGATTTGGAAGTCTAATGAAAATAGCCAGAGCGTGATCAACTGAAGATGTACGGGCCGGATTTTTACCCACGGATTTTTACCCCCGGCTGATTTTAGAAATTGAATGATTGATTTTCTTATTTCTGTTTTTAATTAATTGTAAACATTTTATTATTTAGTAGCCTATCTTTATCTAGAATCTCAAAATTAAAAACCTGTTCGATTAGTTAATGTTACAAATAAATTAATATAGGCTACTTAATAATAAAATGTTTACTATTAAATTAAAACAGAATGAAGATAGGGTAATCATTCTCACTAATTTATATCTCTGGCTAGGGGGTAAAATTCCGGTGGTAAAAATCCGGGGGTAAAAATCCTAGGGGTAAAATTCCGAGGGTAAGAATCCGGGCCGTACACTCTAGGTTTTTATAATTTGATGTGTTCTGATTAAATTCACAACCGTGAAAATATATGTTTAATTCCGCGTTTAATCCATCGAGCTGATGTCGCAAAACTCAAAAGTTCGTCACGTTTGCCCAGGGGGTAAAATTCCAGGGGGATAAAAATCCGATACCCCAAAGAAACGTCTTATACCACTTAAAAGTGTTTTAAGACACTTATTTTAACATCTTATGTTTCTTTTACTTACTTTCACTAAATTGAAAACCAACTTAGGCTTACCTTTTCTGGTGACGACACCCAGTAGTCAACACAAATTGATGTCCCACTTATAATGTGTCCGTTACTATCTTTAAGGTTCCTGTCAAAATATATTAAATTGTTATGAAAAATATCTATACCTAAATAAATATTATAATTCCTAAAGTGGTTTCTAGTGGTAATTAAGGATTTTATAGAGGCCGCTATCACACTTGCCCCGACCCTATGGGGCAAGTGTGACAGCTGGCAGGCATTTTTTGTAAGTAAAAAAAAATAGTGAAAGCATAAGTTTATCACATTGTTTTTTTTTTTACCAATAAAGATATTTCCAAAGTTTAAGTGTTAAAATTTTCAAGTTTCTAGCTTTAGAAATAACCGAGAAAAAAATTTGTAAAGATGAACTTTATGATGTTTAGGTCACACTTGCCCCACTTCACCCTACAGTACTGTGTTTGTGTATATTCACAAATAAATGTTCTGTGGCTAAATATATGGTACAACTACAAAAGGGCCATAAAATATACCCGCCACTGGTGAATAAAATGACCGCCAGATATGGGGTTAAGTTATGTTTACCCAAGGGCTTCATGGTAGCATTGTTGATAATCGTAAGAAACTCCAAAGTTATGAAACTCCACTGTGAGGTCAATTTACTGAGTAGTTCCAGCTGATTTTACTGAGCCCTTTTTGTAAACAACGACTTTCTTGTCTACAAATGGACCAGAATCTTGCTGCTTAGACTTAAAAACTGTGTAGTGCAGCAAAATATTAAAAATCATATACGGTAAGTTAGGCCTATGTTAAACACTTACCCCATATTCTGATGTTTATGTATTAATATCCATCTGCAATAATATATATCTTGTCATAAAACCACAGTTAGACGTACATATGGACTTAGGGCTTCATATGGATCCAGTAAGTTACCTGAAATACATTTTTTAGCATAACTTAAGCTGATAGTATTTTTTTTTCTTAGGGCTAAGTTATAATAGTTTAATAATAATTAGATAGGCTATAAGGTTTTGATTTTACAAGTTTGTATATTTTGATGGAATCTGAAAGGTATGGGGTTAGGATTGGTTAAGTTTTATCAATCAATCAATCAATTATCAATCACTAGCTGTAACCCGCGGGCTTTGCCCCGTTTAAATTCTTAATTTTCAAGATTATCTCGTTCGCATGGCTCAATCACGTCCTGGTTGAAGTTTGTTCGCTACGCTCACTCGCCTTTAGGTTGGAGCTCGTTCGCTACGTTCACTCACCTTTAGGTTGGAGCTCGTTCGCTGCGCTCACTTGCCTTCAGGTTAGCTCGTTCGCTACGCTAACTCGCCTCCAGGTTGAAGTTCGTTCGCTACGCTCACTCACCTTTTGGTTGCAAATTAGCTGTTGTCATAAATGTAAAAGAAATAATAGTGCTGCACCCTGTTGGTAATCCTTGTAACTTTAATGCTATTGAACATCATAGAACAGAACCAACTTGTTTAATTGAAACAGCTGTTAAGATTCAATAATTCCATTTCTCATAAGGTTAACATAGGAAACTCCAGAGCCACTGGGACGGAGCCCGAAAGGATTTTTGAAATAAGAATATGCCTATATGTTAATCGGGAATGTGAGCTATCATCATGCCAAATTTCAGCCCAATCCGACCAGTATTTTTCGCGTTCACTTGTCACAAACATACATCCATATATCCATACATCCATACATCCAAACTTTCTCATTTATAATATTAGTAGGATTAAGATGGGGACGCCACTAATGTGCGTATTTTAACCCAAATATGAGTGAAGGATGAGTGTAGAATGGTGAGAGATGATCTGTGTAGCTTTGTTACTGACTAAGATCAGCTGTTTCATTAGCCAGGATCATTTATTTAAAGCCCAATGATCAGGAACAGCTGGGTCCAGTTTCGACCCATCAAAAAGCTACTGACTTTTCTCAGGATCGAACCGGCGACCTAGTTAAGTTATGCCTAAGTTAGTTTTAGGTTATACAAATGAAGATCATTCCATTCTAAGTTAAGTAGGTAGCCTAACTTACTGAAAAGTAAAGTCTTGGGCATAACTTTACACTTGCCAACATCGATTGTTTTCAGCAAGCATTTTTGAAATTATTATTTATTGTGTTTCACCCACTATTTCAATTGTGCAAAAACAGTCTGGAGGTAACGTAATGATTAATAAGTAAGTTCAATATCCTAAAATAAAAACTTTACCTACCTTCCTAATCTAACCGAAATTCAACACTGTATACAGTTAAAATCTGCATAAAACCCGACCTACCTTCCCGACATGCCCAAATAACTTAAGAGCTGATTACCTTGGTCTGAAAACGAATCGATTCCATTGCGGATGAAGTCAAGTATTAACTTAAACAGCTGTTAGTTTTACCTATCCACAGTTCACATACGGTCCCTTTCAGACTAAGTTACCATATTACCATTCGTACCACTCAATGAACTTTAGATACGAACTTTTTATCTTCGTTTTACATCCACTTAGTCTCTGAGTCTTTCCGACAAAAACTTATTGGTATTTTCGGATTCAGCGTGCAAAAAACTGTAAGTTAAGTAGACATATCAAAATTACAACCATTGTAAATTAGCTATTTTATACAGAATAATTGCCAAATAAACAATTTGATAAGTTATGACCAACTGAAAGTTTTTCTTATGTAAGTTATTTTTTTGTTAGTCGAATGCTCGTTTTCAGCGATTTCAGAGCTCTGCGTTAAATTAAAGTTCTCGAACATTAAAATAAAAACCTAGATCCCTTCAGAAAGATCTAAACTTTATTAATATGGTAATACAGTTATACACTTAAACTAAATATATAGGTATAATTACCTGTTTAAAATTTAACGCAACGATGTTACGAAAACTGATTTTAACAATTTCTTTTTACAAGGCAATTGACTATGTGTTTGTTATTTTTTATCTGATACGGTAGTTATAGTTATGTACTCCAAATTCTCAAAGTTTTAAGTTGTGGACTTGCATAGGGTTTTAAATACAAATTTTCAAAATTTTAAAAGTTTTATGCTTAATATCTCTGTTGGGCGGGGGAGCAAGCTGGTGTAGTGGTTAGAGCGCGGGACTTCGGTGCCTGAGGTCCCGGGTTCAAATCCTGCCAAATCACCAATGGATTTATCTAAGTGATAATGCCGCAACCCCTAGGTCTATTCTGAAGTAATGTGAAAAACAATCCGACCGGGATCGTGCCTAGCGTCCTCTCTAGGACAAAAAAAAAGAGTATTATCAACTGTAATAATTTTATTTTGTAGACTCAACTGGTTTTAAAGTTTATGAAACATTGAAAAGTACTCAAATTTAAGCATTATACGTATAATAGCTTAGGAAGCATAATATTTTATTATATAGCCTAATACACTACCAATGTATTTTATAATAATGTTATGTTTTAATAATAGATTTTAAGCATTTTGATGTTTTAAAACACTCTACTTTGTTGTCTGCCACAGGTACAAATGTGAGACCTATATATTTAGTTTTAAGTGAATAGCTACCATATTAAGGTTTAGACCTTTTTGAAAAGATTGGTTTTTATTTTAATGTTCTAGGATTAGTAGAATTAGATATTTAATTTAACTTAAGAGCACTGAAATCCCTGAAAACGGGCATTCGACTAACAAACAAATGGCCGCCATTAAGTAGAAAATAAAATAATTGTATTTTTGTACTTCTAATGAAATGTTACTTATAAAAATATGAAAAAAATTAAAAATCTTGAAGCAACCAATTAATTTATTTCTGGACCACTTTATATGGATTGACCCGCCATGGATATGGATTTGGCCGCTTGATATGGTAGGCCTATGTACCAAGCATAAGTTAATGGGCCTAGGCTTACCATAGCCTACTCACGAGTCATTGTGGCATAAAATATAGGCCACATGCCTACTCCACTGACAGTACAGTAGTTCCAAGGCGTAGGCTATAAGGTATAAAGCCTTGCGGTCCTAAGTTTTATATACTTTTTTTGTACAACTCCAATAGAAACGGGTAGGTAACTTACACTTCCGTATCTGTTGTCAAAAACAACCGAATGAAAAATTATTCGATACAGCCTATCAATTATTTAATTCGATATATCGTTAACCTAACTAACCAAACGATATATCGAATGAAATAATTGATATAAGTTATCTATCGCTATTTTCATTAGGTTGGTTTTTGACAACAGATACGGAAGTCTACCCATAGAAACTCCTGGGGGTTCTAATGGAAATAGGTGTGTTACCAAATTCAGACTAGGCCTAAGTTATAGTGCAAGAAGTAAGTTTAGGCTTACAGGTTCACTTAGTTCCCAACATATCCACAAATGCATTTGTTTATAAGTTAGCATTAGGCCTACTCTCTTTCAAAATTGATTCATACTAACATGACGATAAAAACAACTAAGTACTTAGCCTATATAAACACCAAGTCATACCTATGAGCAGCAAAATCATGAAGGCTAATGTGGCTATGAGTTAATGCTAGAAAAGTTTGTTCAAAAAATAGGCTACTTACCGGTACGAAAAGCATTGCTAACATAGGCTAATGATGTCACGTCGGTTCCAAAAGATATAGGCCTATTACCAGACTAAATGGCTATGTTAGACATTATCACTATCCTTTCTTTAACAAAGCTATCAAACAAATAATATTAATTCAATTTCAATTCAAATCAAATCAGCTGACGCAGACAGGACAGATTAAACAATTTGATTTGACTGACAGCACTGACAGCAGATTTTGGAGTTGAATAACTTCTTCTTCTACAGTTTGCTTTAATAAAGCTGACTTGGTTTAGCTACCATGTAGCCACACTATTTCATCAATACAATTTTCCCGGGCTTTTTCGAAATAATACCATGATGTTAGTTAGGAAATGATTTTTGTTTTTCCAATTCCAATATAGCTTTAAGTTGGTATTAAATGTTTTTCAATTTAAATGTCTTGTTTAATTATTTAAAGTTCAAGTTTCATAATATCTCAAAGTTGGATTCACGTTTCTTTTAAACATTTTAGTAATGGTGGCCATAGCTTGAAATTAGTTTCCATTTAAAGCTTTTGGACAGTTGGTAGTCATTTCCAATTTTCTTTTTTTTTAAGCTTTCTTTATTTTTGCGTAAAAGCACTGTCTCCCAGTGTTGCCACTTTTGGGGTAGTTACCCTTTTTGAGGGTAATTTACTAGTCTTAGGGTAATGGTGGATTTAGGGTAATTTTAGGATAAACAAAAAGTTAGCATAACAATGGAAATTTAACTAAAAACATGAAAATAAACTTCAAAATTTGGCAAAAAACGTTTATTACCTACATATTATAGCCAAACCAACAGGTTTAAAAATCAATTGTTATGATGCATCTATATATTAATTTGAAACTGTTTTTCTTTGTCACAGCTAATTTGAGAGAACGGCTGGGCGTAGACACTCGGTAGAGGTGTCTAAAGAAAGGTCTTGGTCTGTAGATGAGCCATCAAAAGAGAAACATGGTGAATTCCCTTGGGGCTCTGCCCCAGTGGCCTTTAAATTCCCGACCCATGTTATTCTTATGGAGGAAAACGGGGGTTTTGTCACAACTAATTTGAGAGAACGACTGGGCGTAAAAACTTGGTAGGGGTCTCTAAAGAAAGGTCTTGGTCTGTAGATGAGCCATCAAAAGAGGAACGAGGTAAATTGCCTTGGGGTTCTGCCCCAGAAGCCTTTAAAGTTGCCTCTTCAGATGTGTTTACCGTACATTACGACCATATGCATAGTTCTACACTACTTTTTAATGAAACAGCTGTTTAAATAAATTAAAGCTTAAAATTAAATTAAATTAAATTAAAGCTGTTTGTGTATTTAAATTGTGATTTATTGAATTTGTCAAAATGAAGTACAGTATTTGCAATGGGTTTTTCTGATTTTAAAATTGATTTTCTTCTGCATCGTGTCATGTTTTGAAATATAATGTTCTATTACCAAATCAGTGGAAAATCCTAATATAAAAGTAACTCTTGAAATTATTTCTTATGGAGGTAACTTATATCCATTGTATGTATTGGTTTCTGCCTTTATTACCACTTCTTGGAGATTAATTTCTGTATCCAATAGTTGATATTCTCTGGCTTATTGTATCTGTAGACGAAACTTGGGTTGGTGTAATTATTACAATGGAAAAGAGCGGGAAATCCTGGAGAATTTGATATAGGCTAAAAATAAAACTGAATTAACACTGTGCTACATTTCTTGATCAATCATTGAAATAACCGATTTGCAAACAATGGAAACACAGAAAAAGTCATAGAACACAACCAAGTAGAAGAAAGTTTTTTTTTTACACTAATAACACTAAAAAAACAAGATCAGCTTTTTGAAAAAAAGATAAGATATTTAGAAAAGATTTTGATTATATCTAACTGTTGTGTAGATCGTGAGGATTTCCATAATCTTTGAGTCGCCTGTAATGCTTCGCAATTGCTCGAATTCGAGCAACAGGTACACTAGTTTTTTTCATAATAAGTTAATTATTATTTGGTTAGAATTATCTGTTTTAGATTGTATTCAATTCTATAACAGTTATAATAAAATATGACATATTGTTAATTACTTCTTGATTTTTAATTATGTGATTGAATTTAATTAAACTAGGATTATTTTACAAATTGTGTCAAAAAATTACTGCCAAGTATAGATTAAAGCTTTGGTGTTACCGTACTGTATTTTAAAGATATGATTGTCCAAAAACAGTAGTAGGCTAATGGGTCGACACAGTAAGAAAATACGATAATTCTTGATTCGATATTTTTTGTATAAACGATAGAGCTGAATATCGACATTGGGAAAAAAATGAAAACTTACAAGTTTCAACACAGGAAAATTAACTTTGAAAAGTATATACAAAGATATATTTATTTTAAATATGATATAAATTAAATAGGCCTAATCACAATGATACTCACAAAAATAAACAAATACAAAGCTAGCCATTTGAAATAATGCACATTGATAAGTACAATCTAATATTGTCTGTACAAAATACAGTTATAGGAACTTGTCAATCTGTTCTGAAGAGAATTTACAAACTGGGACCAGCATAGTTTACAAAACAATTAAACATAATTTGTGCTTTGTTTAACAATTTGGCTTTCTGTTTTAAATTGTTTGTACTATCAAAATAAATACCTTAGAGGATTTTATTTGATTAAAAAATCATATGAAACCAACAGCGTTAAAAATAACACACTTAATCTTGTTAATATGAACACCTTTGCAACTTTTCTTTGCATCTTTCAATACAGGCACTGATTTTAGGTCTCGGAAATGTTCAATGCACTTTCTGCATTTATTTTATTATTTTGTTTCATGTAAGATAGTAAAATGTGTACACTCATTATATCTGTTTTAACCCTTTCAGTGCTATGAAACGATATATCGTTGTTTTAAAAAATCTCCAAGGGATATAGAGAGGAAGGTTATTTTAACAAAAAATAGCAAAACGGCCATTGGTGACCTGCATGTTCATAGGATACACTATCAACCACTTAGCTAAAAGATTCGCCCAATCCGATGATTTCGAGGTGTATGTCTAAACCAAGGATTATGAACACCTCACTATGCCCCAGTGGTTGTAGTATATCGCTACAAACACACAGGTCACACAATTATTTGCCACACAGGACGGGATTCGAACCCGAGCAGACGAATGCCACTGGCCAAGTGACACACGCCCTAGCCTTCTCGGCTATCTGTGCTTGAAGACTGGGGAGTCAAAACCCGGTATTTAAACTGTTGCCACCGATTGCGAACAGATGGCGCTGCAGATGGTTGTTCAATGCGTTACTAGGTAGCAGCACCAGTTAGTCACGGACTATTTAGATGCAATCTTTTAGTTTAAACACAACAGTGATCATAAATGTGTTCCTGAGACTTTGCTGCAAAACATTAGTTTCCCTAAAATGGCTATATTACGATAACCTTGTCCAACTAAATCAAGGTTAAATTCAATATTACATTGTAAACTATATGTCTTTTGATTTAATGAGATTTTGGTTTCAAATAATGCTATCAGAACATACAAATTTATAGGAAAACCAGGAAAATTACAACTAAAACTAAGTTTTATTTAATGTTTACTACAAATAGCGGGATTTATCTTTCTTATATATTTTCTTATTGTGTTATTATTCAAAATTAGCCTAATTAATAAAATAGTGACAACATGACAGTTAAAATTCAACAACAGGTAATGGAATTAAAAGGCAAACAAAAAAGTCTTACAAAATAGAAATTATTGGCCTAGCACTGAAAGGGTTAATCCCATATTCATTTATTACAACTAGGTACTTATTCTTCATTACAGGTAAAATTTTTGAAGTTTCTTCAGGATCTTATGTTATGATGATCCGCATGGAATATTAAGATTATTACAAATCAACTGTGATAAACTTAACCTAAAAAAATTTGATCTGTCAAAAAAATTATGGTTTGATAAATACATGCAATATTAAACCATGATTCATTGGATATAATGAAAAAACAACGCTTTAAAACACTTTTTACAATAATCTACCTCATAATAGTAATAAAAACATGCTTCTTTATGTATAATCATGTTTAAAATTAGTTTTATAAAGACAATTAGTTGAGTGTTCATAAAATATTTTATAATATGTTATTACTCTCTACAGTACAACACAGCCATTGACTTTTTAAAGTTTGACTTTAGTCATGCAAGAAGTTGTTTGTTTGATGAATAAAAACACAACATGGGATTATTATCATATTATCTATCTGGTAAAGAAATGATTTCCCCTCCCCCTTTTAAACAGACAACTACATGCAAAATATTCATCACCACATTAAATGTTATTAAGATATTATCAACTAATATGGAAAAATCACTGGGTGATCCTGATAACTACTAGTGATACTGATTACTATTTTGTAAATATATTACAAAATACGACTTCAAGATAAAAGCTAACTCTACTCACTGTCCTACCTTAATTTATTTATTTATCATGTAATCAATTACTAGATGAGAATTGAATTTTAAGAAAAGAAAACTCGAAGGAAATATTTGGTCCCAATTATTATACAATTAATTAATATTTACAAAAAACAAAACAATAAACCATAGTACCCTATCTATATAAATAAAATTAGAGTAAAAAATATAAATGTTGAGATTAATTTAGGCTAATTTAATTTCTTTCTTTATTGTCAGTAAAATCAAAAGTAGATTTGTTACATTAGCGATTTAATAGCTAAGCAAATACTATTCATTTAGCTTTTGTTAAAACAGTTAAAACATAGGATACAATTAATATCCTCTTTTGGCAATCCCTGACTCCATGCAAAATCACATATATGACTGTATAACTTACAAAAAAAGTAAATTAAGGGTAAAACTAAACAAAAATAATCCAAGTTTATAGACATATGATTGAAAATATTACAATTGATGAGAGAAACAAATATTTAAACCAAGATCGGTGGGTGAAATCAATCAAAACTGCTTCAACGTAGCAAGCTGATTTGAAGCAAAGATCTTTTATATCCTGAAAAACAACAAACCATTAGGATTAGATTCAACACAACCTGACGCTCAACTCTTGGATAGGAAGTAGTTGATCTATTCAACCAAGCATTCAACTAATATATTTTAGAACCATAACATTTTGCATACACTTTTAATAATAATACATACAAATCTTGCAGACAGATTCTCGTTCCTTATCTAATTTATAGGATAGTCTTGGTACAAATTTAGTAATTTTGTAACCAAGATACAACATTTTCTACTCAAGTAATATCTTACACTGACCATTACAAATTACAATTACACACAGGGTGTCTACAACATTCTGGATAAAAAATTCATGGACGATTTCCGCACATTTAAGGACACTTTGTCAATGCTGTTACCAAATATATTTTTCGGATTTTAACCGTTTTAATTTTGTTCTTCACTGTAGTTTTAACAAAGGAAATAGAAAGTAATAACAGACAAAAGTTAAGTTTCAAAACAGAAATGTATCGAAGTGAGACAAAAATTTACTTTAGGTACAGCTTTATAAGGTAACAGAAACACAATGATCGTCTCCCGCAGTAGCGACCAAATCCTGAATATCTCCCACTGTCGTGTGGTCATCGTCTCCCACGGTCACCGAGTTCACATCGTCATCCATGATTGCAGCAAGGTCCTGATTATCTCCCACAGCGGTCATCATCGTCTCCCGCGGCCGCGAAAACGTTATCATCATTATCTACGATTCCAGCCAAATCCTGAATATCTCAGGCAGTCGTTATCGGAAACATTATTGACGTCATTGCTGTTCCCGGCAAAAGTGTGATAATACTACACAACTGCCGTGGGTTCTTACTAAACTATGTAAGGACCTAGTCTGATATTTGAGGACAATTCCTGTATGGCCAGCCTAAAATCAAGAACAATTCTCGATAGGGATGAACGAAATTGGATTTTTGACCAAGACGAGACAGGTTTTTTTTAGTTATCATAAGGCCCATTCTACAAGAGCGTGAAAACCGAGATGAATTCCTGTGTGAACGCGAACAATTTTTGTACAAATTACACGTGGCGGGATCTTTGTCGTTTGGAGCCCGCGTGAAACCCGCCGGGCCATTCAACACGAGGCAGTTCAGATGGGGGTTGAACTTCGCCAGCTCGGTTGTATGGCTGGGGTTATCGAACTCCAGCTACTGGAACTGCTTAGGAAAAAAGAGGTGATGGTGGACACTTCCAACAGCCTCACCAGGGGGAAATGAAGTCATAAGAGATGAAGTTATAAGGAATGAAACTAGTCGTCATACCAAAAACTGTGGTTATATAAGGTAATCATTTTATTTTATAAATAATTTGAATGCATTTGACAACAGTTTTAAGGTAAAACAGAACTTTGAATCTGATGTACGCTGGTTAAATAAGTACTAAATTTATTTATTATAGCTCAGTGGTTCATACACACTGACAATAATTTTTACTATCACTACCATCAAAATTGTGAATGATAGTTACATGACGGATATTTCCAACCCTGTCACGATGGTGAGCTTACCACTAGTATGGAGGAGGTTGCTGTGAGTAAGGATTCTGTGGCTGGTTCGACATCTGTCTGTGCAATGCCATCAGTCCCGGCTGTTGTTGACTTTGCTGTTGTTGCTGATGTTGTTGTTGTTGCTGTTGTTGCTGCTGCTGCTGTTGCTGCTGCATCAACAACTGCCTCATTCTATGTTGCTGCTGCTGTTGTTGAGTCATTTGCTGTCAAGTAAGAGTTAAATCACAATCAAGCACATTAGACAAGATAATGTGGTAATGATCTATAAATTAAAATTAAAGGTCATTAGAAAAAACATGGGTTCACCTAAATCTTTAAAATTTGCATGAAAGTAAAAATTAGTTTATTATATTTTAATAATTTGTTCTTTATTTGTTGTGATTCTTGAGGAAATGTAATAACTGTAAACGAAAGGTAAAATGTGATTAAGTTATGTGTGCTTTGGATAGTGTTAGTTTCCATAATGTACAAACGTTTTTAATTTTATTTAGAGATTAAAAAGTAGAATTAATATTTGATTGATACGCCGCTCAACAAACTACTTGACCATGATAAATCAACCAAGTGAGGTTGAATTTTGGTGGTTTTTGTATCATTCATTGACTTTCATTTCTTGGATATGGAAATAGTTCTCTTTAACAAAAAAATATCAACTTGAAGAATTTTAAAATGAATTCCTGCTTGGAAATGCAGCTCTCAAATATACTACAACAGTTCTCCAGTTGAATTTTAGACAGTTCTATTAAAAAGTCTACAAAAAAAAAAAAAAAAAAAAAAAAAACTTTGAAATACTCAGTTAAAGCACTAGTTGGGAATAAAAAGACTGCTATTAAAGCAACAATTCAGATACTGCGTAAGAGGTGGTTAGGTTACATATTACGGAATTATTCCAAACATATTACAAGTTGGACATACAGTTACAATTTGATCACTCACTTGAGGGAACTGCTGTTGCTGAGGTCGCTGGTAGGGAGGAGTATTCTGGGTTTGACTTAGCGGTCCACCCATAGAGTTCATCGTCACGTTAGGCGCCTGAGGAGCAAAGATTAGAAAATATTATTTAAATTTTAAGCAATAAAAATTGAAGCTCAATAAAGTAAAAAATGTGCGAGCCTGAACAGTTTCAATCAAGACGAGCTTATGCCAATCATTTAGAAAAAAGCCAATCATGGAGAATTCACCATAATCGTTGCCTGCAATTGTGGCAACATTGAGAACATCTCCCGTGATCACAAAATCATCAGCACTTTCAACAGATATCGTGGCAAAAATCTGGATTATCAATCTCACAATTTACACAGACGCTTTCTGGGATTATTGGCAAATTTTTTCATTACCTAGTATTTGTATCATGATATAGATTCCTAGTAATTTTGTTCTGGATTCATTAATAAACTTTGTAATGCTTTTAGTGATTTGTCTGCGTAGCTACCATCATATACATACAAAAACCTTAGGGTGGTGATGACAATTTGTGTTTTTTTATGAATATGGGTTTATCGCTAGGTAATAGGAAAAATTATGCTGAAAATTATACTGAATCACATAATGCCAAACGTATTGAGGTAATTTTATAAAGGGAAAATATAGGTAAATCGACACATTCTGCAAAGGTCATAAAATGGTAAAAATAATTACACGTTTACACACTTGGACCACTCTTTTAATCCCCTCCTTTAACACACAATCCAAGCACACCTACTATACAAATATTAAATTACATCAACCAATTATTAACCCTGAATTTATGTCATCTGATTTTATTGACAAAAAAATGTCGATGAGAAAATAATTTTTACAATGGTTATTTCAATTTTAGAGCCATGATTATTACAGTAATTTCTAGTTATTCACCTTTTACTGAAGTTTAACTACTAATTACAGCTGAAATATAAAAAATATAAATCGTTAGCATATTTGTTTTTATTTTTGTAAATTTTCCTTACAAAAAAATATACATACTACTGCTATTTATTTTAAGAACAGTATATTATGGTCATGATCCAATATTTACAGCTAGTCATCATCTGTAAAACACATTTAAAAGTGTTGACGATGTCCAGATAATCCACAAAACATTTCTATTACCTTTTTTTAAAGAAGCCATTAACTTATGACTACTTCAAAATTAAAATAAAATATGTAGTTCATTGAAGGGAGTATTTATTGGTTACTCTACAGCAAATCTAAGAACCCCCACCAGACATTCCTTTGGGAATTTAAATTCCAACCTCGTAGTCTTAGGTTTCCTCTGTTTGTTTACATCCCGCACGTCATTTCCCTGGACTTGACCAGTCCTTGGTAGAGGATTACCATTTAATCCCATGGTATGCTGCTAGTCTATCTGGTTTGTTGCTAGCCTATCTGGTTTGATGCTAGACGATCTGGTTTGGTGCTAGACTATCTGGTTTGCTGCTAGCCTATCTTGGTTTGCTGCTAGCCTATCTGGTTTGTTGCTAGCATAATCTGGTTTGCTGCTAGACTATCTGGTTTGCCGCTAGCATATTTCCTTTTCGTTTCGACTCCTAGAGGGTGTTTCAGTTTCCCTAAATCATTAGAATTTTATCCCATCGTTTTTAGAGCTTGTGATGGGTTCAGGGTCGTATCCTGGGCCTGGCTTTGGATGTTTGCAGCCTCCTTCTGTTTTTCATTGGCTTTGGATGTTTGCAGCCTCCTTCTATTTTTCATTGGCTTTGGATGTTTGCAGCCTCCTTCTGTTTTTCATTGGCTTTGGATGTTTGCAGCCTCCTTCTATTTTTCATTGGCTTTAGATGTTTGCAGCCTCCTTCTGTTTTTAATTTGTGTTTGTCCTAATTATTCTTTGCTCTGCGGTTAGTCCCCGTCTAGCACCTTCTTCACTTCCTACCAAGAGCCCCACCCCCAGGATGCTGGAGGTGCAGGAGTAGGGAAACTGTCGGAAGGTAGTGGTTCAAGTACTCGAGGAACCAACACCCCGACACCCCCAAAAGGTGGCGGAGGTGGTCCCCCGAATACTTTCCTCACTACCCAGCGTACAGCGATCCCTACCCCCACACCTACCATCACCTTACGAATGCGACTCATGGTTAACTAATTGACAAAAAAAGAAAACTTACTAAGATAATTGGTCGTGCTGTTGATTGTTTGAGAGTTTTCAATGAAGTGATTTAATGTTTCTATGGAAACATTTACAACAAAAAAACATACAAATACATTGCATTTAAAACCACTTCAAAATTAACATTGTTTAAATGCGACTGCAAAGCCATTATGCTAATGCTATTAGTATAGGATTCGGGCCAAAAACGTCATTTGTTTATGTTTATGATCCATGCCGGTATTTTTCTAGTAATCATGCTGAAAACGATCTCTTTCTGAAAACGAACGCTTTTGTGTGTATCATATGTTTACTATGAACATCTGTAATCAATACAAATTATTTGTCTGTTTAAGTAAAGAAATATTCGTCCTCAAACAAACTATCTCAAAATATTGGGAATATAACAAAAATGTCTTCTGCCTTTTCATTGATTTTAGTAAAGCCTACTAAAGAGAGAAAAAATTTGGGAAAAGATGGAAAGTTTTGGTATTCCAACAAAGTTAATGAATTTAGCTGAGCTAAGTGTAAAAAATAGTAAATGTAAAGTAAAAGTTAAAAACGAACTTTCCAAAACTTTTGAGGTGAAAACTGGCGTAAGACAGGGTGACGGTCTATCCCCCATTCTTTTTAACATTGCCTTGGAAGGAGCACTAAAAGAGATAAGGAAAACTGATTTTGGAGTGAAATTAGGAAGGAATATATCAGTGCTCGCTTTTGCAGATGATGTGGTATTGATGGCAGAAAGCAAAGAAGACCTTAAAGACATGACCAAAATACTAATTAAGGAAACCAAAACAGTAGGACTTAAAATCAATGCAGAAAAGACAAAATTCATGCACTTTGGACGAAATCAAGACCATTCTAGAAGCCTATCTATTGAAGGTTACAATTTTGGAAAAGTAGACAATTTTAAATACCTTGGCACAATAATAAGCGCAAATAACACCGAAAAATTCGAAATTCAAAGCCGAATAAATGCAGCCAATAGAAGTATGTTTGCCTTGAATAAACTACTATCACCAAAGCTGTTTTCTGTCAACACAAAACTAAAAATTTACAAAACTGTGATTCGTCCAATTCTGCTTTATGGTTCTGAAACATGGACTCTGGACAAAAGTACTGAAAAAAAACTTGTCACCTTTGAAAATAAAGTACTAAGAAAGGTTTGTGGACCAACAAGAGAAAATGGTGAATGGAGGATCAAACATAACAGAGAAATTAGAGACCTGTATAAAGCACCAGATGCGGTGGCGGAAGCAAAAAGTCGACGAATAAGATGGCTCGGGCATATGTTAAGGAGAGAAGATGATGCATTGATAAAGAAAGTTTGGAAAGAGAACCCTTTTGGAAGAAGACCTCCTGGGCGTCCCAAAATGAGGTGGAAAGATGAAGTGACCAAAGATATGAGGAAGATAAGAATCATGGAGGAAGATGCTGAAGATCGGAAGAAGTGGAGGCATTCAGTTGGCGAGGCCAAATACCACCTTGGGTATCGATGGCCATGGGAGTAAGAGTAATACTCATAGAGTAAACAAAATCTTTTCTTCATAAGAAATACATTGGTATTTCGATGGTCTGTAGGGCAAAGCCCGAGAATTTTTATTACACGAATTGGTGAAAGGGGGCGTCTACACAAAAAATAATTAATTTTGACACATAGTTTGTAAAAATCCGTCCATTATTAACGGAGGAGTAGTGTTTCGTAGAAATTGCCTTCACGTATTATATATAAGGATTATTTAAATTTTAAGCAATAAAAATTGAAGCTCAATAAAGGAAAAAATGTGCGAGCCTGAACAGTTTCAATCAAGACGAGCTTATGCCAATCATTTAGAAAAAAGCCAATCATGGAGAATTCACCATAATCGTTGCCTGCAATTGTGGCAACATTGAGAACATCTCCCGCGATCACAAAATCATCAGCACTTTCAACAGATATCGTGGCAAAAATCTGGATTATCAATCTCACAATTTACACAGACGCTTTCTGGGATTGTTATTAATTTGTGAGAAAAAAATCTGGGCTGGAAATTGAATTTTTGACTTTGTTCTTGATCACCCGACCATGTACACTAGCCCCGGTTAAAAACAGACAGCTTGCACACCTCTACAAGAAACCAGTTTCTGATGTGGCATATTTTCCAGGGAACTGATATTTTGTAGCAAGATATGATATAAGGCAGAATGGCTGAGGATTTTTGTTCGAACAGCAGGCTTATCTGACTGCAAAGTGCATACTGGCACAAGAAACAACACAGAAACTACACAGAGTTTCCAACTTTAGAAACTCTTATGTTAGGAAGTAAAATATCTTCTCTTAAAGAAAGAATGATATCTACCATAAGACATTTTTCATCTCAATCCAAGCCTTCCTTGGTTGAAAGCGAACTAATATTAGTTTTCCGTGTGGAGAAAGCTTTGTGTTTCTTGTATTGGAACCTTTTCCATAAGGTAAACCTGCATTCCTAACCAAAATCCTCCAATTTCCAACTACAAGATTGACAGTTGAGAAGTACCTGCAGGTAAGGTGGGCGAATGTTGCGTTGCTGCTGGTAGTCTTGCCTCATGCCAAACTGAGTGTTTTGCTGCGTGAACATAGCCCCGGCTTGCTGCGGTTGCTGACTCATCATATGCTGCGTACTAGGCTGCATCTGCGGCTGCTGGCCATACCCAGGCCCACCAGGACCATACCCTGGTCCCATACCTCCACTCATACCTAGCAGAACAAAACAATACTTTTGTATTGTAGTTTATTTTATATTTGAAACCATTTAAAAAGTAAATCATTTTCAACCCTCAAAGCATTCTCAACTTAAAAGACAAATTCACAAACCTAAAGATGTTAAAGATGGTTTCCAACCCTAAAAACGTATTTTCAATACTTAAGTAGTAGGCTATTTCCAATTCTAAATTTGTATTCCCAATCCTAAAGATGTATTCCCAACCCTAAAAACATATTCCTCAACCTAGACATATTTAAAACCCTACAGTAGTATCAAATCTAAAGATGTGCTTACAACAGTACAACAGCAATCCCAAAGATGTTGTATTCCCAATGATTAAATTTAAGAGGAAAAGTACTGTATGACAAACATCAACAAATTGTTTATCAACTCAAGTACTATACAGGCTTTTGTATTAAGCTTGATTGGAAAGTGGTGAGTCAGTAGCTCAGTTGGTGGAATGACATGTTCTGGTGTTGTCTCTCAAAATTTACCACTACAGTTCCATTATTCTACTATACTAGCTCACCCCTTGCTTTACTTGATCTGTTGAACAAACAGGCCAAAGTGGAGAGGAAACCTCTATATTTTACTACAGTACTTGGGTTTAAATGAACTCTTTTCGACAAAAGCCCAAGTTTAATGACCAAGATGATGTCCAGGTTGGTAACTGAGCGAAATTCAAGAATACACTTTCAATTTGTGTGATGAACTATATTTTTTGTAATACTGCACCCTTCATTTTATCTTTGCAATATGTAAAATTTTGTACATTGTTAACCTTAATAAAACAGCTCCCAAAATAGTTTCCTTCTCGCTCAGCTGTTATAAACAAACAGATACTGAAAACAGCGGTTTTTGCAGTTACCTTGCTGCTGCATGGCTGGGTAGATCTGAGGAGCTGATTGTTGCTGATACATCCCTGACACAGCCTGCTGGGGCTGCTCTACATGCATCTGTTGTCTGTAACACCATCATCATCCTTGTCATCAACATGAACAAATATACTAAGACTAAGTTTTTAAAACTGAGCAAACTTTTAGCCTTAATAATCTGCATATAAAGTTCTTTGCTTGATTGTCCATTAATGTCCATACTCATATCCTAGATCTCAAATACTTGAAAAATAGCTTGTCACAGGAGCTAACCAATAAAGCTATTTACTCCACAACAGGGTTTAAAAGTGATAATGATTCCTCCAATTTATGGAAATAATAGTTGATTTCAAAAATAGCCTGTTTCTTAATTTTGTATAACATTTGTATCTATTATGTTTCTGGTTGTTATTTATTTCTAAATTTATGTCATTATTTCGTTTGGTGTTGTCTATTATCTATTATTAATAACAATACAACCAGGGCCGGATTTAAGCATAGACGACATAGATGCCTAGGGGCCCGCATCACAACTTTAATTAACAAAGTCACTGGTCCCATCACTGGCCCTAATTTATTACCGTATAACCCTCCCCCATCTGTTTTGTACTCATACATTTTTATTTTTAAAGGGTGGGAATGCTCAGCATCTTCTGAGAACTGACTAACATTGGAGATAGTCGCAATTTCAATATGATTGTGAGAAATCTTCATGATTTGACCATGATTGCAGGAAATTATAATGATGTCTCTATGACCAAACGTTGCAACCATAGAAGGTGTTCTTGATTTCACCGTGATCATAGGAAACATATATCTAGCTACTTAAAATTATTAAAACCCATACAGCCACTGTTAAGTTATGGCTAGGAAAAAAATAGGTCACTAATTTATAATATTGAAGAAAAAAAAACCACAGAGCGAACGCCATTCCCACACATTCCTGCCCCACTACACCTCACATACATAATTTTACAAGACCATCTTAGATACTAAATATTGAATTGTTTTTTTTCATGTTCACTTATTATTACCGCTGAATGAACTGTGTGCGCTGCATGTTTGAGAAGGCAGGCATGCCAGGCTGGGGTTGTGGCCCTTGGCTCATGTATTGCTGAGCCACTGGTTGACGCAAGGCTCGATGTTGCAGCATCGTGTTGAGTGCGTTCTTGGCGGTCGGTCCTACAGGCTGTCTCTCGAACCTCGGACCAACTGAAACTTATTACATGACTCGGTTAGTACCCACAGAGTGAAAAAAAGTTTGTTCGGAATCGAAGACAATGCCTGTTTAATAAAGGGTCGAATAAAATCAAACCAAAATTTCTTTATACTATACAAGATGTTAACCTGGTTGCCAAAGCAACCCTTAGTCATCTGAGTGAGGACCAGTTTTGACCCACTTAAGGTGTCATTGTCAAGCCTTATGTCATGAAATTGTTGCTCCTAGTAGGTTGTTAGAAAGTCTTCAAAACATAAAAGAAAACAAACACATACACACATTTTTACTGATTACTGCTGGGGGTTCAGGGTGTATGGTAGCTAATTATGCTGTGCCGTATTTAATTAAGTTGTATGACCATGCAGTGTTTTTTGTACAAGTCTATGTGTGGTTCTACCTTGCGGAGGAAGCTGCTGGGAGTAGTAGGGCCCCTGGGTCTGTTGCTGAGGCGGGGGCCCAGGTTGTTGAGGAGCTCCATAGTTGCCCCACTGAGGCCCCGGGCCCGGGGGCCCTGGCTGGCAGGGGTACATGCTGCCCTGAGGTGTTGTGGCAGTGCCTCCAGAGTACTGCATCGTACCTTGTGACCCTGGGGCTGAGTAGACATTCTGACAACAGAAAACACAAGTACAACCCATCAAAATCAGAGAATGCCATAAGTAACTAAAAAAATTCAAAATTAGCTATAGTGTGAAATCTGAGGTCTGTTACAATGTTTCTGAAACCTTCTTTTAAAAACAAACTGTGCTGTAAACACAGCAATAAGGTATACAGCAAACCATTCACATTAAGCAATGTAGAGAGATAATAAATTAATCAATGGATCACCCCTCAGATATAATGTTTATTTATAGTCAAAATATACCAATTACACATATGACACACATTACATTTCTGCTGAGACTTATAAAAATACCCCAAGAATACCCCAAGAAAACAATTTCTACAATTGACTGGGACGGTGGTGTCGTCCTGTAATCCAGCTACTAGGTCACGAATTGTGGATATTTATAGGTATCAGTGTTGGGAAGTAGCGCGCTACAAGTAGCGACGCTACAGTAGCGCGCTACTTTTTTTGTAGCGTTAGCTGTAGCTACGCTACTTTTAAGATTTTGTAGCTTTAGCTGTAGCTAGCTACATTTTTAAAGTAGTTGTAGCGCAATTTTAGCTACTTTTCTCGCTACATTAACATTGTTTAAGATAGTGATTTTTATCATAAACTCAACCTTACGTGAAACCTTTCAAACTGAGATTTTCAAAAAAATTAGGCCTACTTTCTTGGCTTCATACAGCTGGTTGTAGCCGTTTCATTCCCTATACAACGTTGTGTGGACATGGAGGCCATTAAATGAGTGTTATCCACATTTTTGGCTCTCATTTCCTTATTTTACTACTCTATGATTACTGTCAGATTAAATAAAATCGCTAGATGCAGACGACTTTTAAACGTTACCGGTGGGCGGTGACAAGAGAAGCTATTGAATGCTTGCAAGTGATTGACAGGGAAATTAATCAATTTAGTTTATTTATTATATCGATAGTGTTTCAACTTGGGTTTTAATGGAAACCAACACTAAACCTTAAAATAATGAGAAAGCTGGTCTATCAACCTTTTGCTTCAGCTGTTGATTGTGGTTCATCATAACAAGCCCTTACTTGGTTAGATTACGAAGATTTTTCAAAGGTTTACTAAATTAACAAAGAAGAAATTACCTGATGTGATTTAAGATATGCCTAGACTAAATGATAATTGTAACGAAAAAATTGTTGAATGTAATTTTATTTTTATATAATATGTTTGCTGTTACTTGTTCTGTATTTAATTTAATTTATTTTGGTAACAGCTGACCATGTGTAAATAGTTAGGATTGTTTTTATAGTAATGAGAATTGTTGAATAAGTTATGTTTGAGTAAAAATGTTGTGTGTGTGTACTTCAGTAAAATAAAAGATAATTATTGTAACAGTAAAACCTTAGGTGTTAGTAATTTACTTTCACTTAAGTCAACAGGTTATGGGGCCCAGAAAAATTCATTAATTCAACCATAACTGTAAAAACAAGAAGTAATCTTCTAGTAAAACCCCAAGAGTTAAAGTGTAGTGAAGGTGAGTGAAAAAGTAAAAGTAAGACTAACAATGGCATCAGTAAAAGAAGATGATTTCGTAGAAAAACTCAAAGGAGTTGAAACTTTTCCATTGTGGAAATTTCAGATTAAAATAATATTTCAATCCAGTGATTTGATGAGTATTGTTGATGGTTCTGAGAAACTTGAAGATATGGGCGATGGAAAGAAGAAGGCTGATTGGATTAAAAGAGATGCCAAGGCTCAGAAGTGTATAGTTAGTTCTATTGAGAAGGGACCGATGTTACATATCATTAACTGTGAAAACTCAAGAGAAATGTTTTTGAAGCTGTGTTATATTTATGAAAGAGACTCAGAGCAGCAGAAGTACTCGTTATTACAAGAATTCTTTAACCTCAGGTATGAGCCTAATTCTGATATAAGTTCTCACATAAGTAGAATTGAAAACATAGCACACAGACTAAAAACTTTAAAACAAGATATTGATGAAAAAATGATAATATCAAAAATTCTTGTCAGTCTGCCAGATAGATTTAAGTATTTTGTAACTGCCTGGGAATCAATGCCCAATGAAGAAAAGACATTGGCAAATCTAACAGCGAGACTGTTAGCAGAAGAGTCAAGAAGTGAGTTAAAGGAGGTAAGCCTAGAGAAAAATCTTGCATTCCAAGTTGTTTGTCACAACTGTAAAATTCCAGGCCATAAAGCAAAATACTGCAAGAAACCTACACACAATTGGGCTAACTCTGATAATGAAAGGCGTTGTTTTAAATGCAATGCTGTTGGTCATCTAGCAAACACCTGTGGAAATGTAAAAAATTTTGTTAACAAGTTTGAAAAAAGAAATGTAAAGCCAAATTTATTTTGTAATATATGTAAAAAGTCAAATCATAATGAAAAAGATTGTTACTTTATAAAAAGCCAGAACCTAAATGTCGCTAGTAAAACTGTGTCATTTTTGTCGTATGATGAAAATGTTCGGGCTAATAGTGGGACTGTAAACTTTGTATCTGAATGGGTTGTTGATTCAGGCACATCTTCACATATGACAAATTGTGAAGATTTGTTAAGTAATAAACAAAATATTTCTTCTGAAATATATGTTGCTAAGAAAAATCAAACCATGTTAGCTTCAACGAGTGGAACCGTAAAATCCAAAGAATGTATCCTGAATAATGTGCTGTATGTTCCTGAACTCAGTAAAAACTTGTTGTCTGTTTCTGCAATAACTAATAATGGTGGTGAGGTTACTTTCTCTGAAAATAAAGTTATGATAGGACTTAGAAAAACTGGAGATAAAGTGTTGGAAGGCTTAAAAAATGCAAATGGATTGTTCACAGTGAAGATTTTTGACATTAATAGTAATTTAAATGCTCAGTTAATAGAAAGAGAAACAAGTAAACCGGTAGTGGATGATAGTGTAATTTTGTGGCATAGAAGAATGGGACATATTAGTTTTGATAGTTTAAATAAACTCATTTCTATGTCAGAAGGTATAAAATTGTCTGGCCAATGTTTGAAGACCTGTGATAGAAGAACGACTTGTGAAGTCTGTTTGAAGGCTAAACAGACAAGGTTACCTTTTAATACTGAAAGAACAAGAGCAACAAGACCACTAGAAATAATTCACACTGATGTATGTGGACCAGTAGAACCAAGTACTCATGATGGTAAAATATATTTTATCACATTTATTGATGATTACACAAACTTTACTATGGTATATCTTTTAAAAGGCAAGTATGAAGTGTTTGATGCAGTAAAACAATATTTTGCAGAAGTAGAGGCTAAATGGAACTTAAAAATTCACAAGATCCGATGTGACAATGGTGGAGAATATATTTCGAAGCATCTCCAAGATTTGTGTAAAACAAAGGGTATAGTGTTAGACTACACTGTTCCTTATTCGCCACAGCTAAATGGCAAAGCTGAGAGGATGAACCGAACTCTTTTAGAAAAAACAAGAGCACTGCTGTTTGATTCAGAATCAAGTAAAGAGCTATGGGGAGAAGCTATGAGAACAGCCGCATACATTGTAAACAGAAGTCCTTGTGAGTCAGTTGACACTACACCATGTGAAAAATGGTATGGCCAAAAACCAGATCTATCAAGGTTAAGAATTTTCGGCAGCAAAGTTTATGCTCGTATAACCAGGCCTAACTTAGGAAAGTTGGATATCAGAAATGAATCATTTATTTTTGTGGGATATGGTCTGAATGCGTATAGGATATGGGATGAACGCTCTAGGAAAATAAAAGTCTCAAGAGATGTGAAATTCGTTGAGTACAAAAGCAAGCATGTTGGCAAAGAACAGGAGAAAACAACAATTATTGAAGACGATGACAGTCACGATGAGAATGACCAGGAAGGAGACAAAAATGAAAATGACAAGAAAGAAGACAAATATGAAAATGACCAGAAAGAAGACGAAAATGAAAATGAAGATATTGAGAGTACAGATAATCTAAGTGAGATAAGTAATAATGAAGTAGAGTTTGAGTTGGTTTCAGACAAAAATGAAATCAATGAAGAACAGCCAAGTTCAAGTAATACTGATACTACACAAAGCATCAAACTAAGAAGAAAAACTAAACTACCTGAAAGATATAAAGATTTTGTGATGTTGACATATGAAGAAGCAATCAAAGGACCAGATAAAAAGAATTGGCTACAAGCAATTGAGGATGAGAAAAACTCCCTAATTGAGAATGAAACGTGGGAAGTGGTTGACAAGAAGCAAGCACTAAACAAGAAGATCCTAAGTAACAAGTGGGTATTAACAAGAAAGGATAACGGAAAATACAAAGCGAGACTAGTTGTAAGAGGTTTTGCCCAAGAACAAGGTATAGACTATGATGAAACCTACAGCCCAGTTGTAAGTAATTCAACTTTACGTTTGTTATTTTCATTAGCTGCCAAACAAAATCTCAAACTAATGCAATTTGATGTTAAAACTGCTTTTCTCTATGGAAATTTAGATGAAGAAATTTATATGTGTGTACCTGAAGGGTTTGATCATAAAGATAAAGTTTTAAAATTAAGAAAGACTTTATATGGACTTAAACAAGCTCCATTTAAATGGAACCAGTTGTTTACAAACTGCTTACTAAAATATGGCTTAAAACAAACTCATTCTGACCGTTGTGTTTTTACAAATGGCAGTATTCATCTTGCTATATTTGTTGATGATGGAATTCTTGCTGGTTCAGATGAAAGAGAGATGAAGAAACTTTTGAACGAGCTGTCTAGAGATTTTAAAATAAAAACAGACGAAAACCCATCAAACTTTCTTGGAATGGAAATTTTATATTCAAGGGAAGGGATATTGTTAACACAAAAGAACTATTCAAACAGTATTCTCGAAAAATATGGAATGATAGATTGTAAACCTGTAGACACTCCCATTTGTCCAGTGAAAACGAGCAAACCTGATGAAGAAGTAAGCTGCCTGACAAAAGATTATCCTTACAGAGAAGTTGTAGGAAGTTTGCTGTACTTATCCAATAAAACCAGACCTGATCTTACACTTGCTGTGGGATTAGAAAGTAGATGTGTTGAGAATCCAATCAATGAAGATGTTGTAAATGTCAAACGAACCTTAAGATATATTAAAGGTACTCAAGACGCAGGAATATTATTTTCAGCATCAGGAGAAAATTGCCTAAATGTATATTGTGACGCAGACTATGCAAATTGCAAGCATACAAGAAGAAGTACTACTGGATTTGTCATAATGTATGGAGAAGACCCAATAAGCTGGTGTACAAGAAGACAACCGATTGTAGCTTTGTCCAGCACTGAAGCAGAATACATTGCAGCGGCGGAATGTGTCAAAGAAGTGTTATATTTAAAAACTTTCTTGCAAGAGTTGAGTGGAACTAATGTTGAAACAAACCTAAACATGGACAATCAAAGTGCTATTAAGCTTTGTAAAAATGGAATTTTTAACAAGCGAAGCAAACACATTGATGTTCGCTACCATTTTTTGACTGAAAATGTAAGGCAAGGTAAAATAAACATTTCTTTTGTTTCTACATCTGAGAATGTTGCGGATATGTTTACAAAACCCTTGAACAATGTTAAGTTTCATCAATTTAGCAAAGCTTTGATCAACTATCCAAAATCTTGAACAGAAGACGATAATCAAGATATTTATTTTTTGTTTCTTACATAAAATTAAAATTAAGGGAAGGTGTTGAATGTAATTTTATTTTTATATAATATGTTTGCTGTTACTTGTTCTGTATTTAATTTAATTTATTTTGGTAACAGCTGACCATGTGTAAATAGTTAGGATTGTTTTTATAGTAATGAGAATTGTTGAATAAGTTATGTTTGAGTAAAAATGTTGTGTGTGTGTACTTCAGTAAAATAAAAGATAATTATTGTAACAGTAAAACCTTAGGTGTTAGTAATTTACTTTCACTTAAGTCAACAAAAATCTCCATATAACATGAAACTTACATTGAAAAAATAGCATAGTTTGCTCCTGCTAACAGCTCTTGTATAGGACTATTCCTAGGCTATGCTATGGTTTAAGAGTTAAGACGAATACCAAGTTCCAAGTTCAATTATTAGGAATATATCTCTTCAGTCATTGCAAAAACAATCCTACTAACTTATAGCCAACTTGTTACATAGCCAAGTAGGCCTATATGTTATTTTTACTTTACAAATTTCCACATGTTTAAATTAAAAGCCGATTTCAGGATAAGTTGCTGAATACTGTTTTCTGTACCAACTAGGTTGAAGCACAATTTGCCCTATGCATAATGACAATAAAGGACGATTTCTTGACATTGAAAAGTGTTATTCATTGAACAAGTAACTTATCACTATGGTTAAAAGTTATAACAATGTCGTTTTTAACATTAAAAGTTAAGAAAGGCAATAAACTCCAATTTCAGTAGGCTAACTTAGGCTCTGTAACACCAACAAGTATTTTTAAATAATCGTTTTACAGTTTTATTGGTCTTAATTGTTTATACAAGACATCTATAAATGAATCTATATTAAAGAAATAAAATGAGTTTTTAAAATATAGTTTGGTTGTAGGCCTATGTCCTTTGAACTTAATGAAATTTACATATAAGATGCTTTAAAAATAATGCAATATTTAAAAATAAAAACTAAATATGATGGGAAACCCAACTATTTGGTTCTGTTGTTTTAATGTTAGGTATACAATGCCAACAAATTAAATACAATCTAGGAATAATTTGTTTTCCAAGTAATGTTAGACACACATTGACTATATATACCTGTAGGTATATAGGCCTATAGTCAATGATACAATACTGACATTTTTTGTTTAAATGTTTGTTCAATAAAAATGTAGTTGCAATTAATTTTACATTTACCTAATGTGCGTGGAATAAAAATTAACGTCTTTGGAAAAGTAGCTAAAATTGTAGCTGTAGCAACATTTCATTGTAGCTGTAGTTGTAGCTAGCTACTTTTTCGGAACTGTAGCTGTAGCTGTAGCTAAGCTACTTTTTTGGAAATGTAGCAGTAGTTGTAGCTAGCTACATTTTAAAAGTAGCTTCCCCAACACTGATAGGTATGCATTGTGGATACGATACTCCCTGGTGTGCATTAACATCCGCACTAGTGAGTACTATGACTATCTGCAGTACTATCCTGATAAGTAGACCAATTCGTTAATACCAAGGCAAAAATGTGGTTTGGATTCCACTATAAACTGAAGGCCCATAGTTGCCATTAGCTGTATGGGCTATTAATTAACAGCTGTGTTTTACAAATATGTCGGCCTTAGTCACTAACAAGACTAGATGATCTCGCCACTCATCCTACACTCATCCTTCACTCATGTTTGGGTTAAAATATGCACATAGTGGCATTCCCATCTTAAATAACTGATACTTGATACAGTCCTGTGTTCTATTTTCTTAGGTCCAATTGTGTTTGTAACTTGAGTGATTTTGTCTTTAACAGACAATGTCCAAATTTTACAAAGCTACTTTGAAAATGTCAAAATAAACACACTTAGAAAGAGTTCCATGCAGCTAACTACACAAGAAGCTCAAAACCCAATTAATATATTTCACCACTACCAAGGGGCTTCAGGGAGAGAAAAGTAGTATAATCATTCATTATTGGTTTAATTATTCACCATCGATTCTCCTACTTCCTTCTAGAGTAGCCCTCTTTATTGTGGCAAAATATCAAATTAATTGTCTTATAAACCTTTGCGCTGTCAACTGCCTGGAACTCTTTAAATGGTTAAGTCGAATGCATTCCTTTTTCCCAAATTTATTCCTAAGCCATTATTAGTTAGACTATAAAAGGTATACAATTACCTGTCGCTCAGTTGTATCAGTAGTTATTCTTGTGCAAGATCTAAAGATGAGGATTTAGTCCTCGAAACGCGTCATCCATAAAGATTACATAGGATCACTCTGGCAGCACTCTTACAATAATCCTACACCTTTTATAGTTTGCATCGTAGATTCAGAGACAAATATGAAGTATTAGTTAAGAGTTTAACACACCTGTACATGCTGCATGGGTGCAGGCTGCATGTGTCCGGGAGGCGTAGGCTTGGCTTGTTTCCTCTTGCGCTGAGTTGCCCCAGTCTTGGCACCCCGCTTGCCCCCGCCACCTCGAGGACTCTGCTCCACACTGTTGGGCGTGTCCGGTGCCCCCACCATGCCTCCTGCCATCCCCGCCTTCATCTGACCGCAGTACACACATCCACACTTCACATCAGGTCAGACACTGTTCTGTTGCCAACCGCACGCACGAGCAATACGACAACAGAGAGGAAAACTACCTACGTGCCGAGCTTGTCCACTGAACTGATAACTTGACAATGGTCATATTCAGATTGAAGGTTCATAATATTTTCAATTAGGGAAGGATGGGTTACCTAAATTTCAGAAAATTTTCAATGATATATTTTTGATCTTCAAACACAATTACAAATGATTCACGATTTTCTAGGAACAGGATTTATTTTAAATGTCACGAGTAACAATGTAAGATGTTTGGAGGACATCTCCTGCGTCATGATATAGCGGGAGAAGATTATGATGTCACCGTGATTACACAGATGAAGTCGTGATGACATAGAACAGTGTGATAAAGACTGAAAATTGGCTTTATTTGTTGTTACTTTCATATTGAAGAATGTTTTCTCAAGATTATTAAACACAAGTTAAGTTTCCCCAGTGGCATGAGAAGTAAAATTTCGTCTCTTTTACGACCCAAAAATAAGAAAGGAAATCAAAATCTTGCCTTGTCCTGTTCCAGACTAAAAGATCAATCTATCAATAATAATACAAATAATAATTATAATAATAACAAAGCAATTTAATAATACTGTAACAATATTATATATTTAAAAAGAAATGACTAGACAGTATATTCTTCTTCATCCTTCCTCAACGAGAACAAACAATCAATTTCTGAAGAATGTGATTCGTGTTTATTTGTACTTTACTTGCAAATAATTTTGTCGGTAAAATAAATATGCTGTTCAACCTACCCACCACAAAATCTTGAATACTTGGCCAATAATCTTTACCCACGAATGTTATTAAATTATACAGCTCAACTTGGAGAAACTCGGCACAAACTAAAAATATAAATAAATTAAAATAAATACAACAAACATAATATTGGTTTAAATTGATTTATAATTTGTACATTTAGTTTGCTATATATTAGCTTCGAGCTTTCATTGATAAGTTCAACAAATCCTCATTAACATGGACTCCATTGATTTAGACAACACTATTCAAGTTTATTTCTGTAAATCAATTTTTCAAAACGATGTTAAACTACAAATTATGCTCTTTCTCCTAGTTCCGACCTTTTTTCATATCAAATTTATTATTATATTTTATCATGAATTTCAATCAACCAACTGAATTGGATCTCCCAAATCAACCAGAAGGTTTAAGGTTCATCTCAATTTAATCAATCTTTGTCCACCCGTATTTTCCTAGGCCAAATTTCTTGTTAAAACTTGCAATCGGACAAATCACTAAGCTTTAACCTGGTTCCACAACAAATAAATAACCACATCACATTTACTACGTCCGTATGTTTAAGTGTTTGAAAACAAGTTCATAGATTCCATTGTGATTAACTGGTCAATTTTTAAAAGCGACAATTTTGGTCTCATTAACTTGTGAACGCAGTATCATTTCTGTCACTCAATTGCTGTGTAGACAAACGAAAATCAATCCAATAATCCAAAAATAAATAAATAAACAGTGAGATAAATAAAGGAGTTGTAGGGTAAAGTCATGCTACTCCGGTTATGTCCGGGACTCACAGGTTTGTCCGGAGGTGGGTCCAGGTCTTCTGGTGGGAGAGGCAAGGGTTCCAGGAAGTATGAAGAAGACTTGACTAGTGAGTGAGTGTGGTAGCGCAACAGTCTGTGGTTCTCCTCATACCTGAAACAACAGTTAAAGCTTATTATAATTGCACAGATTGTAAATTTTGTTGTCTATTTTCATTTGGGTTTTCATTGTTATATGAACACATATAGGAAACTTTACAGAACAACAGTAATATAATTTGAAACCATCATGGCTTTTTTATCATGAATTTTAATTTATTTTCATTCAATTTTGTAAATCACATTAAATTGATTTTGATGATTGCTGTATCACACACTTTTAATGATTTAAGAACAAATGTGAAAAAAATATTTTTCCTACAGTTACCTAACAATGTACATGTTCTCTCACTGATTTGAGAAAGCAAAGTGGCCAATTCGCTCATCAGTGAGACAATGTTAACATTGTCTCACTCTAATTACTTTGTCTCACTCCAGATTTGCAACGTGAAGGCACGAAATAGTGAGCGCGTAACATGCAGGGCAACGTCGTATGCGCGCGAAATACGTTGGCAGCACTGGCTGTAAATCAGCTGGTCAGCTGTTGTACTGTTGTATTTGTCACTTCACGTTAAATGTTAAATTAAAAGATCACTTCTGTGTAAAAATAGGTTATGTTTCTTCGCCAATTTATTTGTTTTATGGTAACTGTAGGAAAAGTATAATGTGCAACTCGAGTTCAAAGTACAATTGCCTCACTCGAGAAACCATTCCTCACTCGCCTATGGCTCGTGAGTAAGGATTTCTCTCGAGTGAGTCAATTGCTCACTTTTCTCACTAGTTGCACAAATAACTATTTTCTGCAGTTTTAAGTGTCAACTATCTAAATGTCGGTTATCCAAAACATTAATTATCCAAACCCAAGATTTTTTTGTGATTATATTTTGTTTGTAATTTATTCACACAAAATCAAAATTTTAATTTTCCTATACCCTTCACCAAGTTAAGTTTTACATTTAAGATTTTATTTTTCTAAGCTTAGCTTTGCTGTTTTACTTTGCAAACAATTTTGATTATTTAATTCCTGTTCAATTTCAGTAAATTCAGATAATCGTCACTCTATCTTTGGTGGTTACAACAGATCAAAGGTTTGTTTAAAACAAAAATTACAGACCAAGTTTCTAAACAGGTTTACAACAACAAAATAAATGTAAACTTGCCAGAGAGGTTTACGCTCGATCCTGACAGCTCCAAACCATGACCAGGACAATGGCGCAGGGTTCTTGTGTCCTTCCAACAGATCCCACGGCGGAACTCTCTGCTTCTCTGATACTTGCAGGCCCTGGATATGTGTCAAAGTCAGTGGTAGTTACAGAATCACCTCTTTCAATAACTATAAGTGTCATCTGCCCGTAAGCGTTTACTTTTTGATGCCAGGATTGACGTCCCATCTTTGTCAACCATAATAGGATTAAAATCTGCGTACGCAATTGCCAGACGAGTCAATGGTAGCTTATTTAATGTAGGTATATTCTGTACATTTTTGTAATTTTTTCTTTTTTGCTCTCTAGGTCTAGCCCGCAAGTATTTTTCACATTTACTGAAGGCTAGTGTTATAGAGAGGTCTGTGGCATTATCACTTGGGCCTGCCATACACGTTCCGTCCCGGCCTCAAGGCCTGGCCTTGAGGCCGGAACTGCACAGTTTGGCCGGAGTCGTGACCTCTCCACACACGCTCAGTCCGGAACTGCACAGTTTGGAGTTTTTGAGACGATTTTATTTTTTTTCAACTCTTTTCTAAACGCAATTCTTAACCACAGTGTCTTTTGTGACTTTTGGGTCCGCCTTCTTTACAAAATCCAATAATTCTTGATAGGCTGCTTCCCTCATTTCCCTGTTGTGGAATTCTTTGTTTTTTTATTTTCCAGACGCATTCGTGACCTCGGTATTTCTCTATGAATTCGAGAGTCAAGTCTCTTGACCAGGTAGACATGATTAATGTGAAGTGCATAACGAAATCACTACACAACACTACAACGCCAAAATGCGAAAATTATACCAACAAAACAACAAACAACACAACTCCGATTATGCTTTCACCAGTAGTTGACTGACGATGAAGAAAGGATGCGAATGCGATAATGCTTAAAATTTATGGGGGGAGGGGGGAAGCAGCACTGTCTTGGACTGCGGGATTCGCCATACACGTTCAAATCGGCCTCAAGGCCGGGCCTGGCCGGACGTGTTTCACATCCGGCCGTCCGGCCAACGATCTGCCTGAAAGAATCGACATACACGTTCAGTTTTTCCTTCAGTCCAGGACTGTACAGTCCGGGACTGAAGGAAAACCGGAACGTGTATGGTAGGCCTTGGATAAACCCCATTAATGACTGACGGGACTTAAACCTGGGACCTCGGGGACCGAAGTCCCTTATTCTACCACTAGACCAGCTCGCTCCTCTGCATGTTCCGTTAATAGATACAAAAAAATCAAAACATATAGCATTGCATACATACATAATCTATCAATAACACGTCTGGCAATTACATAAGTTGATTATCATCTTATTATTGAATATTAAGCGTATCAAGGCTATTCAATGTATCATCTTACACAAAGAAAATGTCAATCAAAGTATAGGAGTCACATTGAAAACTACATTGCAGCTTACCAGTAAGTAATCTAAATTTTCGTTTAATGGGGTTTGATCTCCTCCTGAGAGTCTTTAGGGTCAAAAAACCTTCTTGACCCGTCATTGCGAGTAGGAGAAATGAACTTTCCACAATAGCAGTGAACACTGATGATTCAACTTGAATTACCTGTGAAGCTGGGCCATACAATAATAAACACAATGACATTGTAGACTCACAGTTATCTTGTCAGTGCAGTCAAAGGCTATCTTGTTGCCCTTCATGTCAGTGAGCAGGCCGTGTGGAGAACAGGCGATCACCTCACACACCTGCTTGGGCAGTGGCAACAGCTGACGTAGATGTTGTATAGATGGCGACGACTTGTCACCCACCTCCTGGCATCACAATACAAAACATGACAACTTCACACAATTGAGTGAAGTGTTCTCAAACCATTATATTTCAAAGGAAATTCGAGTGGACAAATAGGAATCTTTTAAAAAGAGATAGCGTACAGCTAGCTTACTTGAAAAAAGTCCAGGGGCTAATCTACTAAAAAAGGGTCATAGAACACAGTACTGATATTTCACCCAAATGTAGGACTTGAGAAAGCATTTATCTTTTATCTACTCCCTGAAAAAGTCACTATAGTACAACATCAAATTGATGCCATCCTAAGGCTGTACAAAACGGCTGCACTGTTACTGCAGTTATCTTCCGCTGAATCCTGTCAGTGTTCAGAACACGAAACAGTAAACAAAATTGAACACACAAATATAAAAACACAGTTTCTTAAAATTATCTGATTTAGTCTGTCACAAACCTGGCAAAACTTTACTCTATACGCTCACATAAGTCAAATGGACTTATAGTGCAGAAAGTTCTCCAATATGTTTTCCCGTTAGGTGGACCTTCAGTTTAATGTGGGTTTAAAACTACCAGATCATCCAGACATCACCTCATAGCCAAAATCTAGTTAAACAGAAAATATTCTTAAGGCCCATGACAGCAGGTAGACACCCTAACCACTCGACTAGTTGCTCTCCTTTTATACATAATGAGATTGCAATATTCATAGTTGATTACTGTAATCACTAACATTAAAGCCAAACAATACAGTGGCCTATACAGCTTCAGAGCTAGTGAAGTTACCTTTTTGAGTTTGCGCATGAGGTTCTGGTAATGTCTCCTGTTCTCCTCGCCCTTGTCAGACTGAGAGTCGGACACCAGCGTGGAGTGGATGAGAGTGGCCAACATGTCTATCACAGTGCTAAACAACTCCCTGAATACACATACAAGCATTGTCAACTCGAGTGCTAGTGCTGTGGGTAATGGGTAAAACACCCTGGTGCCGACAAAACATCAAAAGACACAAGTTGTGATTATCTCAATCCAACAGGCAAGAAAATAAAACATTGTATCCCAATTCATTTGCAGTAGAACATTCACACAAATTACATTTTCTTATTGATATAAGAATTTGTGGGGTACTGTATTAAAGTTTTCCAACAAATTCATGATCATTGACAACCCTATTAAATAACTTTTTAGTTTGTATATATATAATCGGAAAGCAAGTTATATACAGTCATGAGTGGATTGACTAACGCATTGTTGTTGAGGTCTATGACGCCGTGTGTGATAAGTTGGACCAGCAGTATAGCCCAGTCCGTGGTCAGGTTAGTGTTCCGTTGTATAGTGTCAAACATTCCCCCTACCAGGCTGAACCTCAACAGCAGTGCGTCCTGCATCTGGGCCCGTCCTTTGGGCGAGTCGTCCCGACTCTTCTCCTGCAAGTAGAATGTCTCATAAAGACAGGCAGTTAAAAAAAAAAACATTGATTAAAATTCCTTAAGGGAAAAACAATATTTGTTTATACAATTATTAATTAAAAGACAATGAAGATGATGGAATGGAAACACAAGTGACAAACATATCAAAAAGGGTTCCTTGGAGTTGATAGCATACAAAACTTCATTTCATTTTTAAACCCTATGGCCTATAATAGCTTCTTCAGAAGGAAGTGACGAAGAAAACTTGCCTTCAAAAGAAAAAAAGTTACATGATGCTCCCTTGTAGAAGCAAATATCAATAAACATGTTTTCAACTTTTTTGGTACTTTACATTGGTTGGTACTCTTTTATTTGGAAAGTTAGTCAAGTATCCACCACTACGCCAAGAGCTCTTCCCTCTAAAAAAATGAATTAAAATAATTATTTGAGGCTGGTTGTGTCCTACAGATGATGTAATGCAAATAAAGTGACTTCAAAAAAACCTTTTCAGCAGTCTCTTCCCAATGACAGAATTCTTCAACTTTTAGATCAGAAATAATTCAACCATCTCCCACTACTCACATCTTTGCTCATCGACAGACACTGGCTGAGCTGGGAGTGCAGCGAGGTAAGCAGCCCCTCTCTCTGGTCGTCCTGTCCCTTGAGACAAGTTAGTACCAGTGACAGGAACGGCTGGTGGTGTGACAGCGAGGGGGTGGGTGGGTGTGATGGCCGGGAGGGAGGGGTGTGCTGTGGAGTGCGAGATGACTCCTTGCTGCGACTGCTAGGTGTGCCGCTAGACTGACTGCTGCTGCCCCAGCTGCCACTCTCTAGCACCTGACCTATAGAACATTATAAGTTATAAGTCAACCACCGGCACACAGTAAGATAATGGTTGATACGATAATACTAGTAAATAATGTTGTTTCCTTCAATACACATCTTCATCAGTACCGGTACTCCTCTCTCTCTCTTTACTCTTTACATCACTTTCATTTGTATGGGAAAAATGTTATAGAGGTGGCCAGCGGCCCTCTTCTCAAAAAGCCCGCAAGCATTTGATTAGTTTCACCCTTTGAGCCCAAAATGCCTAAATATCAGCCATCAAAAACATCATAGCCGTACTTGTATTCAAATCTTTCCACCAGAGTTTAACTTGACAGCCTAAGTCAATAACACAACATCTGCAGCACCTGGGAGTGAAGTTTAGAACTACTACGTTTGGGATTTGGGTTGTGGGTTGACCAGGGTCGTTGGTGCAGAAGAACATAAGATCTGGCCATGGTTGAGAGGTCTATGGAGTTGTCTCCCCGGCCAAGAGACAGCAACGTAGATTGACGGTTTGAAAAATTTAACCCCATTTCAGGCAGGTCTCCTAGTCAACCTAGGTAACCTAGGATGACCTAGTCACCTGACTGTGGCAGAACTTAGTGGGAGAGTCCTACTTGAATAAACAGTAGACAGCTCAGATAGAAGTTGATGGGTGGGTGAATTCCTTGTCAACTGCGACTCAAATCAGACTGTTAGAGTTATAACTAGTGAACTATTAACATTAACTATTGACTTACCAGCAACTTTAAGCACTCTCCCTTGCACAGCACTGGGTAACTTGGATATGAGTGGAGCTACGAGCCACATACTTTGCGACTTGGATTTTTTATCACTGTCACCCCTGAAAACATCATTATAAAAATCATAACGGGAAAATAAACATATCGAATTAAACAACACCTCGTTTGTATTACAAAAAAACAAAGATTTAGGCTCAGGTTTAGTTTTTTTAAAGAGGATAGGCCTATAAAAATCCTGGGTGTATTGATTGACAGCAGTCTTTCCTGGTCAGCTCGTATTTATTTTGTCTGTGCAAAACTGTAAAGAGTTATTTATTTAGTGATTGGGTTAAAAACTGTTGTTTCTGAGAAATATATCCGTGTAGCCTATTTAGCATTTTTTAGTCAGTGTAAAGCTATGGTCTATTCTCTGGGGAAGCTTATTGATCTAATTTTGAATGGGTTACTGTGTAACCCTATGTTACCGAATATTTTGTATGCGACCATGTATTTTGCATGTTTGTTATGCCAAATGACAATAAAAGATTTGATTTAATATGAGAAAATAATACGAATGTCACAAATACGATAAATCAAATCAAATCAAATCAAACATCACTTTATTCAGCTTTATAAATACAGGAATACATTACTAGTGGCAAGAATAGTATTCCCCCGAATGGACTGCAAGTCCGTGCTCGAGGGAAGAGCTCTTACCAGCAGGAAATATGTTTTGGTTATTGTCCATAGGTCAAAAACATGTGCACACTGTTTATAAATAATGTGTACATCTATACTTAAATACGTATCAGGAGCTCTTAAAAACATATATATGCTATATAAATATATTGTATACTAGAACTATTTAACAATAAACAGCCTTAACAGGGTGTCTACTACATTCTGGATAAAAAATTCATGGACAATTCCCGTACATTTAAGGACACTTTGCCGTAACCTTTGTCGGTGTCATTAGGCCTACCGAATAATTTTCCTGATTTGTCAAACTGTATTAATCTTGTTATTCACTGTAGTTGTACCAGAGAGAAAAGTAAATAATAATAGATAAGAGTTAAAAATAACAAAATAGAAATTTATTGAAAGTAAACAAACATAGGCCTACCTATACTTTAGGTAAAGCTTTTATAGTGTAACAGAGAAACGCAATCATTGTCTCCTGCGATAGGGACAAATATCTCCATCAGTCACGTAAACTTCATAACATAGCTTATCCGATCCAGGCCGATTAATTTGGCATGATTCGCCCTGGCACAACGTTAGGTTCTCGACTACTTTTGAAAAAAAATCTTTAATGCATATTGTTACTCAATTCTTCAAGGTTTGGTAAGCGGCTATTAATAAGCAATAAGCACAGATTAAGATTATTGTATTTTCATTTGCAAAGTTAATATCGACACATAGCAATCATTAGTTGTTTATCTTAGGCTCAATTACATTTTCTTAATATTTTACAGCTCTTTCAAGAATCAAAATACCCAGGCCTAGACCTAATTATTTAGGAGGGCCTATATAAACTGAGTAACAAACAATGAGGTTATAATAGCAGCAAAGTCACTATCATCATTCTGTTTCATAAGATTTTGATTGCTTAAAGCATACAACTCAATAAATAAATATATGGGAAACAAAAAACATTGAAACCTGAATAGCCAACAATATAAGACAAAGATACAGAAAATGCAATGACATAATTTGAAACCAAGCAGGCCTACATAGTGATCTATATATTAATTTGAAACTGTTTTTCTTTGTCACAGCTATTTTGAGAGAACGGCTGGGCGTAGAAACTCGGTAGAGGTGTCTAAAGAAAGGTCTTGGTCTGTAGATGAGCCATCAAAAGAGAAACATGGTGAATTCCCTTGGGGCTCTGCCCCCGTGGCCTTTAAATTCCCATCCCATGTTATTCTTATGGAGGAAAACGGGGTTTTTGTCACAGCTAATTTGGAAGAACTGCTGGGCGTAGAAACTTGGTAGGGGTCTCTAAAGAAAGGTCTTGGTCTGTAGATGAGCCATCAAAAGAGGAAAGAGGTAAATACCCTTGGGGCTCTGCCCTAGAAAAAGTTGCCTCTTCAGATTTGTTTACATTACGACCAGATGCATAATTCTACACTACTTTCTAATGCAACAGCTGTCAATATTTAAATTGTGATTTATTTAATTTGTCAATATGAAGTACAGTACAGTATTTGCAATGGATTTTTCTGATTTTAAAATTGATTTTCTTCTTCATCGTACAGTATCATGTTTTGCAATATAATGTTCTATTACCAAATCAGTGGAAAATCCTAATATCACAGTAACTTTTAAAATTATTTATTATGGATTTAACTTATATCTATTCTATTGGTTGGTTTCTGCCGTTTTACCACTCCTTGGAGATTGTACGTAGGTGATATTCTTTGGCATATTGCATCTGTAGACGAAACTTGGGTTGGTGTAATTATTACAATGGAAATCCTGGACAATTTGATATAGGCTAAAAATAAAACTGAATTAACACTGTGCTACATTTCTTGAGCAATCATTGAAATAACCGATTTGCAAACAATGGAAACATAGAAAAAGACATAGAACACAACCAAGTAGAAGAAATAGAAATCATGTTTTTTTTTACACAATAAACACTAAAAAAACAAGAACAGCTTTTTGAAAAAAGATAAGGTATTTACAACAGATTTTGATTATATCTAACTATCGTGAGTATTTCCATAATCTTTGAGTCGCCTGTAATGCTTTGCAATTGCTCGAATTCGAGCAACAGGTACACTAGTAAAACATTAATGCAAACAACAATGCTTGTGGTTTTGTCAATTGAAAGATAAAATGTCCATAAAAAAGGGGTTAACTTACAAAATAAGACTGTAGATTATTTACATGTTTAATATGAAACCATAAACAGTTTTATGGCACTAGGCAATCGCCGCGCTGCGGCTTGCCGAAAGTACGAGTAAGAAGTGAAATTTAACAGCCATTATAAAGCTACAGTGGAACCTTAATAAATCGAACCTCAATAATTCGAAATCCTTGATAAATCGAATTTTTTAAATTCCCCTTGAACTTCCCTAACTATTGCAACGTTAATTTTGCCTCTACAATTCGAATATTTCACAAGAAACACCTTTATAATTCGAAGTTTTATGGTATTTTTCGTCGTAAAAGTACCTCTATAAATCGAAGTTTTAGTCCAAAAACCTCTACAATTCGAAATCGTGCAACTGCCGAACCTCTACAAGTCGAAGTATTAGCAAGAAACCCTCTATTAATCGAAGTTGTATGGAATTTGTTATGATTCAAAACATCGATACTGTACTTTACTGCGTCGTGTTTCGTGTTTCGACAGGAAATCCAACTTCCGCTCCTGTTGCAATCTATCTCAGTCATGTGCGTGTGTGTACTCGAGTAGTTTAGATACAGTGTCTCCTTTGTTTTAGAGTGTTTAGTGCTAGTGAGTTTTTATAGCCAATATGGCAAAACGTTCGTACAAGACACTTACCTACGAGGATAAGTTAAAAGTTATCGAAGCAGTAGAAAAAGGTGACAAGAAAAAATGTGAAATCGCTAAACAGTTTGGTATACCGGCCAACACTTTGTCAACCATTTTAAAACACAAGGAGAAGTATGAAAGCAATGCATCAAGATCGAAGAGAATAAAAGGACCGGAATCTAAAGAAATTGAAGATTGTGTGTTGCAGTGGCTTAAACAATGCCGGGATAAAAATTTACCTGTGAGTGGACCGACTTTACAGGAAAAAGCCGTCGAATTTGCTACTCAACTTGGCAAAACAAACTTTCGGGCAAGTAATGGGTGGTTACAAAATTTTAAAAAAAGAAACGAGATTGTTTTTAAAAGAATAACGGGCGAAAGTGCTAGTGTGGACGATCAGTTGTGTACAGAATGGACGGAAAAAATACCCGATCTAACAAAGGGCTACAAACCCGACGACATATTCAATGCGGACGAAACTGGACTTTATTATCAGTGCTTACCGGATAAAACATTAGCGTTCAAAGGAGACTCATGCCATGGAGGCAAAAATAGTAAGCAGAGAGTTACAGTGCTACTTGGTGCAAACCAAACTGGAACCGTTAAACTCAAACCGCTAATGATTGGGAAGGCCAAAAACCCACGTTGTTTCAAAGGTGTAAAAAGTTTCCCGATGGACTACACTTCAAACCCTAAATCTTGGATGAAATCTGAAATTTTCGGCAAGTGGTTAAAAGACCTTGATAATGATATGAAGAAGAAGAAAAAGAAAATTCTTATGTTCATCGATAATTGTACAGCCCATGGTGATTTACCCAAGCTAAAAAACATTAAAATCGTGTTTTTACCCCCTAATACGACATCCAAACTGCAGCCTCTAGATCAAGGAATCATCAAGAACTTTAAAGTGTTTTATAGAAAAGAAGTGGTTCGCCGGTTCCTAAGTGACCTAGAAAAAAACAGCCCCACAAAAATCGATGTGCTTGACGCAATGTGGATGGCGTCAAAGGCTTGGAATAATGTATCTGAGAAAACAATCGAAAATTGTTTTAAGAAAAGTGGATTCACTCAGAAACCCGAAGAAAATGCAGAAGACACAGATGTGGATATCAGTGTGGTTGATGACCCTCCTAATAATGAACTCGAGCCTCCGACGCGTTGGAATGAAGTTACACGGTCTCTTAATGTTGAGGATCTAACGTTCGAGGAATTTGTCAATTTTGATGACGATGTGGCGACAAGTGGGGCACTAAGTGAAGCGGATATAATCGCCTCCGTTACACAAGACCCACTAGAAGATAATGTAGGAGAGGGCGACGACGAGGGTGAAGCGGACGACGAGAACGAAGCAACGGACCCGGACCCGACACTCAGTGATGCGCGTTGTGCAATTGATGTCTTGCGCAAATTTCTTCAAAAGAAGACGATGATGAGTGACCAAACAATTAAATCAATTTCTGTACTGGACGACGCGCTGGACAAAGTTACTCTAACAGGTAGACAAACTACAATTTCTGAATATTTTTCTGTATAAGGAGTTAACCATACAAACATTTAGGCTCCTACTGTAGCCTATCTCTGTTTTATGATGTACTGTATCAGCAAATATTTTGTTTTCTACTGTAAATGTAAAGTAAATATTTTTACCCTGTAGCCTATCTTTGTTTTATGATGTACTGCATCAGCAAATATTTTGTTTTCCACTGAAAATGTAAAGTAAACATTTTTACACTGTAACCATTTTCAATACAGTACATCAGTTAGTCATCGTTTTGAGTTTCGTTTGATTTTAAGAAATATTTTATCTATTGAGACTTTGTTATACAGTAAATATTTTCACAATTTGTATTAAACAAAATGACTATACATGTATTCCATTTTTGCAGTTTGTAAATGTACGGTAGGCTATTGAAAACTTGTACAAGTTGCGTTAAAATGTTCTTTAAAAATCAAATGTATGTTTTGTTAAATACATTGACATTGATTTTGTTTTGTACTGTCATTGATTTCAATAAATACGTATACTGTACTGAATTTTAAAACGAGTTATTATTTATTTCCCGGTCTGTTTTAAAGTATACCAACATGCTTTATTTTAAATCTATACATTTAAAGCTTATTTTCTTTAGTCTAAACTTTTAATGTGATAGTACCAGTCAGTTTTTTGGACCTCTGATAGTGATTTGCCCATCATTCATTGTAAAAAGTGAAAGTTCCAAACAGGCGATAAGAGAACAGGTGCCCGTCTAATAACAAAAGGGTCGTAGCCGAGGGGCAAAAAACTGAGAGGGTGTCTGCCAATGACTCATTTCTTTGTTTACTTCATTCGCGCTACTCTATAACCTTTCCACTGAAAAATGGCTATGAGCCGTAGAGTACGTTCAACAAAGAATTGAACCTCTATAAATCGAATTTTGGGGAGAATGAACCTTGATAAATCGAACCTTTATTATTCGAAGTACTCGATAATTCGAAGTTTTCCCGTTCCCCTTGGGATTCGATTTATTGAGGTTCTACTGTATTATTTTCACGATAAAATATGTTTGGGATCTAATAATAATTACCCTAGTAATAAAAAAAGAAGTTGTAAAGGAATAAAAGTGATACAACTTTTATGAGCTAGCTGCTGAGTCAACAGTTCTTGGAAGTACTTGACTTGACACTTGATTGTCGTGATAAAATATTTATGGGTTTGAGATTGTTAATGTATGTATGTATTATCTTTTTAGCGAATTTCCCATATAGGAAATAAGCTATTACCGTAGTACTCATGGTAAGACCTGGACGCGGGACTGATTTACTTTTTTGTTTTGAGGTCCCTAGAGGCCAAAAACACCATCCGTTCAAATTCATATATATATATATATATTTATATATATATTTATATATATATATATGTGTCCGTTAGCACGATAACTCGAGCAAAAATGATCCAATTTTGATGAAATTTGGTATAAACGTGTAAACCTATATTCATTCGAACGAGTTCGCGAACCAGCATGATCGGATCATGGGATCGGGTGTTTATGGGGGGTTTTATGGGGTAAAAATAGGTTTTTCCCATTTTTGACCCTATAAACACATCATTTCACAATTTCTTTCCAAACCATTTTGTAGAGCTTAAAAAAAAAACAAATAATTTAGTATATTGAAGCATTATTGTGCGCCTAATGGTTACGGAGAAAATTCCAAAAAATTGTAAATTTAAAATTCTCATGTTATTCTTATGGAGAATAAGTCAACTGTTGTAATTTGCTTGTTTATGAACATATTTTGATCGAATTTGTAAAATACTTTCATTTCTTACTAAACTATTAACATTTTACAACAAAAATCACCTTTTTACCTTCCCTGTTGCAGCAAACCTAAGTACTCGTTTAACTAATTGTATTTAAATAGGGAATAAATGTGATATTTTTAAGGATGCATTTTAGTGTAAATCCAATCAGGCAAAAGGAAATTCGCTTAGTCTGCAGGTTTGCTGCGGCGGGGGTATTTTGTTATTCTAGTCGCATGTTTTCTTGCAGTAGCCTATATTATCGATTGTTATTGTTGCCAAATTTCATCTATTGTTATGCTTGCTATTCAACCAAGTCTTTTCTATTGCATGTAATGTTAGTCTCTTATCTGCCTGTCAATAAATTATGCAAAACAACAAAAAAAAATGAAAAAAGCATGAGAAAAGGCAGAAGGGAAGAAAATTTAACTAGGCTAAGCAATTGTATTTCACATTTCACCTTCACTCTTTAATCACTTTTCGTTCATTTAATCTCAATCTTTCAATATTGTATCTGTATCAGCATGTCAACCCTGTAATGTCAACCCTTGTAAAAATGGTGTTATACCGTAAATAAATAAATAAAATAAAATAAAAATGGGATTTTTATTGCATAATTACTCTAGTAATAAATTATGAAAATGTAAACAAACATCTGATAAACCTTTTATGTGCTCCCAACCAACTAGCGATCAATAAAATTATGGCCCATTAAAAATTTAAGGACATAGTCTAGCATTTAAGGACAATTCCCGTACATTTCATGGCCAGTAAAAATTTAAGTACAATTCCCGGTTTTCCCGGATTTCCCGGTTGGTAGACACCCTGCTTAAGCAACAATAAAAATATTAATCTATGAAGAAAAATGTATTTTGATAGCTATTATGGCGGTGTTTGATGTCAGAGATTAATTTAAATGTAAGGCGAGCGAATTAAAGCCTCTGCAGCCTCTCGTCCCACAGTCATCAGCCACTCACAGACCTTGCTTTTATACACAGCGAAAAAATTCAAATCAATTGAGATGCAAGCTTATGATTTAGTCTTGATGAAGTTTCTGATAACATTCAATTAGTTTTAAAACTTTGTACAATTTCACTCACTCAGTGTTGCTGCTGGCAGCAGTCAGCTGGAAGACATCAATTGCTGCCTTGGCCACAGTGTCAAGCCACTGGTTGAGTTCCTGAGAGCCACTGGTCAGCTGTTTGTACATCAATTGCATGTCCAGCCAAGACATCCTCAGAGTCCATAGATCAAGGTTCTGCCAAACAACTTGTTTATAGAACTCGTTCTGCCCTTTCAATGAATGTGGATACATCTATAGGTGTTCAAGCTAAGCAGGGCTTTGATTTCTGCTCTGCAGTTGAAAATGTTCTACATTTTAAATATTGTGGAAAACACCCAGGATGTCTCTGAAATCCTCAAATATTTTCACGATTTTGACACCACCACATGTGAAAAAATTTATGAGCATTTTTCCCGGGGAACCATGAAAATAAAAAATACAGCTGTCCTGTACCTATACCTTACTACTATGACTTTGGTGATTGCTATTTCTCTGATACTTAAATTACCATAATGGAATCGCACAAGGAGTTACTTTAGCTGTAATTTTCTTACCTCTAAAATGTTGGTTATGATTGACTTGTGATCCAGGTTTATTTCTGAGGATGCTGTTGACTCAGGATAACAGATCATATGTAAAAGTCTTTGTGCCTAAAATCAGAAAAAAATCAAATGAAGACATACAGTAGACCCCCTCTTAACCGACCTCGTATTAACCGATAATCGGATTATCCGCCTTCGATCGTAAAATAATACAGTTTGTTTTAACCGACCTTGCTTTGAGAGCAGCTCGGTTTAACCGCCGCTTTCTAGGAATATCGGCATTTCCGCTCCCACGCTGGGCGATGAGAACTGAACCATACGCTTATCTCCACAGGATATGACTAACAATGAGTTATTTTGTGTTGATCACAAAAAATATTGCATAGCCTATTGTCAGTTTGTCATCATCGTTCGTAGCTCGAGCACATCTGATCTGATTTGTTATCTGTGCGGAGAGAACTGATTACTGATTATCTTATCGCCGGAGTAAACAAACAACGCAACTTGTAGGGAAGGTAGGGAAGGGGGTTTAACAACTCCAAGGTCAAGATAGTTTTTGTGCCTCGAGCCTCCAGTGGGAGGCTATAAATAAACGTCCTGTTTTGTAACAAAATGGTCGCTTGTATCTTTAATGTCTACAAAAGGTTCTGTACTAACTGTATTACGATGTTTTTTGGAAAGCATCCATTAATACATTACAGTACTAAAGTTATTTAAATAGGAATTTTATTGACTCTTGTCTAGTATTATAATATATTCCACTGAAAGTGTAGGCCTATTTGACTTAACCGTGTTTTGTGTTTATTTGTGAATTTTCTATAAATATGAAAAAAGGGATAAGAGCAGTTTATTTTATAAATAATACAAGTATGACTTCAAAATAATGATTATATAATTCCAAATGAATAGCACTTCATTATGTTATGATTTTAGGGATTGCCCGTTTTATCCGACCTTTTGAGTTATCCGACCTAGGTCCGGTCCCATTAGGGTCGGTTAAGAGGGGGTCTACTGTACTTACAAAGTTGTGTAAGCGTGTAGAAAAATTCAATAGACCAACGCTTTTAAATTGTTATCAAACACCTTAATTTTTATCTTTGGATCTATTTACAATGGAGTTTTTACTATTGATCCTCCATAGTATTCTATTATTCTCTTTAAAATTTAATGTAGAACACGAAAATAACATTATCTACTCAAATCCTTTTACAGTTAATTGAGAAATTGCTGTATCAAGTTTAAAAACATAAAAATTAAAATAATTCTTTGGGAAGCCAGTTTTTAGACTTGGAACCTCTTATATGCATTATCACACTTCATTTACTTTGTACTTCCTAACAAATTTTTGTCACACTGAGTACCAATCACCCTTTATATCAGGTACAACATTGTTATTTTAATTTTAGCTTAAAAGTCGCCACCACTTACTTGTTTGGGAGACAACATGCTGTCCAGTAACATGTCCTGGGTACACAACTCCTCAGGGTTCTGAAGACATCTCTCCAACACCCACTCCTGACTGCAGATCTCTCTCAGCACCAGCTGTGCCAGGTCTGACAAGCTGTGTGTCGTACCCTCAGCTCCTCCACTGGCACTGTGCGCAACAGTCAATATCTATTGCTGTTTAGGTTTATAATAAATGTTTCACCATAGGTGGCGGTATACAGATAGTCCTTGAGGCAAATTTTTTTTGCACTGTACATTGCCAGAATACATCTACCGCAGATATCGAGAACTACGAGTTTTATCAACAACTCTTTGAAGGGAGGATATTGGTTCCATTTACTAGCTTTGTTTGAAATATGACACTTTGTTTCATATTTAGTTTTTATAGAGCATATACTAAATCGTAAATCCAAAGTTTTAAGAGAAAACATTTTACACAAGATTTGCTACGTACCCGAGGTCCATGAGCAGCTCGCCGCCCATGTCGCTGGTGCCGAGGATATGGCTGATACTCAACTCACTCTTCACTCCCCCCACTGCTCCCCCGCCCGCCTGACTGTCTGACTTCTTAGACAGAGAGCCTGTAGTTCGCTTGGCAGTAGCATCTCCCACAACTAGGATAGCCTGCGACAGAAAATATCACAATAAACGCCTATAATATACTAAATGGCCGATGTTATTTACTAACAAAACAGTAAAGACTAAGACTTATATTTTGTCTAGTTCCAGGATGGTATAGAACTGTCTATAAAGTCTTAAATGTTGGGACAGAGCAACAAGTTATCCCTCATTTAAGTACCTGGGCATTAAGATGTTCAGGGAAATGAGGAGGCAGATAAGCTTGCCAGGGTTGAAGTGTCTACGCTTTTCATAGGGCAGGAACTAGGCTGTGCACTAGAGATCCCTTCTTTAAAAGGAAGCTCAAGAGGAAAAGAATGAAAGGTCATAAATCTGGAAAGATCTTTAAGAGTGTAAGCTAGCCAGAGAATTGCTTGGAGACAACAATGTGAGGAGATCTGAGACTATGATCAAGCAAAAACTTGGATTGTAAAAAAGATTAACAGTATGCTAACTGGACACTGTAGGCTAAGAGGACACCTCCAGAGCATTACACAGGAGAAGGACTGTCAATTTGACCAATAAGAGGGAGAAACTCCTAGGCACATGGCTAAATGTTAAGCTGTTGGGAGAATTAAAAAAAAGAGCTTGGGAGTTTACCAGGTAGTATGGGGATTTCCCAAAAATAACCTTATCAGACTCTATTTTCAAGGAATTAGGGCTGGAAGGATTGCTCTAGGCAAGGACTGAACACAGACTTGGGGGAGACAATATATTTTATAGGGTTCAGTGTTTATTCTTCCCCCAGTATCACCAGCATTCTGTCTAGTTTGTCTTACCTTGAGCACTGCCAGCACGGGGCCGACCTGGATGTTGTTGTGTGCAGCTGCTAGCAGATGTCTGTCACAGCTCAGCTTGATGTTGTACATAGAGTTGCTCGGTACAGGGTGTGGTGAAGTGCCTGCAACACAATCAGTATGTAACAACCTCCACCTAACCCAGTATACATGATTAGATATACTAAAAATGATCCATAACTGAGCCTATATTTTCTGTCACTACTGCAGTGTAAAGACATTTGACTGTCTACTCTAGACATGAAATCCCAACTTGTGTTTAACAATGACTGGCATATTTCCAGGTAAAAGGTTAAAAAAAGATTATTCATACTGAGGGCCATAAGGCCTCTAGGGTACTAAGAAAACTAGATATTAACAAAAACAGTAGCTCAGTAGTAGCACCTTTGGTTGATAAACTAGACATTGGTTCAAGAGAAGCAAGTTTCAGATTAGCATTTGAGGTAAAAAATTAAGTAGTGCACAACCTAACAAGATTATGATACTGTACACAGCAAAGAATTTGGATGAAATGGGTAATGAGTGGTTATAGTGCTTGCAAAGTGGTAATAAATTATGATCAGTGGATTGGATTCTGGAAAAACCAGTAGTGTTGTTTTGGTTCATAACTGACTTTTGCGCTCTGCAATCTTGCCAGCTATGAGTGATCATAGGGCTATTAGTAGATGGTTCAGGGTAAAGAGCCAGCTTATCTTAGTCCGTAATAAAACTATGAAGACCATCTCATCCTCTACATTCACCTTGCAATCTTGCTTTCATATTCAGCTTGAAAAATGCACCCAAGTGTGTGTCTGATTGATTGTTGATACTAACCGACAGAGTAGAGAGCAGGCTGAGGCACCTCTATGGTCTTGAAGAGCCTCAACAATAAGTGACAAGTCAATCGGGCTCCAGCCTCTGTATCCATATCTGTGTCTCCTCTACCTATACAACACAAACTCTGTCAGTGCAACAATAATACATAATTCTGTGACCATTAGGATATTAACAGATAATCTTGGCCAAGGGTACATGTGATTTTAACACAGCTATACCAATTATCTCATTTCATTTTACACTCGTCTTGCTTACATTTTCTGCTTAAAATACTTACCCAGGTGGTGATGTTGTGCCAAAAGTAATAAATAATATTAATAATTACGAGTGGAATGGCTAATCACTAAATACATAATTTGTCAATTGCCATCTTTAGCTTCAGTTTACTGGTTAAATTGGTGGGTAGACAAGGTGGTTAAACCATACAATTTTATTTTTTATTTTTTACATCCTTGATTAAAATGCCAAAATATTTGGAGGTATAGCCTCTGGATCGTTATTGAACATGATTAAATCTAAGGCTTACCTTACGATCCAATTTATTATATAAAGGAGACCTAGGTTTCTACGTCGAAACGTTATCGTCAGTCCTTTTAGTTTAGCTAACCTATGAGACAAAGGACTGACGATAACGTTTTGACGTAGAAACCTAGGTCTCCACTATATAATAAATTGGATTGTAAGGTAAGCCTTAGATTTAATCATGCCAAAATATTATTGCTTGGGACCCATTTTCATACTCTATGGACTTTACAGACATAGTGCTTTACCTAAAGGAAAGCAAAGCCTCTTTTGAAATATGAGAGAGCCTTTTTCACACAAAATTTAAAACATCTTAGCTTTAAGGGGGTCGGTCACACTAGGATATTAACCAAGTAGTAAAAACAAATCCACAACTTACTTTCTTTGCACAATGTCAGAAGAGAAGGAAGCGCAACATGCACCACAAAATCTTCAAGTGAAAAACAATGGCGAGCTGAAATATAAGATTAAATGTTTAGTAAGAAAACTGATTATTAACTAGAAATTCTATATTAGCTATTTTTTTAGTCCAGTTTCATGCAAGTGAGACACAATAACTTTATTGAATTTTTGTCACCACCCAAAGACTAGGACTCGACAGTCTACATTTACTGTGGAATTTTATCTCACATGTGTTATTTACTTATTACTTAACAACTAAAAGTTGACTTAACCTTGACTCAAAATTAAAGTTGAACATTTATCATATAAAATCCTCTGAATATTTACAAAACATATATCTGACCCTAGAATAATCACAATACACAGCTTCAGGATCTTCAGGGTAACACTGTGCCATATTGCAACTAACTTATACTAAGGTTTCGACTCTCTTTGCAGATTACCATCTTTAGATCAGTAACAGAACAGAGTAGGCACATCTTTATGACAGATTCACTACAAAGACAAGTTAGTTGACATTGAAACTTCAATGAATTCGAGCTAAGCGTTAAGCATGTTGGGATTGTTTCTCACCCACCTATTAGAATGGAAGTAAACACAGCCAAAGAGTTGTGTATGGAGAGATCATGGATGTCCACACGAGAGAGAACGTACATGAAATAGGAACTGTGACTGGACGAGTAGCACAGTGCCATCAGAACACCTGTTAACAACAAACAATATGTAGGTGATCACAACATTAAAACATGTGATGAAATCTCCACCTGTTGGATCAAATCACTCTCCCAAGACGTTTGGTTATCTTCCTTTTTTCCACGTCTTTCCAAAAGGGATGATGGGATTGTACTTTTAGTTTGGGACTGCCCAGAATTATTTTTTTCAGCAAGGTAAGTTTTAGTTTGTTTGAAAAAATAACTAAAGTAAAAACACTGACAAAAGGCAATATTGACTAATATTTTTGATTGTTCTACTTCATTATAGCTGCAATTTATGGCACTACTATCGTTACTATTTTTTGCAATTACAAGGACATCATCAGAGGTCCCCATTAGCTACCACCGTGAAGACATCATCACACGCAATTGCGGCGGAATCCGTGGCAGTTGGAAAAATCCCATCCTGAGAAAATCCCAAATGAAATGTAATCAGAAATCTGAAAATCAGGAATATATATATTTTTTTATTTCTGACATTTGGAACCTGTTCATCCTTACTTTCCATAGACAAAACACATATCCCTGATCTTAGAGAGGTTCACTCACCGAGCCACTCGGGTGACAATGAGTTGCAAGATGCAGTCAGTTCCGCACACAAGTGTCCGAGGTCATTGAGCCTATCCAGGTCAGTCTCGTTGCACACTGCAATGACAGCGTTGCAGACGAAACTGTAGCGGTTGCTGGCCGACTCTGACAACTGACGCACCCAGCTCGGCTCTATCCTCACTATAAAGGTCGGTTATCAAATACAAGGTTATCAAATTTCATCATAACAGCAGCAGTTTGAAAAATCAACGTTGTAGCAATATGAGGCAGATAAAATGTAATATTTTTATTAGGGTGTATCTGCAGCAGTAGTTAGTAGTTTGATAGGCATTGGAATAACACAGGATTTTGTATAATATATTGTGAAGTTTTTTTTTTTACTTTATTTGATTTACAATTGTTCAAAAAGTAGATCAATAAGAAAAAATGTAATAACAATACAACATTAAAAGTTAACTTGAAGAACATTAGCTAGTGGTTGACCACTGTCAACACTAGCTAACAAAGAGAATTTTGATAACATTTAGCCGAATCTGAATGGGAGGTCCAACATTGCATGTCGCTTCAGTAGTTGTGTTTAGATCTTCAATAATCATCTGGTCAGTTAGTTGATTATTATATTATGTTTCAATTGACGGTTTAATTTTGTACCACATGGTTGTGCTTTTATTTACAAAATGTTTAGTGTTTAGTTATTTCATATTGGTAGCATATTGCTACCATATTGGTAGCTTTATTAGTTTTGTTTATACATACAGCAAATAATCTATATGATAACTACGCACCAGGCCGTCTAATATTTTCGATGACGTCTGTGAGGAAGCCAGTGCATGCGTGGTTGGAGGGGGTGGGCTGCAGTGACGTGTACAAGGCCGCCCGTATCTTGGGGTAGGCGTTGCTGAAGGGTTCGCCTCCGTGAGGACGTGACTTGAGTAGAGAGCAGGTCGAGTACAGGTCATAGAGATGTGACAACACACAGCGTTCTACACTGGAGCAGTCCCCAGGGTTGGACACATGTTTGACAACACGACACAGAGCCTCAAACACAGCCACAGTCTGCTCTGACGACACTGTAATCAACAAACACAATATGGAATTTGATAGTTGATTCATAGCTTAAGTCTTAAAATCACATCCAAAGAATTGTTGCAGCCTTTGCATGTTAAGAAGGTGGGAACTGGCATTCTCATATAAGTCACCAATTCCAGATTTCCCCACAATCTCAATCTAAGATAAACCTGTCCAATGCAGCTAGCTAAAGGCATAACATTAGTATACAAGTGTATAAGCTAAGTGTGTATATACATAAGTATACAAATATTTAAGTTTGGTACATAGATATAAATAAACTAAATATGAGTCAATTCTGGGTAGTTGGCAACATCCATGACAAAACATTTTAAAACTGTCTTTCGCTTGGGCTAAAGTCCCCCAGGCATGGCCCCCACAAGGGTGGGGCTGGCGCAACTCTAGTCACAGGGCCCGGGCCCTCAGGGGGCCCGGGCCTACCCATTTGTTTTTTTATTTTTTTCCCCATTGAAGATCACTTTACAGCAGATCCTTAAATTGAAGATAAAAAAATAATATTTAAATATTTTACAAAAAACAAAGTTAAATAATTTAAAATGTATTAATTCTTGATTCTAAGGAAGTTTATATTTAAATTCTATAGGTGCGTAGGTGCGTATGTACTATACAACAGCAGAACAGCCAGCTCGGGCCCCAGTGGCCGGCTCCACAAACTCCCTCTACCCCTTCCTCCCGCCAGGCGCCTAGCCACTCCTACCTCATTCCCCCCATAATAAACAAAGTTTGGTTTTATAATTGAACTGATAGTTTCAAGAATGAATCCTTATAGTTATAAGTTAAAATACAATTTGTAAAGCATTGAAAAATTGACATGTACTATGTACCATAGCTAAGGTGACCAGACGTCCCGTTTTAGGGGGACTGGTCCATCCCGACAAATCCTCTCGGGACGCTTATTTGTCCCGTTTTATCAACATTTGGTCCCGGTTGCACTTTTATGTATGGAATATTTCAATTAATAATTATTGCAATCTAGGTTATTTGACACAAACTTAAAAATTCTTTACTTTTGGAGTTTAAAAAATATGAAAGATTGTAGGCCTAATAATTTTGACCTAAGTTTTCTTCCCAATTTGCTCGGTATAATACTGTACTAAAGCATGGATCGGATAGCATCGGTCATTCTCGGCATTACTCGTGCACATTTGTTTTTCTCCGTGACTACTCGGCGCAAGTTCGGCAGCTCAGGCATCCACTCCCAAAAAATGTAGTATTGTTAAAATTCTTGATGAAAATTGTCACTGAATAAAATATGATTTCATTGATGTAAGCTGTTAAACTCAATTTACGTAAATTTTTTCCTACTCCATATTACAAAGTACAATTATAGCAGTTAAGATAGCCAAACCCTCTTACAGGGAAATAAAAAGGACAAAATATTAATAGGCATGGAGCTTTTGTGTATTGATATAATAGTTTTAATTGCTGAATTCCTGTAATTTTAAGTCTTATAAAACTCATTGAAGAACTCTTTTCTTCCTTAAAAAAGGCTGCAAAAGTGCCATTTACCACTCACAAATTTAATACCTAGATAGCCTTAAAAACTCACTAAAATACATGACATTTTCAACATTTTCCCTTCCATACCCCCCGACCCCCCGGTTGGTAGGGGGGCCCGAGCCAGATCCTGGTAACAGGGCCCACAATTAAATGTGGGGGCCATGCCCAGGGGACGAAATATTGTGTGTTCTGTGTGTTTTCTGTATGATCTATGGCCTACGTACTTCTTCATGCTAAGCTTCCTGAATCTATACTTAGTTTTGAATCAATATTTAAAATGAAACTTTTCTAAAGTTTTGGTGATTTTGAGATTTTAGATTCTGTTTTGACACATCACGAGTAGTCACAATCGTAAGGGAAGATGTCTGCACAATCGCAGATGATGTTCATGATTTTGCTGTGATAACGGAAAAGAATTATGCCTCAGCTGTTGCAGAAGACGATCATGACATCTCTTATGAGGAGGTTGGTCCTTAAGCAAATTGACTCTTAGTATTTGTTCACTACACTAAAACTTTTTCTGTGTTTTGTACTCACACAGCAGACAGCAGTGGTATCTCCTTAGCACACCCACCACGTACAGTACGAGGGACGGAGTGTAGATACGCACCAGGTTGGAGCCTTTGGCTGTCAGTTGAGCCTCTACCTCCGGTACTTCCTTCAATATCTGCAATGATAGATACAATGATATAATATGTGTATGACCCATTATACAACAACTCAGTACATTCTTGGGTTCGACTTTATTCAAAGAATGCAATGAAAAATTGTAAACATTCTGGGCAACAAAACTAACATATCATTTGACAACAATGAACAAGACAACTTAAGCTGTTTACCTGTATGCATACATCTATGAGTCCATCTATGTTGAGAGCCAGCTCCATTAAGTCAAACAAGAACGCTACATGTTCTTGGACTGGCAAATAGTTGGAGTTTCCTGGTAACATATACAGTAAAAATGTTAAAAAAAACGTAAACAAATTAAAGGTTAATATACTTGCAGTACTTTAACACTTTAGGTAACACCAATTTTGGTGACTAACAATGGTTTTGAACGGAGGCGTCACATGACCCATAGATTTGGGGAGGCACAACCAGGACACCATCCTAGCGGGTGGTCTGGGTAGTATAAAATACCCTCAAAACCCCTTGGTATATTTAATAAAACTTGTGAGTATAGACTTTAGAAAGTAGAAATGTATTTTTACTGTTGGTTGGCTACAAAAATTAAAAAAAAATTGTCATGTTGAGGGGGGCGCACGCCCCCCGTACCCTCCTGGCGTGATGCCTATGGTTTTGAACCTAAATGGTTCAGTTGGAAGTAGAATACAAGATGCATATTCCTGTTTTGAACTCACCAGAAGCAAAAGTGTTGATCATCTCCAACACGGTAACACTGCACTGCCAGGTGACAACATGTTGGTCAAAGTATGACAGTGCTTGAACACGAGCTGTCGTCGCTTCAAAGTTGAACTCGTTACGAGAATGTTTCTTTACTTTTCCACCTGTAAAAGATAATCTTCTTAACATTGTAAAGTATTGTTTGTAAATATTTTACCTACTAAAAGAGAAGAAGAATTTTGATCGGTATCAACTAGCATTGATGGTTGAAGACGTATAATTTTGAAAACAAAAAAACATTAGATAACTCATAAAAAAAAGGATGAAGACATCCTTATATATAATTCTGTAAGACAACATTTTTACCAGAAAATTGTGGACGTCTGGTAAGTCGCAGAAAAGTGGGAGAGGTCTTAAATTAAAGGTTTTGACCCCAGGGACTCGGGAAAAATAGCAGAATTCCCATAAAGTTAGAAAACGAGATATAACGTAAAATATCCACCATAAGAAATGCATGGGGACTGAAAAACGTCTGCATTCTATCAGCTGTTACTTATTTATTTGCAATGTTTACATTTATTCCGAAAAGTCAATGTTGGTAAATAATGTTTTAAAATGAATTGTGTTTAATTTTTTTGTTTCCCATTTTTATAATGAGTGAAGTAACTAGAAGTAAGACCTGCAAGACGTGGAAGAGTGTCCAGGAATTCAACAGACTTAAAAAATGCAAAAAGAACGTCATGTAGGGCCTAACTGTGAAAGAAATCCAGAAGCTGTTTTACCTGCTGTGTTTTAGCTGTGTTTTAATTTCGTGTCTTTAGAAGAACGCTGGAAAATGAGTTGAGTGTTGTTTCTCACAATTTAGGTTCTCTTAAAGCACTTGCATGCATTGTGGCGCATTTCACTTCACAGAGGAGGCCACAAATGGACATTTCAACGCATGTTGCCACAATGGACATGCCACAACCACAAGTACATGACGAACTAAAAGAACTGTTTTTACATGATTCGAACTTCATAAAAAACATAAGGCAATACAACAGTGCAATGGCTTTTGCGTCGCTTTCCACTGCACAAAAAGAGATTCCGGGAAATAGGCCATACTGTTTTAAAATTCAGGGACAAATTCATAGATATATTTCTGACTTAATACCGCGAAATGGGGAGTTGCCTTCATAATAGGCCTAATTAATAATAATGTCAACCTTTACATTTGGTTCTCAAAATGGAAACTATAACAGAATTTGTAAGATTACAAAACAAATCTTCAATTTTAAACTAGAAAAGATGTGCAATGTTTGGCTGTACGATTTCAGCTCTGATTCGTCGTTCTCCGGGCTCAGGTCAAACCGTGTTCACGTTTTTCATTTTTTAATATGTTGTATTTAATCCTTATTTTACAATTGTATTTCACTGACACACCAGAAGCAACTAATCTACGACTCCAACGGAAGGAAAACCAAGATATAAAACAAGAAACACTGTTAATTTGAAGTAACATTAAATTGATGATTTTAAAAACATATTTAGAATATTTGTCTTTTTATATATGTTTTTTTTTTTTTTATTGAAGTCTAAATTAGGGGCTATGGCCCCTACAGGCCACTAGTAGTACTTAAAGATAATAAATAACGGTACTTCAGTATTAAACGGAGGCCACATTTTGTCAGCGCGCTGCGGCGGTTATGTTAGGTTGGGTTATCATAATAGAAAGTATCGTTCGATTCATAACGAAGCGAGGAAAGTCCTACACACATAATATTTACGATAACCCAACCTAACATAACCGCCGCAGCGCGCTGACAAAATGTGGCCTCCGTTTAATACTGAAGTACCTAAATAACAGCTATAAAAATAAAATAAAGATATAAAGATAACAACGACATAATAACATCTATATTCTTTCTCTATGTTCTTCAATTCTTTTTTTGGGTTCTTCTTCATCCACGCATTCAAAAAGTTGCCTCGGTTACTTATTAGTATTCATCCAAACATAGGCTTTTAAGCTTTATGTCGTCATCAGTCCCGAGTTGAAATTTGTTGTATTGTATTGTAACATAGCCATAATCAGACAGATTTTTATGGAGCAGAGGATCGTCAGGGCAAGTGTGATGTCATCTTGGAGCTCTTGGTCAATATTTCTTGGTTGTGCTTCCATTGTATTTTTGTCAATATAACTAAGATGTTTTGAAAACGAGCCTGCATAACAATAATGGGTCCAAACAGTTGAATATAGGCCTACAATGTACTTTAATGCAATAGGATTAAGGAATACAATTTCAAAAATCATCTTGATATTTTTCTCAAGATAATGAGGTTTTGTAACAAAAGTTTAGAGGTTGACCATGGTTGATCTGCCACCCAACCTTAACCGTTAATTGAGTTTGTACTCTGGTTTACTTTTTAAATTCAGAATTACACTATTCAGGTGTTTTTGCTAAAGTGTTATATTATATAGAAGTGACCAGAATCCCAAACCAGGGTGTGTACTATTTTTCTCCTTTATTTTTAAAAGTTCTTCCAGGTTCCCGCATGAATGTTTGGCTGTAAACTAAAACAAATTCAAGGCCTACAGCTTAAGTTTGTTCTCATCTCACATTTATTTGTATTTCTAATTATTCAAAAATTCAGTGAGCTATTGTTGGTAAAATACTAATCCTAAATATCGGGATCATTTTCATTATCATAATCATCACATAAGGTCACAAAAACATCATCTCCAGCGACAGTGGCAAAATCCTGAATATCTCCTGCGGTCGTGTGATCATTATCAACGTCTCCCGCGATCACAGAAACGTTATCATTGTCAACCGCAATCACAACAAACCCCTGTGAATATCACCTGCGGTTTGTATACATTATTGTCACCTCCCGCAGTCACAGAAATGTCATCATAGTTTTTAGTGATCGGGCTAAATTATGGACATCTCCAGTGTCATGGAAACGTCATCATAGTCTTTTCTGCATTCTGCAATTATGGCAAAATCCTGGATATCTCCCTCTCTTGTGGACATTAGATTAAATTTAATCTAGACTTTTGTTGATCTGGAAAACTTGGATCTTAGATTAGTCTGAATGACTAATGGATGTATTGTGTATATATTAACTGTTACTGGTGTAGTTGTAGAAAAATAAGTTTAAATAAACATTTAATTTATTTTTAGTTGCAGCCCACTTAATCCCCAACAGTGGATTAAAGTGGCTAGAACAAAGTTTTACTAAATACAAGATGTTCAATAGAGGTTGTGATGTAAACTTAAGTGAAACCTCTATGATTGGAATACAAAATTATCTCACCCTCAGCAACATCTATGCTGAACTTCTTGCTGAACAGTTTGCAGATGTCTTTGCTGATGCGCTTGACAGTGTGACGAGCCTCGTCTCGCAGTTTGTTCACTCCGTACAAGAGAACATGTCTCTGGTTACAGTCGTGACTGCTACTTTCATCCTGATCATTGAGATAAAATAATTAAAGAGTGATTAAGTGACATGCAGAATCAATGCTTTTACATTAAAACCTTTTGAAAGAGTTATGGTTTTTATCTCTTGTCCAAAAAATGATCAAGCACATCGTAAAATATAATGCCACACAACAGATTTGCAAGTGAAATAGCAGTCCTTAGAGAGCGTACATTTTCCTTTACAGCTTAAATTTTGAATACATATCACACCAAACATTGAAGAACAATTTTGTAAAACGACTCAATTAATTGCACACAATAACCACCTGACAAAGTGTCAGCCCAATACTAGTGTAATCAAAGTGAAAAGCAATAATTAAATATTTAACATTGAGGAACCCTACAGGAAACATTTATCCAATCAGAGATAGAATTTATATGAGATTGTTTTTGGTTCTCTCAACCCCGATTTCAAGTTAGTGAACTGTCATAAAAACCTCAAAGTTAGTATTGCAAAATAACTCTTGTAGACATTTACCTGTGGTAGAGGGAAGTGAGTAGTGTACAGCAGGTGTCTGGAAGGTCGTCCCTTGGCATCTACAGAGGCCCCTGACTCCGCCTCCAGAGGGTTCACGTTGTTGATGCCTCCAGGCACAAGGCTGCCTGGGTCATCCTTCGGAGAGTCAGGGGCATCCTGAAACATTCAATGTCGATTACCCTCAAAACTTGAAATAAAGTTATATTAGAAAGTTATTTAGAGATGTCTTGTCAGGGAAGAAATGGTGTACGCAACCAGTTGGTTGGAGATTGGGTGGAAACTCACCATAGAGTTCTGCTGCTCCTCCTTGATATGCTGCAGCAGTTTGTCCAGATCATCGTCTATCTTGCTGTCATCGTAGTCCATGGCTCTACTAGGAGGTTCCATCTTGGGCTTGATGTCAAACAGACCTGAGTCATCCTCCATGGGAGTTGCTGCTGGCTTGTTGCTGGCAGGGTGTGGCGTTGTTCCTCCCGCTGTAGTAAACAAGGTTATTAACATGAGCATAGCTTACCTCTCAGGGAGGGTAATTTAGAGATACAAAGATAATGCTTGCCTTAAGATGTAATTTTTGTTTGTTTTATAAATGTAGGCATACAGCTTTATATTGTTTTCACCAACCAGGACCTTCAACATTAGGTAATAAAAGCCATTGGTGATATGAGATTTCCTGCCAATCTTCAGGATCTAAGTCTCAGCCTGACCACAATATCAAACTATAAGCCAAATAAGATACCAGCTGGGTATTTGTATTTGGCAGAATACAATAACTCTTGTAATTTGTTACTACGTATTACATTAAATCAAATTTACATTAGTTTTATCAATTATTGTCGGATTTCCTCAATATTATTGGGTTCTATAAAAAAATCATTTGCACAAACAAATTATTTGCATGAACCAAGGAACTAAAAAATGCAATGAACCCATTGTTAAGAATAAAAGTATTTGTGATTTTTTGTTTTGAGGCAAAATAAATAAATTAATAAATGGTTTAAATAAACAAAAATAAATTTTGTGGGACTTTTCACAAGATGTGGGATATTTCGTTTTTATGACTGGCAACACTGATTTCAAGAATATACGTCTACCTACCAGGCGGCGTGGCCACATTGAGATCACCGCGGGATATGAGAGTGCACATGTACGCATCGTGGGAGAACACATCGTGACGTATCAGTTCAGCAAACAGATGAACGAGGTTGGTAAACATGGTGCGGTTGGCATTACTGGGATTCTCGTCTGAAAAAGATAACAGCCCACACTTAAAACTCTTGCAGAAAATAGTATAAAATAAACTGATATTTTAAATTAAGCTTAGCTAAAGAAATGGAATTGTAGTACAGGTAAAAATATTAAACAACCAATAAATAGATGTTATACCTAAAGGGTGTTCTTAAAACTTAAGAGATAAAATGAAACTGTTAGAAACAATTTGGCAAAATCTTATATAACGAACACTAGAAACATGATTGGTGAGTAAGAAATCTTTTATAGGGTGGAAAAAAAGTCTTGGTACAGTTCAATATTTCAAAAAGTAATAAAAATAGAGCTTCAGAACTTGGTACATAGTTACTGGGCATTAGAATTATATAATTCAGTGATGTGCTACCTCATTAGGGGAACGGCCCGCTAGGAGTCAGAAGAAAATCTGAAATTTAAGCATAGGTAAATAAATATGCACTAGTGGCTTTTAGGGGCAATAGCCCCTATATATATATTATATATCCTGTCTCATGGGTTGAACCTTGAACCATTGGGTTGATCTCCACTGGGTCAACTTGAATTATCGTTTAACATTTTTGTATATTATAATATGTATTATTACATACCTGCATAATACATATTGTTGTCTGCACTGTTTAAAATAAAAGTTCCAAAAGACTGTTCATGCGGTATTATAAAAACTTTCTAATCATAAATACAACTAAAGAACATTTTTAATTATAATCTTCATGACAATCAATCAAATATATATAAATCTCTTTGAATATAGACAAATTCACTTAGATTAAACACATAGAGATAATGTCATCCTCCAGATTGTAAAATGCTAATTACAATGTCAGAAAAATGTATTTTGTATTTTGTATTTTGTTTATAAACAAAATCTCTCTGAAAACAACATTTGTTGCATGGTAGGCTATCCATTTTAGTCGATTCCTTCGTCTTTATTTGATTCTAGTACTATTTTAACATCATCTGGCCGCTTTACCTGGCTAAAAGCAACATAAAATTGACCATGGGTAAACACTGTTTTTTTTTTGTTTTTTTTTTTAAATCCGAGTTTTGTTAAGGTTTGGCCTTGTCCGTTGCTTTAATAATAAGTAATATTGAAAGCTAATCGAAATGATTGGGAATTGAATACTTGTAAACTTAAACTAATCAAGATCTATAGAAATTAGTTTTATTTTTGGCATGGAAAAATAAGTTCCCTTTGCCTACTCCAGTAATCACTTCTAACTTTACACTTTGTTCAGACATACCTAACACAACCAATCGTACTCCATTATCTAATCCAGACCCTTAAAATTGGGAAAACGTCTATTTCAAATTTATAATAAGTTAGTATGCATATTACAGTACATAATTCATATCATATGCTTTAAATGAAGTTAAACCACATGTTTTAATGTAAACAAAGCAGACATGACCTAGATTCCCATGTTATTTAAATGTGAATTATTTTATTCCGTAACAACGTTTTGGTGGATATTTAAGAAAAATGAATATTTTTCCCCAAAATTTCATGCCGAGACCTTTAAAATGAGACCTCCCCCAGCTTTCTACGTCCTCTCGTTCGCTCACAATTTCATTGTAAAATTTTGGGCTTACGGAATTAGATATATAGATATCAATTAAAAGTTTTTTTTAATAAAAGAGGTTGGTGGCCTCTTTTAACCTTGCATTTGCCCGTCCACATAGACTAACTGCCCGTTCGTGGAACGTACCCAGCAAAGCAAGGGGTGAGCCGGTACAGTACAAAGGTGAACTGTACTGATAAAATGTTTTTGGCAGTGACCAGGATCCAAACTCAACACATCGCTGCCTTGGGCCCGAAGTCCGTGACGCTACCAACTGAGCCATCGACTCCAATCTAGGTGTTTGTTAGTAAAGTACAATGCCGCGAACGCGAACTCAAACGGACAACCAATGCAATGATATTATACGCTACCTCCTCAGGTAGCATAGAACCTGAGTAACTGTAGTTACTGGAGTAATGCAAGGTGAATTACAAGTTCAAGTATTATGTGTCATGATTGTTTGGGCTGGTGTGTCTGGGCTGTGTCAGTTTAAGGCCCATTGGTAACTGTGTTTGGTCATCAATTCATTAGAACAGGGAGTAGAATATTTTGTTGGTTTAACATAGGCCTAGTACAAACTAAATTACTGACTAGTTATAGTAACACTCAGGTAATATGAGCAAAATTAAAACTTTTCCGCACGGTGTTTTGTACTTCACACATGTATTCATCAATTGCAAATTAATGAAATTCATGGGAAAGGTTAATATTTATAGTTGGAAAATAGGTTAGTTAAATTGACAAACCTATTCCATCTATTAATACCAAGTGGTACAGAAAATATTTTTTTCAAGTGAAGTGCTAAACTTTGAGAAAAAGTTGGGAACAGCTGAATAATTGCTCATACCCAGCACAGGTGCGTCGTGGTCCAAGAACCGCATGAGCAGGGTTTGGAACACTGGCAGACCTGTAGGTACAGAGGCCGTGGAGTCTTTGTCATCTCCAGTGTCTGACTCTCCGTTGCTGGCCCCACTGGTCACCTCCGCCTGGCGCTTCTCAAGCAGCTTGGCAACCGCCATGGCTCTGTGCTCTCCGTACCTGAGACAGGGATGTGTCAACTGGAGGAACAGGTTAATGGGAAACAGAGGAATACAGTTGGTTGTAAGTTTAGAGGACACTCAATAATCCAACTGAATACTGAAAAAGATGTTTTCTTTTAAAATTACAATGAGAATAGATTAAATCCCTACGGCGATAAAAAACCAGGGTATTTATTTTATGCTGAAGGTGATTAAAGTAGGGTTCAGGCGGGGGGAATAACATTTGTAAAACATATTAAAGGGCTACAGGAAAAACAAGATTGGATAGAATTAGGAATGAAAAGTTGAGAAGAGGAATAGAATTTTTCAAAATTGAAGAAATTTTGAGAGAACGAGTAGAGAAATCGGAATTAAGACCACTTTGGCCAATTAAGAAGAATGAAAAATGATAGAACAACCAAAAAAATTAAGTAAGCATTACATGAACGGAAGAAGTCCAGGAGGAAGGCCTAGAAGAAGATGGATTGACGAGGTGAGACGAGATGTGGAAGCAAGAGGAGTGCAGTGGCAGTATGAGGAGGAAGAGGAATTGTGAAGGGACATAAGAAGATGAGAGGCCAGTGAACACCCAGATCCGGAGATATCCGGAACGGAAGAGGAAATAGATACATGAGTGTTAAATGACATGACAGCTTTGTTACTGACTATCAGCTGGGTCCCGTCTCAAACCATCTAAAAGCTTCTGACTTTTCTCATGATGGACCTGGTAACCTTCTGTTTAATGTTTTGAAGAGCAAAATATCTACTCAGATACCCAGCTAAGAAAGTCAACTTACGATTCTCGTTGAGTACTATTTGACTTAATAACTCTGGTGTAAATAGTGGCTAATCTAAATGTAATATAGCCTACTTATATTACATAAGTTTAGGCGTTAAAAAAGACACTACATACTCTAAGTACTTGACTTCAATTGACATAATCAAACCAAGCACAGAAATGTACATATTCCACGCAATAACGACTTCTCATAGCTACAAGGCCCGCAGTACTATGCTGGATAGCGCAATCGAGAAGGTACTACATTCCTGTCACAATATGAATCAAGATTGAATAAAATCTGTGTCTTAGCATCAAGACTACTGACTGTTTAAACTCTGGCATTGTTATCAATTCCCAACTGTATCTTAATATTTACCTCATTCCACTGACTGCCCATTGACACAGGATGTCTACGACTGCCTTGTCTTGAGATACCGACTGGAAAACATACAAATTATTATCACAGTGAACACCACGCTGTTTACTGTGAGAACTGCAACTTATGTTTAATACTGAAATAAATAGTAGAGAGGAATAGTTCTAATCTCATAGTTCTTGAAGAACTTAAGTTGTGTGACAAAAGACTGAATTACAGGTTAATACTGCATTAACTTTCCTTTTCATACCAACCACAAACAAGTTGTAAATTTTCATTCCGCTGCAAACTTCACAGCTCAATTCAGGAATTACCACATTTGGCAAAATTGACGGCTCATAAACAATTTTAAGGTTTGAAAGTTTATCGGGTGCCCTGACAAGATTCTACATGACTTTTTACGTACATATTGCACCCTGGCCTCCTCCTGGTTGTTGTCCTTATCCTTGGTGTTGTTCGCGACAGGGAAGATCTTGGAGTATAGAGTGTCCAAGGAGTTGCTGCCGTCCACTCTTTCAAAGCTGTGACGATCTAGCGCATCCAACGCATTCAACACCTTCACTGTAGTCACCCCTGAAACATCCCAGTGTCCATGAGAAAAAAGTCCAGCTAGTAAGCTCTAGTTGGAAGTCAGGAATCAAAACAAACCGATAGTCAAGCGATAGGCTACTTACCTTTTTTTTGAGATTGCAACACCACAGAGTTACAAATAAATTACAATGATCTATCACAGCATGAGCATAGGAGTGATCTGTAATTTCCCGTTGCTTACAACACCTGTTTACGAAGGTTTGATATGGCACACGAGTTGGAAAATCTACAATTAACTTCCAAAAAAACAAATTAAAGTTATAAAGTTGTAAAAAAACATTTAATCTGAATTACTATTTAGAGTTTTGTGTCCTTATCTTCTAATATTTTTTTAAATGAATTTACCATAGGGTACTATGTATTTACATGACAAGTCACATTATTATATTTCATATTGTATTTTATGTGAATACTTTTTGGGAACTATATATCATGTATTTCCATACATATTACATTTACAAGTTGTAGAAAAGTAGCAACAGAGGATTGGGGCTTATTTCGTAGAGAGGACAATTGTAATTACTTCCCTTATCTGAGGAGGCTTAGAGAGTTGCAATTTTTTATAGTGGTTCATGTATTACATCCTCATATGTCTGGAACTGATGATACATTTTTTACTGAACTTTTGGTAGAACTGATACATACCAGCAGACGACTGCTGCCACTTGTCACATGACCAACGACCTTCTGCTGCCTGACTACGCTGTTTGATCAACTCCTCTCCCAACTTCAGCTGGTTCCTGCAACCAACCAAAATAATAGTGAAGAGTTAAATTTGTAAAGATTAGAGTATTAAGATGTTAATTTTTGTATTTGAAACATTAGTACAACTACAAATCCTAATACAACCCACAATACAGACAGAGATGTTAAGGAGTTATAATATTTCCCCAAATATAAGTACCTGACATGAGGGTTGGTGGTCCGTTGAGGCATCGGTAGCGCAGCCGGAGAACAAGGAAGGTGGTCAAGAGCAGAACCATTTAAGACAGAGGAAGACTTTCCCTCCCCGATACAGTTCCACACCAGTGCAGTCGGGCATTCCAGTGTCACAACCTACGACATAACAAAAACCTCTTTAGTCTAAGAATTCATCATGCAATGATGAAAATTATCATTATTATACACATTAGGGATGTGTCAAAACCAAATCTCAAATCTCAAAACCATCAAAACTTCGGAAAAGTTTCGGTTTCGAGATTCAATCACCAACTTTCGAGATTCAAAAGTTTCAAAATTGAAGATTTTGACAGTTTTTAACTGCTGACATTTTTTTGTGCCATTGTTATTGTTTTCAATGCTGTTTCCAAACAAGCTGGTAGAAACAGAGCAAACATCACCATTAACAGTAATGAAACAAGTAAATTTTATTCTGAACTTCAAAAGGTATCTTAAATACTATAACTGGTACAATTCATTTTCACATCAATATTTACTCACAAAGAAATATTGACCACTAAATGTTCTAATTAATCTAATATTCATGTTTATGTTGGTGTTAGAAGTTTAATTTTTTTTTGTTTATGAAAAATTATGTTGTATTGGGTTTTAAGATTATCAGTCACATTGACATATTTATGTTATGTCACGGTCAGGAGTCAATCTCTTTCAGTCTTGATTGCATACTTAACATTTTATGATTATGTGTTTTTTTTTTTTTTTTTTTTTGTAACATTGACCTTTGTAACCGCTAAGTAAAAAAGTTTCGCCTTTAGGTTTTGAGATTCGAGATTTGGGATTCGATTTTTTAAAGTTTCTGTTTCGGTTTTGAGATTCAAAATTTCGGATTTTTACCATCACTTATACGCATGATTATTGATTAACAAAAACCGTTTCTACATTAGTGATCATAGATTTCCAACATAGAATTATACATAGTTGATTCTAACGGTTTTCTTAAATGTTACTGCTGTTAAGTCATATACAGGACATTGCGAGTGTAAAAAAAAATACAGCAATTAAACAATATATATATATATCTATTAATATTTTTTTACATGGAATATTTCATTAAAATGTCAAAGGTATACTAACTTAAACATGAAAATTGGCAAAGTAAAACCAATTTGTCTGTATAAAATTGCCTAAGAAGGAATTTGAAAGTAAGATGTTCAAAACAATGTCAAATGGGGTATAGTGGTGTTAGCAAACAAAAACCCCATAGAGGTTCAGATAAAAGAAGAAAATATCAGTGGGTGGTTGAAAAAAGATAACCAAGACATTGTAAAACAATCCCTGGACAGGAACCCTAATGAAAGAATAGTTAGAAAGGCCTAAGACTACTTGGTGAAGGACACTGATTGGAAGAGTTGAAAATGGAAAACCAAACCGGAGGCTGTCAAGAGAGAGGCAACCGGCAACCCCAACAGGGTGAAGTGGAGAGGACAGAAGGCCCTATGCTCCAGGAGGAGTCTACAGCCAAGTCCAAACAATCAGTGAAAGTCAACTGCATTTGAAGATTAAGTACGTACCTGAATGATAGCGCTCAGTCCAAGTATCAGATCTCGATGGTGTGGACAACTCAAATACTCATTGAACATGACTGTGAGAGTGTTGGCAGCATTGGCTCCACCTTGCGCTGCCACCAGGCTGACAAACAGAAAGACATTACTTAGAATTGTACAATTGTATATAGAGAAGAAACTAAAAAAGCGTGCACAAAGGTCCAAGTCAGGTTTTCAGTGGGACTCGCTGACTCACCTGTTACTAGTCTGCTGCTGACCAGCCGTGCCTTGACTGTTGCCCCCGCTGGTGGGGGTGTTATGGATGGCGGGGGAGTTTGGTGAAACCCCACCACCACTTTGAGGCTCTCCACTGCATAGCTGTGATACCTAAGGAACAAAGTTGTAAAATGTGAATGTTACATTCGTTATCATTGAGTGGAATACTTCACAATGAAACATTGTACAAATCAACAACTCTACATCCGCCAGATTGTTTAAACTTATGCCCTCCTAATTTCCCCCAAATTTCGGGGTACTTTTGTATTATACGGAGGCCGCTTATTTCACAGCGTGCTGCGGCGGTTATGTTAGATTGGGTTATCATAAATATAATTAGCGGACTTTCCTCATTTTGTACTATATCAGATGAGTCATAAATTATTTATGATAACCCAACCTAACAAAACTGTAGCAGCGCGCTGTATAAGGGTGGCCTCCGTATAATACGAAAGTACCAATTTCGGTAATAATGTCAAATTCCCAAGTCTCTCAAATTTTTTAGTTGGATATGGAAATCAATGGTAGCTTAGTTGCAACACAACTCATACCTTTCGAGCACACAGGTAGGAGAGTTTTCGAGAGAGCAGTTCTGATTGTACAAACTCCTCCATGTATTGTAGAGCAAGTGGCAGAAACAACCGGAACAGTCCGTCCTCAGATGAGGAAGTTGACCTCAGCGGCCGCTCTAACAACTCCAGGATCCACTGAATAGTCTCCTGACGCTCTAGCAAACCCTCCTGATACAGACAAAACATTAAATATTACCATTAATTTGGGGAGCATGTTTTTTCAGTAAACAAACAACTGAAAATACCAGTTAAAAAGCAAACAATTTAGAATCAGCATCTTACCTGATACATGTGTTTAACTAGGTTGGCACAGTACTGCCACTGCCTCAGGGATAATTTCTGTTCATCATTCATCGTAGTGGCGGTGGTGCTTGTGTAGTAGTCTGTTAGAGGTTTGCAAAGCTGTTCTTTCATGTACTTCAACAGTGTACCCGTCCATTCTACAATCATAGATTGATAGGTAAACATATGATACAAGTTGATAACGATATGTTTTTAATTTGAAATTAAATTATCTATGTAAATTCATTAAATTGAATGAATTTTTAAATATTTGTTCTGTTGTTACGATGTTAAATTTAGTTATCTAATCCAAGTTAATGGGGTTTCATCTGGGTTGTGAAGTGGCCTATGCCACATGATAAATCTCGTAAAGAGCCATCGTTCACCACATGACTTTGGTGGTCTGGAGTTTCAACCCCACACTCGCATGCCTCATCTGGTAACTGTAGAAATCTGGAACCTTTAGAATATTTTATAGGGAAGCTATCGCCAATAAACACCTCACAGATTACAGCTAAGCTTTAGCTCTGACGTGATATCGGCAACATCTGTGATCAAGTAGACGGTCAACGTCAGATATGAGAGGTTCTACTGTACCCACAAATCAAATCAATACATTCTGTTTAATATAAGCCTACCCCTCGTTACAGAACTTCTTTAGCATGTCCCATATGTAATCTAGTTTGTATATTCCATCGGTGTGCGACCAACAAAGGTACAAATAAAATAAAACCAATGCCTTATTCATTAACAACAGTTTTGTACACTGAATGGTGTCAACTAATCTATTTTAAATCTAAGCAAATCAAAACCATTATAACTTCATCAATTATGACTAATGCTAATAGGGGAGGTGGAAAAGTATGCTCCCAAGGAATAAAAGGCGTTCCCCACCAAATAAAGTTTAATCTTTCTTGTGAAATTCTTATTGCTTTGTTCATTTTTTATTTTACTAGGAAGATTCTTAAGAAATTTTTATCCTATATAGGATGGTTTTTTTCATAGAATTTTACAGTAGTTCCTTGTTGTTATGTTACATTTAAAAGGGGTCTGCAAGTAAGGACTTTTTTCTCCAGGTCAGGTCCAAATTGTTGACCTTTGGGTCTCGCGGGGTTGCTTTGGCAGAATTTATAAAAAAAAAAATATTAATGGGTGACGGAGAAATAAGCATCTTCTTTGGTCACGAGGACATCAACATCGTCTCCCTCATTTACAGAGAATTGTGAAGTCCCATTCAGTTGTGGAGACATAATAATTGTTTCCCACGATAATGTCAGAATCGTGAATATCTTTAACAAAATAAAAACACGTCCAAAAATCATAGCAATATCGTTAATCACGAGAATAAAAGCTTGGCTCAAAAATCAACCTGCCTCTAATATAACTTCTATAAATTACCTGAACATGTGCTAAAAAATTATTTCCAGCCTAATATTATCTCTCTGGCACCTATAATTTAACTGTTGATTTTACCTAAGAGCCAAAAATTTTAGGAAATCCTGTTTTATATGTGGGTTATGATGGATCATAAGGACTGGAAGTGTTCAATTTTTCTTGTCAAAGAAAAAACGGTACTTTGGTATTTCCCAGAGGTCACTCTTATACAGCGCACTGCGGCGGTTGTGTTAGGTTGAGTTATCATTAATAGAAAGAACATACTTTAATTGACTTACTGTCCAAATTTGACATGATTACAATTAGAGGCCTTTGAGTTCTGCCTCCCAGAAGGCATCGATTTCGGCGAGGATTGAGTTAAATACATTGCAGCCTCTACTGCCACGCCAGATACAGGCGGTGACAGGTGACGCACACGCTCTGGTCAACGACCTCACCTTGGCTTACTTGGAGGGGATTTGGCGAGCAAAAGTATGACTCATCTGGTATTGTTTGATTCATTATGAAACGAGGGAAGTCCTACAAACATATTTATGATAACCCAACCTAACATAACCGCCGCAGTGTGCTGTATAAGAGTGGCCTCTGAATAATACCAGAGTACCGAAAAAACTTTTTTTTAGTCTGTAGTTTCAATATTATAATCATAAAAACTAGGGCTAATCCGATCAAACAAACTACAGTGTTACCATTTTTACATGAAGATTCATTGTGGGAGGAAGAATTAGAAGGAGAGTGTTCCACACCAAGGAATGAAGGAGAGGAAGGAGAGACTTTCCTAACACTCAAACTTTTCAGCCAAAAACACTCTAGAAAATCTGAAGAGGATTAATATTATATCTAGAACCAAACAAAATGTAATAATATATTCTTTTAAAATCGCTCCATATAGCTTAGGCCTATGTGCAAATTAAAAACAAAAACCAAAATTGAATTACACAAAATCTAAATCAATTGCTATATATAGCAACACATTTTAATTTGATTTCAAGTGATTTTTTAACATGCTGTCTTGCTGTCCGATTATTAGATAGGCCTATTAGATGAAATCTTAGATCTCAAGAAAAATTATTTATCTTAAATTTATCTTAAGATAAAATATTAGATGAAATCAGAGTAAGCCTATGAACATTATAAAAAAAAATCATTGTACCTACTAGAAAAGTTTAAAATAAATATTTTGGAAAGCTTAAATCTTTATTTGAGTTTCAACTACTATATGGATAAATATATGTCCACTACAATGTAAACCATGCATAAGTTCAAGGTTTAAAACTTTGATATCCGTTGAGGGTTTGAATCCTGTCTTGGTCAGGTCTGGGCGCAACTGGGGTGAAAAGTTTACAGTATAGATAGAATCTTCATGAGTTGCACATGATTTCAGGCATTTTGACACTTTTCGAATTTCCTTACTGTGCGTGGTGTGTGACCACCAAAAAATCTGTTTTTAAATAATTAGGATTTTGGGTTCTTGATAAGGAAAAAATTATTATAAAAATAGGCAAAAATAGATTAACAGCAATTCATTAAGTTCAAAAGGTTGACAAAATTTAATGCACAAGACAGAGTTTCTAAATAGATTTGAAAGGCAATAGGCCTTACACTAACCTTGGGTAGGATCTGGCATCTGGCGTTTCTTGATCTTGGCCTCAGATATGGCGACAGTGTATGCAGAGCTCAGTTTAATGAACCACGCAGCCCGCGTCATCGGAACCTGGTACTCGCACAACAATGGGAAGATCTCCTCCTTCTTGTTGAAATTAGGAGCCTGGTTGAAAATTACATTGTTAGAGTACTGGTTCTGTTTAAAACATTCCAAACACACCATCACGAGCCTCTGTGTCTGAGGGCAGTGGATTAGTTAAACATCCTAGCAGACTCTTGAGTTTTTATTTGAGGGTTGATATTTCAATATATGAATATTTTTCTCTATTCTAAAATTAATATGATATTTCCTAAAAAAGTAAAAACCCATTAAGGATGCCATGTTACGTAAATGGGGCATAGATATTTTTATGGTTAAGGCTGAAAACTTTGTTCCTGAATATCCAGATTTAGATCTGTAGTGTTTCACCGTCCCTAAGTTAAGTGTAATATTTAGTTGTTTTTTTTTTTTTTTGCTTTTGTATTTAAGTTTAGTTGTAGGCTATAAGTTTCCTTAGCCATTTTCAGCCTTTTAGGCTTATCTAATGGTGAATCACGTGATTTCAATGCAAGTGTAAGAACAAAGAGACGCATTGAAGTTACTTGATTCCGTTTTGGAATAGGGAGGGGGGCACGCGGACATTGTCATTTAGGTATTAATTGAGCTTCACCCATCATACTGTTTACATCATTTCTCAAAGTCTATACACACACACATTGTTATCTTATATTCAAATAAAACTAAAATAAACCTTAAGTTTTCAGCATCAAAACTATTATTTTTTTTATCATCCTGAATAATTATTTTATCATCTCATTTTATCTCCGTTGTGTCATTATGGCCCACTCTCCCTTTTTAGAGTAGTGGTGGCAGCGATACCTCCTGTAGACCCTTGGACTTTGACTTTACTCCCAAACGGCACAGATCCAAACAGTCAAATCAATATTTTCTTTGTCTTTTCAACTGATGTATTGTAAAAAATATCTTTTGTTCTCTCATAACAGTGATCTTTCAACTGATAACAGATTCTTTAAAAACTGTGCATAAACTTAGGCTACTTAATAATATATACCAATATTGGATAAGCAATCTATTTCATGACAAAAATCAAATCACTTCTTACACCTTGATTTTCATCTTTTAATATTGCAGTCCTCCAAAAGAAACGTACCTTAATAGATTAGTTACTAACTTTTTAGTAACAAATTTACCTTTTTTGACAAGCTCAGTAATGGTTTACTTCCAGCCAAGTCTTTGAACCATGCTTCGATGGCAGCTTTAGATCTGTTAGTGGCTGGCCAGAAGTTGTCTTTGGGGTTGATTTGTTGTCTTTTTCTGCCCGGATCAGGCAGTGTGTTCAGTTCCTCTTTCTTGCCCAAAATTGCATTGAAGAACTGTCCAACCTACATCAGACAAATTGTAAAACAATTAAAAACCAAGTCTAATGCCTAAATAATCTACTAATTTAGCAATGAAATGAATTACAAGCAATTAAATATGTGCATTCGCTTTTTATATCAAAATGCCTTTGAAGAATGCTAATTGTAAATGATAAGAAATGTACAGTAACTTAATATGGATGATTCTTGAACTTTGGAATTACTGAAGAACAGAAGAACCAACTATTAATATCCGGATATGTATTAGCCTATGTATTATTTTGCAACCCAATTGAACACATAGTGGCGGTTAAAAGGCTAAACCTACTTTATTTATCAATACGATTCAAATCATAGCAATGAGTCACTTAAGGACACTAAATTAATATACAAATATCTTAAAGGTCTGGTTGCTGGCTTAAGTGTAGGCCTACGTGCCAAGCTATAGTACCTAAGTTAAGTAGCCTACCTAACAATAAGTCTTGCTGAAATATACCGTAAATTGAATAACACGTACAATGCTGATCAAGAAGTTATATGTTTAAAGAAATACTATACCGTACTACAAAAATCAGGCATTTCTTTAACCGTAGGCCTAATTCTTTGAATGAAAATCTTTTTATCAAATAAAGTTATACAATTTCATTAACTCATTTGCCTAAATAAAATATAAACTAAGTATGAATGAGGTACCTACATTTAAAAATGCCCAAGATCATGAACTACGATGCAAGATTTACTTACCTTTTGTGCTGTTATATTGCAGTTCCGTGCAGTACCAAATTCATCCGGTAGCTGGGGGACTATTGTAAACCCATGTTTTACATTTACAGTGGTTAACTCATCCTGTAACACAAATTAAATATTGCAGTTTATATAGTGACAATGTCATCTACCAAATCCTATTATTTAACAAAAATTATAATAGTAGGCACTAAGCCTATCCCTATAAAATAAACAATCTAGCATACAAAAACTGACCAACTAAACAGTGTTTGAACCTTCTGGTCAGGGAGATAAACAATAGAGGACTTGACCATCAATTAAATGCCAAATATTCTACCCTGTTAACAATGCCAGATTCAGCCAAAATAAGTATTGGTTTTATGCAACAGAGTCAAGAAGCATCTAAGGCTTACACTTAGTCTTACACTCTTACTACCTACAATGTGTAGGTTGACTATTGTCGGGACCACGTAAGTTTGCAGTTGGTGGCAGCCAATCACAAGACAAGGTTAGTGCGACGTTGCCACATCGCCCGTTGACAACACTAATAAAAATATACTAAGCAATATTTTCAAATCAGCTGGTATTATTAGATTTGGCAACACCGCACGGTTCTCATTGGTTCATTCAAAATCATATGGTACTTATGCTCCTCCCTCAACTGCAAACTTATGTGGTCCCGACTTTAAACATTTGCACAATCATTAACTTACATCTTTTGATGAAATTTGGTAAAAACGTGTAAATCTAGCCTACATTTTTTGGGACGAGTTTAGGAACCAGTATGATTGGACTATGGGAATGGGGGTTTATGGGGTTTTATGAGGTAAAAATTGTTTTTTAGCTAATTTCCCTATAGGGAAGTAGCTATTACCGTAGGTGGCACGGTAAGACCTAGACCCGGGACCGATTTACTTTTTCATTTTGATGTCCCCAGAGGCCAAAAACACTATTCGTTCAAATTTTTATATATGTATATATATATATAGACATATATATATATATATATATATATATATATACGTCCGTGAACGCGATAACTTGAGTAATTTTTGTCCGATTTTGATGAAATTTGGTTTAAAGGTGTAAAGCGGGATAAACTTGAATGAGTTCGCGAACCAGCACGATCGGACCATGGGAACGGGGCTTTACGGGGGGTTTTATGGGGTAAAAATTGGTTTTTCTCACTTTTGACCCTCAAAACACAAAATTTCCCAATTTCTCTTTAGGCCTTTTTAAAGAGCTTAAAAAAACAAATAATTTAGTATATAAAAGTATTTTTGTTCAATTATTAGTAACGGAGAAAATTAAAAAAAATTTAAATTTTAAATTCCCATGTTATTCTTATGGAGAATATTGTCAAATGTTGTAGTTTGCTTGTTTATAAATATATTTTGATCAAACTTGGCAAATTTATTTATTTTGTACTAAGCTATCAATATTTTACTCAAAAACACACTTTATTAGTTTCCTTGTAGCAGCAAACCTAGGTACTCGTTAAACCTAATGTTATTAAAATATATTTAACTGAAAATCAATTCAGACAAATGGAAATTCGCTTAGTCGGCAGGTTTGCTGCGGCGGGGGTATTTAGCTCTACAAAATGTTTCACAAAGAAGTTGCAAAATTTTATGTTTTTAGGGTCAAAAATAAAAAAAAGTTGTTACCGGTATGCGTCTGATAGTTAGGGAGAAAATTCTAAAAACTGTATATTCATTTGATTGTGATTTGATTTTGATTGCAGTAAAATTCCTAGCCTATGTTAGCCTATTCTTAAATGGAAAATAAGTAAACTGTTGTAGTTTGCTTGTTTATGAACATATCTTGATCAAGTTTGGAAAATTAATTTTATTTCATACTAAACTATTAACATTTTACAAAAATCACTTTTTTACCCTCCCTGTTGCAGCAAACCTAAGTACTTGTTTAGATAATGATATTTAAATATGAAATAAATGTGATATTTTTAAGGAGATATTTTAGAGTAAACTCAATCAGGCAAATGGAAATTCGCTTATTCGGCAGGTCTGCTGTGGTGGGGGTATTTTACCATAAAATAGGAACGGATTGCGTCATAACAAAAGAAAAAACTATATTCATAGGCCTATTTATTGGCCATTGTAATAATTGACCCTCTGGAAGGAGGAATATGACTGTGTCTGGTTTATTTTACACAAAAAAAACAAAGAGATCCGCTACTTTGTAGTACGGTCTTTTCATCATCCAGTCTTTGAATTTCCAGTGGTCCAGACATCCAATGCTGGAAGGGAGTCTGTTGAGAGATTCTTGATGGTTCTGCTTAATCTTGCTCAGGGGACATGAAGATTCTATGGTAGGTCTATTATGGGCACGGATGGAGAGAAAGTATACACACACAAAATAAAAATACTCGCTGTTCTAAAGATAAAATACCTACAATTTGCGGAACTGTAGGCCTACCCCACGGGTAGACTTCCGTATCTGTTGGCACAAACAAATGAATGAAAATATTGATTGTTCGATTGTTTCATTCGATACACGTATCGTTTGGTTAGTAGTTAGGTTAACCTTACCTAACTAAGTAAACGATATATCGAATAATCGGTATATCGATCGATATTTTTCATTCGGTTGTTTGTGCTAACAGATATGGAAATGTACCCAATATATCGATCGGTATTTTCATTCGGTTGTTTGTGCCAACAGATACGGAAGTCTACCCTACCCCACAAATCTACAGCATCTGAGTGTGAAAGACTATCCCTGAAGATTAAGATAGCCCTACATGTCCTAATTTAAGAAGAGACAGGCTAGCAGTTATAGGCTAGGAGTGTTGAAATGAAACCATAGCTAACTCTGAATTTAACCTGACAAGGCCCTAAAACCAAAAGTATTAAGGTAGCCTATTGACTGAAGCAATTGCATTACCTAATAATTTAATTACTTACCTCTTTTTGTCTTGGTTCCTGGGGATAAACGTCCGGTGGTCCCAATCTTGGGCGTTTTAAATAACGTTTTTCATACGAAAACCCCATCATTCTGAATGGCTAGCTGTTATGCTTGATTCAAAGTAAATTAGATTAGATAAAGGTTAGATTAGATTCCTTATCCTAGGTACTCTGTATACCTAACATTTTGCACTCCTATCATGTTATTTTAAAGAAAACGGCCACATTTTAACTATTAACATAAAACAAATTTGTTTCCGCTTAATCAATTCATTTTCATAAAAATCAAATATTTAAGCAACCAATTGCAGAATACAATTTACAAAAATAAAATATAAATAATATGTTTTATAGTTTTCTGATTCTGACAACCAACCATGACGGCAAAAAAACACGACTCCATTCAATCAGGACTCGGTACCCCCCACCACCTCGCCCGGGACAGTGGAATTGGTAAATGGTATCGGATCGGAACGGAACACGGAGCATCCGAACTGAAACGCGGCAGACGATTATTGTTTGTTATTGTTGTTGTTACTTGTTATCACTGTAAGTTTAACAACAGTTACTGACTGTCGTCTTCTGCCCAAGTTAACTAACGTATTTGTGTCCGGGTTTCATTATGTCTTAAAGTATTTATTACAGTATTGTTATTACCTGTTAATAATGCATGTTGTTTTCCCACTTATTGTAAAAGAGATGTAGGCCTACCTCATTGAAGCAAAAATGCAGAGGGCAGCCCAAAAGCACTTTTAAGTATTGAAAGCCACATTTTTACTTGCATTGTTTTTGAAAATTTAAACTCGATTAAGTTAAACAAAGTAGTTTGAAAAGCTGACAATTATCTAAATTTTTAATTATCTTATTAAGTAAACAAAGATTTAGTATCATCAATGTACCGAATAAAATTGCTTTTGGGCTGTAATGCAGGGTTCTGCAGTCCAACAGAACACGGTCCCCACCCCGATAAAAAAGTAAAAGTAAGTAGTATTCTTACTGTAAGGGTAAGAAAAAATTTTTGTTTATATTTTTTAACTAAAACCATTGACTGAAGTGAGACAATTCCCCCATCTATACAGACCAGCTTTCACAAATTGTTTTTGCAATGCAGCTTAATGGGCTATTTACATAGGCTGGTAAAGAGAAAGTTTAATAGGCTGGTGTCTAGAATTCTATTTTCATCCTTTTATTTTGCTACTCAGTTAGTTAAGGTGACATAAAGATACTACAGTCGACTCTCGATAGCTCAAACCTCAATAACTTAAGTTGAATTCCTTGATACCGGTAACTCAAATGTTTTTCCGTTCCCTTGAGAAAATCTGCCTAAGTCGAAAAGAAAACCATACTTAGGCTAACTCGAATTAATTTTGCACCCGAATTTTACCTCTATAATTCGAAGTGATAGATAAATTACCTCTATAACTTGAAGTTCAGTAGGTAAGTCGAAGTCCTTAAATACATTACCTCAACAACTCGAAATTTTCAGATCAACCTTCGCTAACTCGAACCGGTCTGGATATGTCGCTGAATTGTCCAACTGCTTGCCAAAGGTTTTAAAGGATGTAGGAAATAAAAAACATTGTTTATTTGTACCTCTATAACTCGAATTTTATTTTGTTTACCCCTGTAAGTCGAATTTAGTGAAATATTACCTCTATAACTCGAACTACTCAAGTCGAACTATACGTAACTCAAAGAAAACAGCCGTTCCCTTGAAATTCGAGTTATCGAGAGTCGACTGTATAGCTTACAATAAGTTGGCCTATCGCTTTGACTTGGTAAAAAAGTAGGCCGATGCATATATTTGACGGAAATCAGTAATTTATATCAGCGCAATCTGGGGGTGGCTCACTAACTTGATTAAGAAACTGGTGACAGCTTTAAAATGACTAACTTATAGCATAATTGGGCTTTAAATAAATGATCCTGACTAATGAAACCGCTGATCTGTAGTCAGTAGCAAAGCTACACAGATCATCTCACATCATTCTACACTTATCCTTCACTCATATTAGGGTTAAAATACGCACCTAGGTGGCGTCCCCATCTCAAGAATTGATAATTGATAATAACTAGTGATGTCAATGGTCAAAGCTCCACCAGTGATATCAATGATATTCAAGTTTGTTTTGCCTAGTAATCGTATTGCACCTTATGTGACCATCTTACAGGGAGAAAGTATCTGGCTGATAGAATCTATCTGCCAGAAAGCACTTAAACACCAAAGATCAGCCTAATTTGTTTATTATTTGAATGAGCTTCAGAAAACACTGAATCATTTCTTGCCTTAAAAAGCTGATTTTAAGGCTTACCAGTTACCAGCTCCACTAAAGCCAAAACACTGTCCAGTAAACTTATAGTAAGTTTAGTAGTCTGGTTCTGGTTCATGATGGCCCAGTTATTGCAAGATGTTGGTTAACTATACTAAGTTAAAAACCTTTTTCGGATTTAAACATAATCTTTTATGCCTAAGTTACTAAAATATGGTTAAGAATTACCAAAATGGATTTTTCAGTAGGTAATTTAGTAAGTTAACTTAGGTTATTTTCAGCTATGTACAAGTAATTAATGTGAAAGCCTCCCAACAAATTAAGCCTACCCTTTTTAGGTGCATGGTGCATGCATTAAGAAAGGAATGGAAAGTCAGCCGTTTGTAGCTGAAATCGAGGCTTTATTTCATTCCATTACAATTAATAACGAGACTAAATCAATAGGAACAAACAAAGCCGTAGAATGAAATTATATATTTGTGTTCAAACTCCTAACCTAGGCCTAACTAAGTTTATTTAAATTTCAAACATTAAGTTAAGCTTACCGTACTGGTAATTAAACTCAGTAGGCTTAAAGAATAAATTGTTTTAAGTTAAGTTAGGCCCTAACTTATGTTTTATTATAAAGTAGCCTATAGAATAGGTGATTTAGGCTAACTTAGGCTATATAACTTAAGATGCAAACAGTAAGTAGGCTAAGATGTTATCTCACCTTAAAAAGAAATTGTCTAAAGAATCAAAAACAAATAATAAAGGTGATATATTTATATACAAAATCATTACCTAAGTTTATTAAAATTTCAAACACAACCAACTGGTATGTTATCCTAATAATTAGGCTAATCAAGTTAGCCTATTGAATAAAAAAATTGCTTTGTTTAACTTATACCCTAAGTTATGTTTTATTATTATAAGGTAAGGTATAAGGTAATAGGCCATAAGATTTTCTATAAGATGCAAAAGGTAACTTGAATGTTTCGTAATCACAAAATTTATTTAGGGTCCATCTTACTCCTTACAATTGACAACAGTTTAAATTCTTTTACCTGACTTTCATAATTACGTATAACATATTTAAATAAAATATCATAATAATACTATTATCAATAATAAAAGGTAAGGTCAGTTAAATAAAACCCTTCAACATATTTGTACAACACAGAACATTGTTTTATAAAGATCCAAAATTAACTTATTAGGCAAGGCCTAAATCAATTAGGCTAATTAATTGGTTTCTAGAAATATATCCATCGATTGATCTGACAAACACATTTTGAAATTAATAGTAAATTAGTTATAAAGATTGGGAACCTAAGTTAGTAAGTTTTATTACTATTACTGGTTATTGTAACTCCGCAACATTAATTATACAATAACAATAAACATAACCTCAATTAACCACCAAACCAAATCGTTCCGATTCCGATTCCGCTGTCCCGGGCGAGGTGGTGGGGGGTACCGAGTCCTGATTGAATGGAGTCGTCAAAAAAACAAGCAGACCGAAGAAAGAAAAACATTTTCATTTACTAGACTGAGACTAAAGTTCCCATTTTACCATCCTGTCAATTGTAAAAGTCCCTGCGCTTCCCTCTAAACTTACCTGAAAGTGAAAGTTGCACGATAGCATAGATTAAAACTTTGACTGTTGATACTTAAACATAATACCATAGATTAAACATACTCCTCGTTTAATCTATGATAATACCCTTTAAATTATGTTCGTGTGTTAAATGGTTACACTTGTAACAGAATAAAAATGATTGCTTAACACCTAAATTTACAAAACCTACTAAGCAAGATCGATTAGTCTATGGCAAGATCTTTTTCATCAGGTATTTAAATCTTAACCCTATAAAATATCAACAATCCAAAACCAGTTATTGTCCATCCCGCCATGAATACCACTTTGTTTGAATAACAAAATAACTTAAATAGTGTAAAAAATTACGGGTTCTTGATCTAGTAACATCTCTCATTGATTGTTTATTGTTAAAACTAAAACTGGATAATAGAAATAAACTTGTTGTGAAAATGTCATGTTGTAAAGGTAATTAGGCAAATTTTTGTATGAATAAATCATACTGTGAAATTGGACATTATGTTGTAATCAATTTCGTAAAAAGTTTGTATTGGTGTATCGGTGTTTGTAAATACAAAATCTAGTAAAATATAAGTTCTAAGTACTAAAAGATTTGTCTAAAAGATATAAGTTCTAAAAGTGAAAGAATAACTCCTGCTACGCTAATCACTCATAAAATTCATAGAGAAAGCAAATTGTTGTTATATTTGTGTTACAGTACAGTACTGATATTTTTCTTTGGGGAAATTTTTATGGCACTGGCCAGCCTAGGTAAAATTTACGTTACAGTTTATAATATCACACACAAATCGAGATACTGTTGGCTAACCTGTTCTTTGCCCAGCGGCGACCCGCAAGCCCGCAAGCTGAAGCTAAAGCTACCGTCACCGTCATATTATTGCGTTCTGCTGTTGACAGCCTGTTTGTTGTGTGTCGAATGTCGATGTTTGCTTCTTCCGCAAATTGCTGTTTGGTTCGATTTATGTCAAAACAAGTTAATGGAATAAAGTAGATATTTGAACGCCTCAAGTTCAAAATTACAATGCCAAGAGTCAAAGCTTCGCCGAAAAAATGTGTGAAACCCACTAACCCACAATCTTCCAACAATTGGGTGTTTCTACTTAAAGGTAAATGGAAAAAATATTCAGTTTTTACATTAAGAAAATGTTCGTTGTTTTTGGCTTAAAACATTTCTGTTTTGGTCTATGCTATAAATTGTTTAAAATAATTTAAATTTTATTCACTTACTGTCTTCTAAAAGAGTTATGTTAGCAAAATCCTTAGCTTTCCTTTTAGGGAACCCTGAATTAAAGAACAATGGTTGGCCATTGTAAAATTTTCCCCAACCATTAGTAGCAATACATCCTATGCTATATTTGTGTAGCCTACTTGAATTCTGCATCTTTGCCAGATTTAGTCTGATAGATTGTGTCATAATTTATAAGAAAATAAATACAATATTTACAAAAACCATAGGCTAGGCCTAAGTTACTTTTAAATAACTTGGCGTTTTAACGGATGGCATGGCGGACATACACTATCTCACGAGGGGCTCATCCTCAAGTTCTTTTAGGGAGTACAGCGGCCTATTTACTAATGTCCCTTTCAGTGCCTTCTTGAAGGAGGGTGCATCCATCGCCCACATCCGGGTAGGCAGAGTATTATACATGTTAATAGCTGAACGAGGATAGGTAGCTACTCGAGGTACAACTGAGACAGCAATGGGGAAAGTCCATATTTAGGCCTTCCTGGTATAACTTATAGTAGGTACTCATGCACCACCTCTCTCACTAGTGTGAGCCCTTAAAAATTAAAATGAATAAGTTAATGAATGAATATACATAAATGATTTTATCTCCATCAAAAAATTACAAAGCAAGTCAGGCTATCTAATTATCCTTTAGTAGGGTCAGGATTTTCAATTCAATTCTATTCATTAAGTTATTTCCACGTATATCAAGCAGTACTGACTGTAGCCGATAGGCCTACTTTGAGTACCCCTAGATCTATGAAGATTGGCCAGCAATGGTCCAAATACCCAGACAGATCAGGCTGTGGTTGACCTGGAAGAATCAACATTTTTCTTTGTATTACTTTATCTAGCATTGTCACTATCAATAGCTTTTTAATTGAGTCATTTTTTATAGGGAGTTACAAGCATAAACAATAATATTAAATGGGCGGCAGAGACTCGTATGATGAAGTATTGTATTGATCATTAAAAGTTTACTTGACTTGTTATGTAGCTTTGACTATAGTAAATAACATTATTTACTATAAATTATAATTAGCCTATCATAAATACCTACTTTGTTTGTTCACCATTTCAATAAAGAGTAGCCTATTAAGTTAAAGTGCATATATTATATTAAAGTAGGTATAAAGTATTTGTTAAACCCGGAAATTGAAACTCCCTAAGCCTGTCAGGTTTGCTGAGGCGGGGGTGGGGGTATTTTTTAGCTTACATATCAGCCCTTTAAAATATTAAATAAAAGATTGCCACAATTGAAATCTTTTCTTGTACTTAACCAGGAATGGTAATTAGGCCTAATTGACTTTTAACGGACATATTATATTAATTTTTGAAAAATCCCATATTATAGTGGCATTAAAATATATTGCAATAGCATTACTGAGAATATAAAAAATATAGGTAGCTGGTTTTGATTTATTTAAAATACGTATGAAATTATTTCCAACAGACCTTTGTACCTAGGTACCTATATGAATTAGATGATTTTTACCAACTTCTTGTAGGCTAATATGATTATTATTGATTAGCTTATAACAATATTCCCTGTAAAGTAGTCTTAAGGTTTTCTTAGGCCTAGTTGTAAAGTTGTTGTAACATCAAAAATATTAGTGTAATCATTGAATACAAACTCCATTCAACTGTATTGTCCACTTACATTGTGAACAATACGTTGTGTCATAGTCTTACAAATTCCTGATATTTCAGGAGAGGCGTTTGAGGTGCCTGAGGGATATCAGGGCAGCGGGACACCAGATGTTGTTCAGCTGAGGCACCCCCAAACTGGTGCTCCAGCCATGTTCTTGTTCAGCCCCGGTGACAACTTGATCCAGGAAGTTTTGACATTTTCGGAAAATAAAAGGTAACAAATTTTGAATCTGAAGGGGCTTGGTTCTAAGGCCTAACAGTAACTTTTTCATCAATATATCAAGCATATGTTTTACAAAAATCCCACTAGATTTAACGTTTTGCACCAATGTTGTCATAAGTTGTACCTTGTACCATAACTGTAAGTTGACAGCTTTCATAGTTTTTTAAACTTAAGTGTCTCTCACCATAGGTCAGTACCACCCAAATAATTTCTGTGGTGGTATAAAGTCAGTAAAGTAGTAATACGGAAGAAGTACTCAAACCAGAAATGTCTGTGATATTAAATTAAATGTTACTGTAAAAGATGTTAAAGCACGTAACTTTACTTTAAATCATACTACACAGAAACTGGTAGGGCCTACTGTACTTTTCCATCCGTATTGATAGGCTGGAAAGTTGCCCTTTGCCGTGCCTACACACGGAAAAGTAACGTAAAGTACTTTAATCGTGCACTGCACGGTCAAAGCTTTTTACCGTGCACTTAGTCAGCTGATAAAATAAACAGCTGATTGCAACCGCCTATTTTATTTTCTGAGATATAAAAATATTATAATTTATGTTAAGTCCTAAATAAATTGTGTTATGCTTAAACGCATTGTACTAATTTTTCTGTGTAGTATGATGTGAAGTATCGTACTTTACTCGCCCGGTAAGCTTTACTGTACTTGCATGAAAATCCCGCATTCGGCTGTCGTGCTCGCTCGGTAAAACACCACTTGCCAGGCTAGTAATGTAATATACTTTTAAAAACAAATAGGCCTACCACATTGTTTTTTATGTCTCAATTTTATTATTTTTGTAGTTACATTGATTGAAATTCCACATGTTGAACAACTGTTTAGTTACATAACCATAAAAAGGTGAACCCGGACTTGTTTATGGATATGTTAAGCATGGAGGGTTATCTTACATTGTTTGAAATAGCCAAAGTTTGCTAATAAATCTGGATATCTCCTGATACAGTAATTCATACATATTGCCTACTATATGCACTCTCTTTATCCTTTCAGATCATGGTTTATTGAGGATTCTGTAAAATCTGACGGAAAGATGCATCTCTCTACTCCTGTGGATCCAATATTTTTGGTTCTACCATATTTGAGAAAAGTAAGTATAAGAAACACTACTTATAAACACATTTTATGTGTTAATTCCCCGATTAACCATGAAATATTTGCAAGAAATTTTAAACTATAAATTCATTACAAAAAAACCAAGATAAACAGACATTTCATTCCTATGATCAGCTGATTGATCTTGAGGATATTATCTAGGAATCAAACATACACCTCACCTCCTTGTTGAGTTAAGCTCCTTCCTTAGGTCGTAAAGGTAAATGCTTTACTCTTAGCTACCACCCGCTTCCACTTGCCAAACGTTCATTTTCAGTCTTCTGATGATTCTTCTACTTTTTCCTCCAAGACTTTTTGCGCTCCCCACTTGGTATTTTTTTTTTTTTTTTTTAAAGAGGTTGGCGGCCTCTTTTAACCTTGCATTTGCCCGTCCACATAGACTACAGATCTGTGCGTGGAACGTATCCAGCAAAGCAAGGGGTGAGCCGGTACAGTACAAAGGTGAACTGTACTGATAAAAGTTTGTGGCAGTGACCAGGATCCGAACCCACGACACTTCTGCCTTGGGCCCAAAGTCCGTGACGCTACCAACTGAGCCACCGACTCACCAACGGCATATATAACGGGGTGTGTCAGAGCCTGTCAAACCTGAGTTGCTTAATGAACTTCAGCATCCTATCTATGAGCTCCTCCTGAGGAAGGTGTCGTCCCCTTGTCGTTGCTCCAAGAGTAGAGTACTATCCCTTACCTTGTTCAGAGCTGTGCAGCCATAGAGTAGATGGTCTGCAGTATCCTCTGACTGCCTACATTTCCTATATGCAGTGTCTCCATTGTGGATCCTCAAGCGATGCTGGTGCAATTCCAGGAAGCCATGGCCAGTGACCATACCTGTGTTATTTGTTTGTTTAAAATCACAGATTAAAAGTTTTGAGTTTATAAATATTTAAATCGTATAACTAAAAGTTTCTCTTATTAAAATAACATTGGCATTAAAATTTTAACTTTTTCAGTCCCAACATGCCTGTCCTCTGGATCAGATCCTGAAGGATGACGACTTTCCAGAAGCAGAAAGACTTCTCTCTTGTTCAGGACTGAAACATTTGTCACAAGTCGCTGACAAAAAAGGTAACAGACATTTCATAGGCTATACCTTAAGTAACTATTGTTATTGTTTAGCTTTAAGATACATAGGGCCTACATTAGGATATTCTTAATAACTTTATTGTCACACTATAGTTAACAAAAATATTTTTAAATTAAGGTCCTATTTCGTTTTTGAACTACTGCTGTTTCACTTTTTTCCAACTGTTGTATTAATCGAGTCATTGGCAAGAAGCTACAAACTATGGTAGTTCAATAATCACAAGTGCAAAGGTTTATAAAGGTTGTGTGTTTATGGTGTAATGTCATTGTTTGTCAAGGAAACAGTCCAATCTCTCGTCTTGTTACATCAAACATCAACTTTTTTAGATAGTATAGCCTAAATATTGTATGGCCTAATGACTAATGGCATCTGGGTCAACGGCTTTCATCTTTTGGATGAGATAATTATCACTTTTATTTTTTCAGGTGATGAGGATCTCAACGCTTACAAGTACAACGAGGAGAAGACACTGACATGGTTGGCGAGGAAGACTGAGCGAGTGTGTGAAGTGTTGAAGCAGAAAGGAATCCACGTGTCAAGCAACAACGCAGTCTCCGCAACCTTCGTCAAGTCTAATCAGGACTCTGCAGGTCAGTAACTAATCATTTGTAAGGGTTATTTTGTCGTTCAACATCTGAATCCTAGACATAACATCCCATATCTTGTACACTAATGTTCCAAAAAAAATGTGTAAAAATCACCTTTCATCTTACTACTTTTTCAATTAATAACCGTTTTGTTGCAGAGAGCTACCTGAGATACGCTCACGGAGTAGTGTCGGAGTACTTGGAGGATGACTTGAGTGCAAAGTTGTCCAAACACCTCGGCCTGCCAGAGCCGGAGACTGGAGCGAACAAGCGCAAACAGCTGGCTAGCGCAAACACAAACGCTACTGCAGACAACAGTAGCAGTAAGCGACCAAAGACAGAGGCACAGGAGCCTGTCAAGAACGGTGCCCTCGATCTCTCTAAACCTGAGAAGGTATTCTGCTATACTGTACTCAATTATTTCAATCTACTTTAAATTAAACAAGATTTTGAAGGAAAGAGCACTTGCCATAAAGGCAAGGCAAGTAGAGCCAGTAGGCCAACTTGCCAGTTGCACTTACAGTTAACTTACCAAGAAAAGTAATCCTATAACAGGGAGGGCCCTTAGTAAGCCGCTTTAAGAGTACTTAAGAAAGAAGGAATGGGGATAAAAATTCAGGGTTGTCACTTGTCAGCTTCCGGGAAAATCGGGAATTATGCGTGAATTTTAACCGCCGTGAAATATCCGGGAAATATGTGTGAAAATGGTATTATTCGGGGATTTTCCGTGAATTTAAACTATTATCATTATGTTTATTTATTTATGAGGAATTTTATAGCTCTAACAATTTTGAGCCAATCCATAAAAAAAAATTATAGTGAATGTATTTTTTTTTATTACAAAAAAACAACTTGACCATTGATATGAGTTGTGACATTCGCAATGGCGGAACTGTACTGTAGAGTGTAGACACTAGACAGACGACACAACGATTTAGGTTATGACAATACTATTCCCAATCGACGCTCGACTGTGGATTGAATTGATGTTTTAGCTTTGACTTTAAGTTTAGTTAATTTTGGAAAATACATAATTTTAATTGTAATAATTATTGGTTTTTACCGGTTTTCAGTTAATCATAAGTAACTATCGGCAAATATAACGCAAAAATTTTAACGTTCGGGAGTTCGAAACTGCTTCAGGAGGCCTAGCTCAGTGGTACAAGCTTATTAACTTATTAGTGTTAATTTTCAACCTTTGTGTGATGAAATTATATTAGAGAGGAAAAAGTCAAGGGTTTTGGTATAAAGAGGTTGATTAATTAAGAGAAAAAATTAGTACGTGTTGTTATGAGAGGTGATTCGAGGCAAATGAATGCAACAATGGATATGTTCATATGATAGAATTACATGGACTGTTAAAAACAAAGACATTTAAAAATTAATAGATAAAACAAAGACACTTGACGGAACAACCATAATTTGCAGTGTTTGTCGAGTGAATATTAAGAGTTAATGTGTCTTAAGGGCTAATAAACATATGTGGGTTAATAATTATTCACCAATATATCCATTATTTGAATCTGTTTACAACTTTTAATGGGCTTTTCTTATAAGTAGCCTATATTAGTCGCCAGGAATTTTTGTAGCCTACTTTTTAGCCGGGGAAAATGTGTGAATTTTGTTTTTTGCTGACAACCCTGAAATTTTCATGAAGTTACAACACACAAATTAATATTTTGCCCGTCCAAAGATGCTTCTTCACAAGAAAGTAATTACCATTAGTTTAGTGACCTCATTTAGGTCCTTCTGAAGAAACCCACTTGTTAGGGTAAAATGTGAAATGAATATTGAGTTTTTTGTGCACTATCGCAAAATTTAAGTGGTTTAAATTACTCATAAATTCTGGATCATAAATTGTGTGGTGGAAGTTCCCCCACTACTTCTTTTGCTCAATATATAAGTTTCAGCTTTGATGTTTTGGCATACCTCAGCTGTTGAACTGTTATTTCAAAGGTATGATAAAGTGAAGGGGATGGATCAAGGCCACACTAAAAAAACAGGCTGTAATGCTTGTCAAGCATGATGTCACGATAGAAGACGGCAATGACGTAATGTTTGCCGTTTGTGATCAGCTGCTTGTTTTAATCTTTCCTTGGAAAATAAATAAATAAATACCCTCTGTCACAAAAATATCAAACATTACGTCATTGCCGTCTTCTATCGTGACATCATGCTTGACGAGCATTACGGCCTGTTTTTTTAGTGTGGCCTTGGATGGATTTATTCCCCAAACCGCCTAAATTTTGTGAACAGAGTAAAGTTATGTATTTATTACTACATCATTGTGGGGGGGGGGGGGGGGGGTAATTCACAAGGATTTAGAAACTGATTCAATAATTTGGGTTTATACCTTAGTGCTATTCCCCTAAGAGATTGTTCTCAATTTCCTCATCTGTTGTTTTTATGTTTCTTGAAAACACCTGAGGTTAATGCCTATAATTTTTGGTTCATGTGGAGTGGACATTTCGGCTGCTAGACAGGATATTTTGAGAAGCAGATCAGCTGCTATATTGATTTATTCTACACGATGCTAAGGACCTTTAATTGTTTAATCTTATTAACTTCTGGGATTTATACATTTCTGGTTTACAGGCCAATCGTTGATCAGTTGGTTTACCTTACCTTACCTCCTTGGCCACTCAAACCTAAGAAGGTTTTTGGCCTCGCCAACAAGTTGCCTCTACTGCTGCCGGTCTGCCGCCAAGTCAAGAGATGCCCCCACTCTGTGTAGGTCCTTCTGGTCTTGGTCTCTCCATCTCAAATTTGGTCTTCCTAGCTGGCGAGTGCCTCGTGGTTGTCCATTGGCGATCTTCTTAAGCATACTTTCTTCTTCCCTTCTTTCTACATGGCCTGCCCATCTCAGTCGTCTACTCTTCACTATAGCTACAATGTCCGGTTCTTTGTACAGTTCTCGGAGTCTCGGTTTTTTCTTATTTTATTATTTTTTCTTATTGATCAGTTGGTTTACTCTCTCATAATTCTTAAACCGTTTGATCTAATAGATGTCAATATTATGTTCTAGGTTCCAAAAACCTCAATAACTGCAAAAGACAAGGCCAGAGCAAAATCTGCAGCTGGTTCGAAAAACATTTCTTCGTTCTTCAAGAAGAAATAATTATTCAAGCAATCCTCAAACTCTGTGTCCTAGCTAAGCTTAGAATAAGATTTTAACTGTATTCGTCTCAAATGTGCAAGTATTATTTATTTTGTTATTTATACATTTCATTTGTTATTTTTTACGTTTTTACATCATTGTTTGATTATTATCGAGGAAATACAATTAAGAATAATAAAAAATGGTGACTCTTAAATCTGAAAAAAGCGTGTTATTCATTGACCCGTATCAACATGTTCTTCTTATACCAACAAAATTGTTGTTAATTGTAGAAAGTACTTAGTTCAAATCAAAATCAATTTATTCATTTTTTACATACATAAACGAATAGTTTCAGAATACAAAAACTACTATACAAAAGGTATTATACTGCAACTAATTTTGATGAGTAACTGGCTCAAAATTGTGCTAAATTACATCAATTTATATTTATTCTTAAAATAATCTTCTAAACAATCTAAAGAGTAACAACTTTTATTGACAAATATTTTTTTTACATTATTTCTTAAATGTTTTTTTGTCTATAGCAACTTTAGTGATGGTGGTAAATTATTTAAAAATGGGTCCAATGTGAGTCGCTTTTTTCTATAAAATGTTAAATTGTGTTGGGATAGGTTTATTGTATCTCTATTTCTTGTAAAGTAGAAATTGACATTTCTGTAAAAACAAAAATCATTTTATGGAACTGGTTTTTGTCACAGATTATACATTCTAGAATGTACTTGTCATACACCGTTGGAATTTTTACCTGAGAAAAGTATTGTTTTACTGAATCTTCTTCATCTAGGTTCAGTATAGCCTTCTTTTGAGGTAGGCTATCAAAATTTTGTCCAGATTTTGTTTTGACATGCCGTCATATATCGCCAAACCGTATGATAGGTGAGAATGAATGTGTGCAAAGTTAATACATTTTTGGGTTTCTATGCTGCATAGAAATGACATTTTTTTAAATAAATAAGTCAGATGAAAGAGAATGATAAAGTTAACGGAATGAGGGCTAATACATCTGAATACCTGTCCCTTGAAAATCTGGCTGGTAAGGGGCCGGGCAGATCTCTGATTTACCAAAGTATGGAATTGTTGAAATAGTTTTTCTCAATCTCAATTCATTTGATCGTGATACAACTTGACCATTATTTTCAACACGTTACACTCTTCTGTTTAGTATGTCTTGAGTCACCTGGTAGTGAATGTGTTAATACGTTCTCTTTGTGAGAGAGCGAGATAAATCTAGCTTCAGGCTTGTTTTTGTTTCTGCCAATAAGACTCTGTAAGTGGTGCGTTGGATTACATAGTGTCAAATAATTGAGGTCCAACTGTACTGTGTACATAATAGTGGTGGGCGATATACAACTAATAGGATAAATATCACTATTACTGAAAAGTAACAGTATTTCCCATCTCTAGTACATAACCCAGTCAAGGTAACAGTCATCTCCATCCCCTTATACCTTTGCCACCCTTCACACATTGCCTTATCGCCTGCTCTCCAGCTACAAACCCTTGTTTTGATAGTCATAGTAAACTAAACTCTATCTGGTACATTGTTCTAATAAAGTTGTAGTTTTTTTTACTATCACATTTCTCATGTAAGCTTGGATATGGGTTACGCTTGTAAGAACCAAGTAACAATGTCTTCATGAAAGCCGAACTAAATATATACATTTTTGACTCCTATAAAAAAAATAGTAAAGATATTTATATGTGTTTTTTTTAAAGTGAGACTTTTCCATATTCCAGTCCTTAGTTGCTAAACTTTTTTGATGAGTTTTAATATTTGAATAGCTTTTTAATAAACTGTTTTTTATTTGTTAATACCATTAACTAAATTGACAACTAAGTTTAGTGGCTTTGCTACTAATTGGGGCAGAGTAAAATCAGTATATTAGTTAAGATTCGGCAGGACCGCCGTCCATCTTGGATTTTCTGCCCATAACGGCAATGTTAATGGTTGAAGCATATTCAGCATTGTTTGTTAAGATAAAAAGTTGCAAAATATCTCATTTTAAAGCTATTGAAACCAAGGATGTGATTTGCTATATACTTTTTCATTTTGATAGTTGTTATTATTTGGTAAACAACTCAAATATATTGAATTAAATTGTGTTTTTTTTCAACCTCTAAAACAAATTTTTAAAAATCCAAAAAGCAATTCACAAGGAAAATATATTTGAGAATCGCATAACATTTTCTGCTCAGTAATCAAGCTTACAGTGTATGATTAATATGCTTAAACGTGAATGCATATTTTAGCTGATTGGCGCTTGGACAACCACTGTTAAGCCTGGCATCTGACGGTCAACAACAATGCAAAATTATTGACTCCTGCCGACTCTTAAAAAAACCACCCAGCCATTGACATCAGCAGGAAAATAACAATTAAATTGGATATGGTAAATACAATTCAAAGAAAAAGTAATTACTGAAAGCATTTTATTTATAACAAAGAGTCAAATAGTACTCAGTAAAAAAATAAGGCTATAGGAAACATTTTTCTAAGATACAATTTGAGCATTATCTAAATGTACTAAGTAAACAGCACAGAGGACAAAGGTTTACAAGTTAAATTATACAACAAAAGCGGAAAGCTATCAAATCTATATGAATAGAGACAATCAAGCTTCCATGTTGATGCTATAAGCATTTGCTCAAACAAATTGAAAATGTGCAGACTAAGAATTAGTGCATGACTGTCCTTAGAGGATTTTCCATGATAAATACAGTACAGTACAGACTCAGTATTAAAATGACATATATTCAAGACTATTCTTAATGCTTAAGAAGTTTAAAAGGTATGCAGCAAACTCATGAAGAAATTGACTTAATTAATGTGTTTTGGAGGGAAGAAATCAGATGAAGGGGAGACATATAAACTTAGGCCTCTAACACACATTCAAATCAGCTTATCAGTTTGATGTGAACAAGTCAATTTATCATGTGTATTCAAAAGTTTGTTCAAACTATGTGAGTTCAACACCTACATTGTTGCCATGATAGCTTTTGAATTGATAATTCTTACTGACATAAGGCCAAATTGAGAACGTGCAACAGACTTTAAATTAATACAACTGAAGGGGGTAAAGACAACCAACTTAAAATATTTTAAATAAAAATATCATTTGAATAAAAAAAAATTGAGGTGGTTATTAGTATAAGATCAAGTTGAATTGTTTTATTGTTGTATCACATATTGATACAATATTATCAATTTAAAAATAGCCTCAAGATCAATTATTTTAAAGATTACTGTCTTAGTTTTAAAGTTGAGTTCGGGAACAGTAATTGAATTCCAAAACCATCATGCATAGCTTGGGAAAGTATTTTAATTGTAAACCTCTGTGATTTCTTTTGTTTTCAAATGTAAATTACTGAAAAAAAACTTGGTTATTACAAAAACTTAATTAAAGTTTTGGTAGTTGGATGTTTCCAAAACTAACAAATCGTCAAAAAACTCTAAATAGTTCCAAATTGCAAAATGAATTCTGAAAACCCCATTAAGGCCTACTTCTTAGTTCCTTGATCTGATTAATTTCACAAAATAGGCTAACACAAATTCTTAGAACAGTTGTGGCAATAAATTCTGGAATTCTGCAATCAAGAAGGCAGTATAATGCAGTCTTTGTTTATTATCAGCTGATTTAGAGTTCCAAAACATGGAGATAATCTGAGGTGGAGTCAATTATTTTGCCCCAATCATACCAAAGGGACTCGCTGCTTGGATTGGTTTCAGTCAAACAATTATTCCAGCCTCATTGGATACTACACCAATACAAGGTAAGTTAGTCTACCTAAGAATAAAATCAACAGGCTGAAAGTATAACCTTAACCAGCCACTGATTAATTAATTGTGATTTTAAAAATCATATTTAAATGCATTTAGGAGGATAAAGAATTTAGTTTAAAAGCATAATACTAGTATTTAAAATAAATGGTAAATAATGTTTCAAACTTTATAGCCAGGTTCTATTTTTAAATGTAAAAAGATGTAAAATGTCTGAAATTTGACAATAAAGTGTAAACAAACAGGTTTTGAGGATTAGAAGTACACTACAATATATATTTTTTTTATGGTTTGGTTTTCTTTATTTAAACCGCATAAGCTATAAATTTTATCTCCTAAAACTGTGTTCAAGCAAATTAACAGAGTTTTAGTCAAAGATAACAAAAAAACAACCATACACAAGTTAATACTGGTAGGCCTACATTTTTTCAAATCTGCATCTGGGTAAACGTAGGACTATTTAATTCTTAAGTTTATTCACATATCAAAATTTTATAAAAAACAATTGCTAATTCAAGGAACAAATATATAAAATAAGATTATGATACCTTAATGAATATAAAATGTATTTAATGTTTTTGAATAAGGATAAAAGAACTTAAATTACTGTTTGATATTTTTGAATAAGATGTACAACAATTATACCACAATTCACCAATAGTGTGGACAGCAAAATAGAATATATTATCTATGAAGCAAGAGAACATTTCACTTCACCAGTTAAAAAAAAAAATTATAACAGAAGTAAATTAATAATATCGCATATTTTTAATCACAACACAAATAACATTAATAAAAGAAAGTACACAGGTTCGCTGGTATAGGTATACAAGACAATATACTGACATCCAAACCCAATAAAATACAGAAGTACTAACTTTACATTTTCAAATTGCTAAACTAAAACCATAAAAAAAACTGCAGTAGTTAAGTTTACTCTAGCTAGATGTAATATTATATTTTCAATTTATATAATACAGTAGATTCCCTCTTAACTGGACTACATTCGGCAGAAATGACATCTCTTTAACCGGACAATTTTTATCAGCACATCGGTTTAACCGGATTAGATTGGCAGGAAGTGGGTGGTACTGAAATGACTGTTCTCGAGGAAAAGATTTGAGACCAGTGATCACGTGTCTAAATACAATGCTCTCCTAAATTTATGTCAAATAATGTATACAGTATGCATTTAAACGGTCCATTTTAACAAGTTTTTGGGGACGTCGGTTTAACCGGAAAAACAGTTATCCGGACTGGCCTCGGTCCCAAGGAGTCCGTATAAGAGGGAATCTACTGTAGAGTACAAGACCAATTACACAACATTGATGTGGACATATTATAATCAGTACTTTTAACGTATGTATGACTTATAATGCGTACTTTTATAAATTTCTTAAAACCCACTTTTGATTAATAATGAGAATTACAGAACATTATGGGTATTCAATTTATTTCTTATTTTTTCAGCCATAAGGGTGCATGTGCACCCCCTTGCACCCCCATATGGGCGCCCATGGTAGCATGACGGACTTTGAACCCATGGCAGCAATGTCATTCAACCAAAATATTTGGAAAAAATGCATTTTCCGTAAAACAGTACCTATATTACGTTACTAGTCCGGAGAATAGGTGTTTACCGGACGAGTATAGTAGTTATATCACATGAGAGGCAGTCTAGAGTACAGTACACTCCCGATTAACCAAGGTTGTGTAACAGAGACTACCTCGGTTACCAAGAATCTCGGATAACAAGGAGGTCACCTTATTATGAAGTCAAATACTTGTAAAATATATCTTTAAACAAAACATAGTGAATGAAAAATTATAATAATGTTATTTTGATATAACCTTTTTTTCAAATAGCGTAGTATTGTTATAGAAAAACAAACATGTTAAACACTTTTTAATCGTCTTGAAAACTTTAAACACAGTAGGCCTAGCCTATTATTAGAACTACGATAAACCAATACACACACATTGTAAAAAAAATTTCATTTTGTTTAAGTTGGACCTCTGATCTATAACTTGACACAATCTAATCATGACTACATCAAAACATCGTAAAGAAGAAGACTGACTGACACTGCTATTATTTTATGTTCTGCAGATGGCTGGCATGGCTCGTCCAGTCCAGTTTGCCATTGGTAGCCAGCCAACCTAGTTCCGTGGGATTTTAATTTTTAAGGTTATTGCAGTCCATTCTAACGTTAAAATTAAACGTATTGGTTATTCCAAGTACTGTATTTGTTTCAATAAATCTCAAATTATTGCTATTTTTGCATTTTTTTTATAGAAACATTTTATAATAAAGTAGTTATTATAGAGATTATAGAGCAGCAAAATATTCTATATATATATATTTTCCAATATATTTTCTGTAGGACTAGCCTGAAGTAATGTGTAAAACAGTTCCGGACTAGAACTAGCATCCTAGGATGTAAAGGTGGGACATTAAAAAAATATTTACAGCTTCACAAATTAGCTCTATTCACTGTACAAAATATGCTAAGTACAGAAGGGGAACCTCTCACAAACAAATATGTTGGACTTTGGTCATGTGAGTAACGCGGCACAATAAGGTGGTGGTTTCTTTGTTCACCCAGCTAGTACATGTTCATGCGTTCTTCGGGGTTTGTGATGTTGCCGTTCCGGTTGTGTCGGGTCATGCGGATGTCGTTGCCCAGCTAAGACAGGCCTTAATTTGCTTGGTAAGTTCTATGCACAGGCTTGAGGCCTATGTGAACAGGCAAATGCTAGGTAAAAAGTGTCCGGCTACCTCTTGATTGCCGAAGTAAAAGTTTGCTGTATTGTCACAAAAAAGGACTCTCAATAAAAAGGAATATTTATTTCATTGTTTATTTTCCAGATGGATACGAGGCTTGTGAGAAAGGTATTTCAGCATGATAATCTCAGAGTGGCAAACGACATAGAGATAGCAATGATTATGAGAGAGATGGCTCTTCCTCGCCTAGTGACGCCTTTGCTCAGCAAACCATGTACAGTAGACCAAGAGAACATCAGATCCAAACAAAACAAGACAACTATTACGTTACATCCTGTGACTAACAACACTCAAAAAGAATACGTCAAACAGAAAAGGTTACGTGTTTAATTTTAACAATGTAGAGCAACTAATTATGAGGTTAAAAAGTTGAGATTTTTTTGTCACTGCCGTCGTGTCAGTCACACAAATTTTTTTGCCTAGCAGGGTTAAGCTCAAAGCTTAAAAAAGTCTTTCTCTAGTATGACCGTTTTTGTTGCTCAGATCGTTGACAAGTGTAAAATTGTGCCTGGAGGATTTAGTTTTGTAATTTGAATGTGTTTGGTAGAGAAGCCACTTGGTTTAGGGTTAGCTTTGAATTTGTCAGGTGCTTTTTGAATTACCTAATTCATATTTGCTCGTCATTAATTTAGCACTGTTGTTTTAAAATACTGTGACTGACAGCAATAAAACTCAGATGACAATGGCAATTAAGTATAACAAAACGATACCACATAATCTTGAATAGCATTGCTGTAAAGAAATATTTAGTACTTTCTTACATTTTAGTATCATCTTAATATAATAACAAATTATAAATGACAAATTTCTTGTAATAGTTTAGTTACACTTTTTAAGATAAAACTATTGGATAAATATAAAACTGCATGATTTATACTCCTATTGGCAATATTTGTATTCAGTTTTAACCACTGTATATCTTTTGAGTGCTGAGAGTGCACAGGATTCAATAAAACAAACAAATAACTGTGTAGAGAGGTGCACGTTTTCCTGAGCGTTTAGTTTGAATAAATGTGAAAACACACAATACAACACAGGCTAATACCTAAAGATTGTAAAAAAAATCTCAAATCTGATTTCTGAACCATCCTGTTGAAAGATAATACTTAACATAGAACTACCTTGTTCTGCCTTCAGTAAAATAATTTTGTGATTTCATCACAATAAGTTATTTTTCTTCAAAAACTATGAATAATTATGATCTATGAGAAATATGTTATAACATATCAAAAGTTTTGATTTTCCAAACTAAAAAGAAAGGAAGTATTGGGTAAAATTGAATTGGGTGTGGGTCAAAAAGATTTCTCTGGCCTCGAAAAGAGTTTTTTGCTAAATGCTTCTTTTCCAAATATTTTATAACCAGTCCAAATTGATATAGCTCAAATTGTAATCGTTTGCTTTAAAAGTTTTCTTTAAACATAGCTCCCATCTTTGTCTTGTCAGTTAAAAATCAGTGACAAAAGTAATCATTAATTACATCTTCTGTTTCTGTAAGATTTAGGTTAGAAGTAAACATTTATAACATATTAGGCCTACACTTATATAGAACAGCAGAAAGATGACTGTATTGTTTTTTCAACAATAATAATGCAGCTATGATAAATTAACAATAATTACTACTTTCTATCCCATTATTATCTACATAATGGGCACAATTGGTTGACTACAATGTCTTACTATTAATTGGCAATACAAGTTTGCAGCCTTATTAAATTGATATAAATACTAATAAGGTCATAGGCCTAGTTGAAGTCTTTTACCAGTGCATTTATTTTAAATCTTAGAAACACTTTAGCACCGCAAGGAAAAAAATATTTTGCAGCTGTATGGCGAAGAGATCTTATCACTAAAAATAGTATATTTTACACTAGGACCTAAAGTGACTCTTTTGGGCCTCACCTCAAGTTTAACAACCTAAGCTTCGCCTCAGTCGGTAAACGGCAAGGGTCAAAAAGACACTTTTGCCCATATTATGATAACTATTTTTTTTACTAAAAAATAGGCTTTACCTTACCTTCACCTTATGTTAGCTCAAATGATGTAACTGCGTTGGTTATAGCCGTTTCGGCATTACAATGCCATCGTCAGACAACGAAATCTCGGTTGAAGTAGCGTTATTGAAGTTAAAACACATAACAAACACGAAAAATACGAATAATATTTACACATTTACAAAAACAATCAAGCCTGTCATACTAAACGCAATGGTTGACTTGTTCCCGTCCCGAGCAAGATGCCGACTAGAGGATTCCTATGTTGTGCTCCGGGTGGTGGCGTTATCAGTTGAACTTTGTACTCCTGGCTTAGGGTTCCTTTTCTGATATAAAATAAAAATGCTATTGAATATAAAGTGCGAATTGAATTGTAGTTTCAGTTCAGGCGAGATTTCGTTGTCTGACGATGGCATTGTAATACCAAAACGGCTGTAACCAACACTTACATCATTTGAGCTGGATTGATGAAGGTAAAGATTATTTTTAGTAAAAAAATATAGTTATCATATTATGGGCAAAAGCTCAGGGGCTAAAATATGGATTTTAACTATATTTTTTGTCATACTGCACCATTCTTAGGCCAAATAGTTGAAAAAAAAAACATAAATGTCAAAAATTATTTACCTTTATAGATTACATACAAATATTATTCCATTCTTGTTTTGTGATTATATACAAGAAGTTGTTACTGTTATTTAGATGCAATATTTGTTACCCCGCCAACGCAATAACTTATATTTTATTTTTGAAATTCAATATATTTTTTGTAAACGACAACAAAGTACAGTAATATATTCGTAATGAAATATGCAGCATAAACAATTATAAAAACAATAAACATTTACAATGATAAAAACCAGGATTATTTCCTTCAGCAAAATCAGAGTACAAATTTTACAGCTAAAAATATAAAGCTGATAATTTTGACTCCAACTGACTTTTTATCGCCCTAAAGAGAAAAAGAGCTAATTTAGAACCGGAATGCATGTCAATCAATCATTCATTCAGTCAATTTATTTATTAACAATGTATAAAACAGCCTTTTTTGTTGCAGTATGACAAAAATTAAAATAATGGCCATCTTTGATGTACATTAAACAATGTTTAGAGCTAAACTCCCATCTAGACTCTTGTCACATTAGATGTTTCTTTGGTTTCAACTATTGAATTATGTCTACAATACCTAAATAAATGTTATAAGTGAAATTGTAGGAGCAAACTTGCTACAGATGGCGCGAGGACTAGATCAATTGTCTAAGATGTCTTGTCTGTTATCGAGTTGCTCGCTGCCGTAATTTTTCTCTTTCCTCTCTTTTCCGCAGTTCTTCTATCCTTAGACGTTCTAGAGTTGATAATTTGAAGGATCCTGGGACTTTAAAAATACTCTGCAAAATAATTTGGTGACTGTAAAATATGTTTAACAAACATAATAGGCTAGTTTTTTTTTTTTCAAGCAATGATAGTTTGAAGTGAAATAACAGAGGAAATGTTCATTTGCAACTTTTGGGATTTTTCTCTATAAAATATCATAGTTACTCCCACCGCTTACCCATGATAAAGGTTGTTGACAAGCTTATGGGAGAAAGTATGTGTCAGAATGCTGATAACGTTTATTTTATTTTATTTTGGTATATAAACACATTTAGCCTACTTATTAAAAGAATGCATTAAAATGATCCGATATAAATTATAATAGCTGACTACAACGCCTATTTAATTACAGTAACAATTGAAGTTTGGATACCCAATTGGTTTGTATATCCAATCTATATAGAGCAGCTGTCACCTATTTTTCATTAAAAAAGAACTTAGTCGAATGAGTCACTCACAGAGTTCTGTCCCTTAGTATTCTGTTAATAAAATTTGTATGCAACATAAAAGAAGCTATAGCTTGCAATAATCCCACTTGGTTAAAAAGTTGGCGTATTTGACAGATCAGAAATTAGAAATTTAGGTCAGCGAACTCTGTTGGTGGCTCAACTCGACTACCCCAGTTTGATTCAAAAACTTTAACATGGGTTGGAATGTCTAGTTATTTTGGTAGTTGCTTAAACTTTCATTGATATTTTTCAAGTATTCTAGTCCAGAAACTCATTATAACAAATTTAAGCTATAATATACCAGATACAAACATTATCTAAAAATTACTAACTTAGTTACAAAAATATATTTGAGAACCAACTAAAAAAAATAAAATGTTTAACCATTCAATAATTTTATTTTAACTAACCACAACCTTATGAACAAAAAGATACAAAAACGAACACACCCAGTAATTGAAAAGAAATTTCTAACCTCCATAAAGTCATGGCAGTAAAGTGTGAAAGAATCGCTCGTGATTCCCTTGAAACACTCAGCGAGGGAGCCGAAGTCTTGGCAACTGAGGAGTGTGTCTTTATGGCGAGCTATCAGCGTGTAAGCGACTCGGAACAATATCTTGGAGCCCTCATAGAACAAGCAGTCCCATATCCTTAACACCGTCTGCAAACTCAATCTCTTAGTTTTAGGTAAAAAGTATGATTATCGTGTAATGGTGGTTTTAATTTTGGTAGAAGGGCTGTATTACATGATAAAAATGTAAGCCTAAAACTAAAGAGGATTTTAAACCCCATTTGGTGAAATAGAACGATATATCTTTCAGCATTTATGACAAGTAATATGTAGTGAATTATGGAATCTTTACCTAAAAAGCATCGGAACTGTAATATTATTGGTTTCCAATATTTTAACCTATTTATTACAAATGTATCAATACATCAGTAAGTACTGATTACTGAAATTATTTTTTGATTCATAGATATATTAAGATAGGTAGCAAAGAATGTAGGACAATGTAGATAGAATGTAGTAAGGAATGTAGGGGACTGACTGATTGACCTCTGGATTGTTAAAATTAGCTTATAAAGGTCAAAATAAACAATCCTTCAAACCATCTTATGTGGTCTATAAATCAGAAATCATAACTGTTATTTTCATGCAACTATTTTACATAGCATTGACAATGTGATGAAAATCAAAATTTTAGGACGGTAAAAATTAAAAATATGACATAATATCAATCTTAAACTAATAACATAAATCAACTACATGACTATCACAATATTAATCTACCAGGATTATTACTAAACCTTTAATTAATATATGTTTAAAACAAACCACATTCTTGCTCACCACTATACATTTGAATTAAGCTCTTATTTTTTTAAAGAGATGGATAATAACACAAACAAAAGCACTGCAAAATATAATAAGTTTTTACACCACACTTTACTGTTTTAAAGACCTTCCCACACAAGGATTTAGTCCAGAAAATAGCTGTTTGCCTCCAGCTTAAACAAATGGGGTCATTACGTACTACTGTACTGTAACGAGTTTTTACCTAACACCAACCAGCTGATTTTATTTTATATGAGTGGTTACAAATGAAAACATAACCTCTCTTAGAGGTAACAGGTAGTGATTGTTAGTATTTAGTCGATGGGAAAATATTAGGATTTGTACAGATTTGTTATTGTTAAGTTAGCTTAAAGTGGTATGGCATAAAATATTGTACGTCACTCGTCCAAAATGTGTTTACCTGACTCGTATGGTAACCCCGACTTAGTCTCTCACAGGAATGACCACACTTGTCCGGTAAACACCTATTTTCAGGACTAGTAACGTATTACGATACTGAACCTTTTTTTCCATACAGGTTGGATTAGCTCGAATATTCCTTTGCAAATAAAGTTTGACCACCCTTTTTAAGCTCAGTGATCAAAGCACTTACCTCTACGGGCAAAACGTCAACATAGAGACACACAAACCACTTTGTGGCGAACAACGGCCACGGCAAGCCTTGTCTTGTTATATGGGAGTGGAGAGCTGGCAGTTTTAGTCTGCAACATAAACGTAAAAATTAATCTCGATACTTAGAAAAACAACTCAAGAACCTATATATAATTAGGCCCTCATATTGTTGATGCCTTGTAAGAGTGTAAAACATTTGATTTTGTTGACTTATTGCGACAATACCCATTCAAATTAACATGAATTCACTTTGACTCCAATCAACTGAAGCTGCGCAGCCAAAAGTTAATAATTTATTTTCATAAAACCCGCAAAACTGATAGGCTGGAGGTGCCAGAGGTGCCCCCCCCCCCCCACAAGCCAGGGGAACAGTCCCCCCCATTTTATGCTGCCCTCTATTTAAACCTCCCCCCACCAATTTACTTGGCAATTTCCTCTTGCTACATAAAAGCACATTTCAAGTATTTAGTAAGGTTGAGGTAAAGAAAAAAAAAACTTCCCGACGATCAAAATGAAATATTTAATAGGAAACGCCATATAACAATACAAAATTATATAAACTAAAACTAATGGACAAATTGGAACTTTTTCAACTTACAATTCAGAGTCTGTATTGTCAGCCAACATGTTCTCTGTATTGCAATGGAAAACGTCTTCATAACGTTCAACAATATACTTGGTCCATTACTCTACTCCAACACAGTACTGTACAATATATTAGGTAGCGTACATTTTTACAGGGCTTAAGAACTCAAACAACTTTAAAAGTATGAATAATACTTTGGCAAAAAATATCTTGTTTCAAAATTAGGTTGCCCGCCACTCCCAAGCTGTTGGGCAAAATACCCACAATACCTTAACTACCATCAGCACAAAATGTTTTTGTGAAGAAGTAATCTTACAATTCATTTTGATAGCCCAAGGATTGCATTTTAAAAACTAATAATGGTAAAAACGCATCTTGTCATAGACAATCCTTAACATGTACGGTAGTGTCAAATTTTACTTGCTACATATGTTTTGGCGGTTCTATAACTCCACCATCGTCAGGCTTACAAAGTATTTCTATGCTTTATAGTAGCAGTAGGAAAAATATAATGTGTAATGCAAGCACAAAGTGCCACTTAGCACACTATTTACACAAATAACTATTTTCTATTTTCAAAATTGTCAAATGAGAATGTACTCCCGAACCCAATTTCATGCATCATGATTTACATAAACAAAGCATAATTGATAACCATCCTTATCTTAAGGTCAGTTACATGCTGCTGGAGAGGCATCTTGTAACACATTGTGTTACATTTTTTAGCTACAATCTCTAAATGCATGGAGGACACCGTAATAGAATCAATTTTAAATCTAATATTTTGATCACCCGTTAAATAAATGATTCCCTTCAATTTTCCCACTTACCTAACAAGTTCTGACAGTACATCGATATCCGTGATGACACCACTCATGGTTGGACTGTAGTAGTCTGGTAGTTTATGCTCCACAAGAACCATCAGTAACCAAAACACAGCTTCCTCATTTTTGGTGACCAGAAGTAGCAGTCCAGCTATGTAGTTCATCCCCTGTTTACCAAGTTTTGGATTAAATCCGGTTAAATGCTCCCAAAGTCCCAACTACTCTAAATGCAAATTTTGTCAGGTGAGTTTAGGTTAGTGCACCCTCAGGGGTAGTCAACTACACGGGAGGCTATATTTTTATTAGATTTGATTTGATTTTGAGGCCTCTTATAGGCTGACAACCCTGAGGTGCCCTAGCCAACCCCCAGATCCCTACTCTTCTTTGTTCTGGGTTCTATGACCAGCCTACTTCTTCTTTTGCTGGCTCTTTTCCCGTGCCGAAGAGGTAAATGTCACCGGGCTCCTCAGCGGTGAATCGTACCGAGCCTCTTGGAGTAGCCAGGCTTACAACTCTAGAAGCTGCACTGCCAACACTTCAGTGGTTAGCTCATCCAGAACAAGACCCATATCTCAAAGAATCCACAAAGACCTGAGGAACACCAGGCCCAACTGTGTCAGGACTAGGGTGGACAAGCGCCCTAGAGGTGCAATAGTCACTCCACTCTCGGCAGGTCAGAGGTTCTACGCGTAGGTCTGATGAGGGTCAAGATGCAAGTATCTCAGCAAACACCTTTAAACTCTGGGAACCAACAATGGCAACTGAGAGTGTTGAGTTTAAACCAGTCCAATGGGACTGCAAAAGGCACATAATTCTGGATTGCTACAAACTTGGTGCTAGGAAAACGGCCCTAATTGGTCAAAAGCAGCCAGGTGATGAACTAGATGCTTACATTGGGCAAAGCTACCGGACTTCGTCAAGGACGCGGGCAATGGCTTGCCTAGTTCCCTGTGTCCGTCCCTCAACAATATAATACAATTAGGTTAGTGCGGTTATTACATTTGATACAGTATTTTGATTAGAATAGGAATTACTCAATTTTATTTGGAATTATGAAAATAAAATGACTACCCTAACCTAATCTGAACCTAGTTTCATTTTTTAGAGGAATTGGGGCACTTACAGGTTTTTACTTTAGTTTTGAACTTAAATCAAGGAAAAGAGATATGCAACACTATCAATTGTATGAATTAATGATCATCTACATGATGAATTTTATACTATTTTGAAATACGTAGGCCTAGTACTACGTAATCTGCACTATATTTATATTTTTAACCAGTTAATCCTATAAAAGAAGACCCCTTGGTAGACCAAAACTGAGATGGTGGGGCCACGTAGAAAAGGACCTAAGAAAACTGGGAAGAAGGAGGGAGGACACAAGGTGCAGAGATGTATGGAGGCAGTGTGTTGGGGAGGCCAAGTACCATTTCCAGTGGCCACAGCAGGAAGTAAGTAAGTTATAGAGGCGGTTCACGAGTATGGGGTTTCGTGGTCCGCGGTTATTGTTGATCTCGACCAATTTTAACCGACGGCCAAAAAATGGGTTCACGACAACCCTATTGGATTGTTTAACTATTGGATAGGGTATAAGTAGGGACACCATTCAAGATTCTTGTCATTCACCTATTGGGTCTGATGATGATTGGAGTGTCCAATCAAAATCGATCACCACTTACCATCTTTTGTATATTTACCGTCCTGTGAGTAACAGTATAAGCGTAAGTATATGTTCTAAGTGTTAGAAGACGTATCTTTATTTACTTTCCGTAAATTTAATAACACGTACAATGCTGATCAAGAAGTTACTATATTATTGTACTTGCGATTAATTAAATCCATATGTAAGAAAAAAGTTTTTAATCTCACTTAGTTGGGATTTGCTTTCAAAACGTGATCAAAAATGGTTGCGGTATTTGTAAACAACATTTGTAAACATATCAGTGACAGCTAGAATAACAAATCTTGATCCGAACAGCTGTTCGTTATTTCATAGATGATTATGTGATAAAAATTGGACGAAAACTTGACAAAAATCGCGCAAAAGTGCATTTTTGAACGTCCGTAATTTTATTTACAAAGTAGTGAGGCCATATTTTAATGGCTAAAGACACTCTTGCCAATCCAGTGAATACGTTAAAATGACTTGGATTTTGATAGGTACTCTCGTTTTCCTAGAGAAGATAGCGTAAAATGCCATCTTGAGTGTTACAGACAGACAGACAGACAGACAGAAATAGAGATAAGACTCGTTTCTGCTTCTTTAATGTATAAAACGTAAAAATAACCTAAAAATATATAATTCTGAACAATGTACAGACAAAACTCTAATTTTATTTATATAGATGTTAAATCACTGTTCCAGTTCCGATAAGGCTTGTTTAACTTAAAGCGATAATTCTGAATCATTTTTACATTTGACAACTGCAGTTGTATCGTCGGCATATAAGATAAAGTTGTTAGGGACATTTTTAGGCAAGTCATTTATTAAGAAAATAAAGAGTAAAGGTCCAAGAATCGAGCCTTGAGGAACACCAACTGTAATCTTTTCCCATTCTGATATTGATTTTTCATTATTTTTATTACAAATATTATTATTTTCAAGAAAACTTGAGATTTGTTTGTATGCTAGTTTTTCAAATACTTTTGAAAATGATGGTAGAAGGGAAACTGGTCGATAATTGTCCGGATTTTGTCAAGAGAGGTTTGAGCTCTGCATATTTTAAATGATTGGGAAAAGTGTTTGTTTGAAAAGATTGATTTATAATTATAGATAAAGGTTCAGCTATGAAATTAGAGACTGTTTTCATCAGATTGATAGGAATACAGTGCCATCCAGCAGATTTTTTTTATTTTTGAGAGATTTTATATAATTAATAACTTCTTCTATACTTACAAAACTGAATTCAAATGAATTAGGTTGGTTTCCTGCTAATGAATACCTTGTCAATTTTAGTGCATCCCCTTCTGGAGGCATTAGGCCAATTTATTTTGTGATATTTATAAATTTGTTATTAAAGAATTCAGAAATTTCCTTGCCACTTTTGAGATGATTGTCATTAACCCTAATATCGGGAAAGTTAATGTCACTTTTTTTACGACAGAGTTCAGATTTAATGATAGACCAAGCAGCCTTACTCTTGTTATCTGAATCTTTTATAAATTTACCCTCTTCATTGCATACCTTGTTGAAAGTTAATTTATACCTTTTAACATAATTAATGAAAATCATTTGATTTCTTTACAAGTCTGCTTAATTCCATTTTTATAATACTAGAAATTGTATTACCTCTTGTTACCAAGGACTTTTTATTATTACAAGGTTTGGTACCATAAAACTTCATAGCAAATGCTTCTTCAAATAGATTTTGAAGAGTTCCAAAAAAATTTAAACATTTATCATCAAAAGAATTATTTACAGAAACATTCCAGAGTGTTTCTTTTACATTGTTAACAAATTTTGTTGTATTTTCTTTTGAAAACAATCTTTTTTTACATCTTTTACCTTTTATTATATTTTTATCAGTTTTACTTAATATAGGAATGCTCTGTGATCAGAGATGCCTAATTCTAAATTCATTGTTACTGATAATGACTGGTGATTAATTTTCTGTGATAAAATATTATCAAAGCAAGATTTTGTGGACTGAGTAATTCTTGTTGGAGAGGAAAAAATTATTTTGAAACCATATTGCTCCAAAATAGAAATGAACTCTAACTTTTGATATGGTTGGCTGCAAGTTTCCAGAATATCAACATTAAAGTCAGCCTCTATATATACATTTTTAGTAGATGTATCTTTAATCAGAAGTTTTAATAAGCCTTTCAACTTTCTAAGAAAATGTTTGAAGTTATCTGAATTTGGAGTTCTGTAAATAGAAACAACAATAATATTTAAAGTAACAATTTCAATACAAGAAATTTCAAAAACAAAATCTTTGTTTAAGACACGCAAATCATTTCTTACTTTATATTCTAAATTGCCCCTTAATAGTATGCAAGAACCACAACAAATTCCTTCGTTCCTGCAATAAAAGTGTCCTAAGGTATAGTTAGGAATACTATTTAAAATTGAAATATTATAATTTTTTTTATATCAGAATATTTCATTACAGTACTTACTGTGTAGATGAGTGGAATTTATAAATCAGATGGCAGTAGGCACCCTAGTTAGTGTTAATAGTTTGCGCTCTTTTCAATACCTCAGTATGTAGCTACACTTTATTTCACTGGGTTTACTCAGACTGTTGAGGGTGCGCTCTACCTCAGCTCGGATTTCTCAATACGAGGTTGCTGAACGCCAATGTCCCTATACCATTGCATTGAACAGCGCCATGAACAGGGCCATGAAGAGCGCTTGCAAACCTTTCGAATCTGGGTGATTACGTTTACTAAAAACTTCACTGGGGGATAACGATGTAAAGTTAATACAAAACTAAAAGTTAAAATAGTTTTTAAACTTTATTAAACTTAAAGTTAATAATAAACTTAAATTTTTTAATAAACTAACTGCAGATTATTGTTTTTAAGAATCTATTGCACTTCCTCCGTTTGTTATTTTTTCTCTAAAAATTATTTGTATGCATTAAAACCTATGATAAAAAACGCATATTTAAACATTTTTACCAACCTTCGAGCCCAACATTTTTTTAAATATCAAAATTTTTAAAAGCTGCAAGCCTACAATAATATTTAACGAAAAATATGACACCCAGATCTTTTAAATCGGTTCACAATTGGGGTTACAAACAGTAAGAACTAAAACCCTGGCATTTGTGCGTGACAGACAGGTAGAGCGCAGCCCTAAGCATGAAAGCAACTTATTGTAAAACCCGATATGACAAATATTAAGAAATTATCAGATGAAAAGGTCTTTAACAACTGTTAAATCATAAACATAATATCATAAACTTATAATTTAAAACATACAAAATTAAATTTGGATACTTAAATAAAATTACCTATATTCTATATAGATTATACAATAAAAATTCTTAGACAAACCTAACAGTGTTTGATGGAACCATTTTTATATTGCAACTGTTCAGCTGAAATAAAAGGGTTCAAAAGTGCTCTAATAAATATAAAACAGTTGTGTAATAAAATTTGATTGCAATTGAAATTTATATGAATATGTTAAGCTATTAGTTATATTTTTATTTAGTAATTAATTAATTAAAATGTCTCAACAGCATTTTTTTAGGATGTTTTGCATGTTTTCGACAATCAGTAGTAAAAAAATGAAAAAAATAAATACTATGTTGAGGGTAATGGAATTGTTCGGAATTTAATAGTGAATTCGAATATAACAATCTTTTTGCTAAAAAAAAAACAAAACAATAAACGAGCAAACGAGATAATTCCGACATTATGACAACTTAACCCTTCCCCCTAGCAGGGTTAAGTTGAAGTCCGAAACCATTGTTATTTATGCCTGAGATTATCCAATTTGCGCTAGACCATGAGTCGTGAACCCGACATTTGGCCCGGGGTTTTCTCTAATTGAACACGTGAAGCCGACTTTTTGCGCTCGGGTTTATCCCTGTCATAATTGGATGAAGTTTAACTGTCTGCCCTCGAGCGCAGGTAACCTCGTACTCGTGAACCCGAGGCTATAACTGGATTTTGCGCTCGAACAAAGGATAACCCGTGACTCGTGAACCATAATCTTATAAAATAAATACTAAATAGGCGACGTCATGCTATGACGTTTAATACAAATCAGTTCTTACTTAGAGTTTCATGATTAGACAATGTGCATATCAACAATATTATCTTAAGAAGATAAATATTAAAAACCCAGAGTACATTCCTTAAGGCAAAGATGACTGTTAAGTGAATCATTTATTTACTTTTTCCCTCTAAATGCTTACACCGTTTTACAATAATATATCAGACATATACCTTGTTGTTAATTTATTTTAGCTGGGTCTCTAACCATAATAAATTATTAAAGGCAATTATCAAGAACAGCTCGGTTCATGTATCTAATCATCAAATTAGTTACCACGAACTATTCTCATAATTGAACCAACAGGCATCCAATAATAATTTGAGAGTTCATGGAGGTGTTTTTTGACGTCAACCGCATCGTCACTAAAACACTGTTGTCAGACTAGCCCTTTCTGAGGATGCCACATTACAGAATGGTCAAAACGTCTGGCAACAGTGTATTAGTGACGAGACAGTTGCGCCAAAAACACCACCATAAACTCTCATGACACCGGTGGTGAAAGCCTACGTAAGAAAATCCAATAATGAATATTTAATCAAATTATGGTTGTACTGTTGGAAAGCATGTTCATTCATATCCAACAATTCAGAGGACCATGAACAATACCCACTTTATGGCTTGTTTGGTAGTGCCAGTTAAACACAGCGCTGTAATATCTAAAAATATCAATTTGTCACGGACAGTACAAATACTGATAAAATGACTCAAAGGGGCTATTAATAGGAAATTTTTACAGATATGCCAATGGGTAAAATTGAACTAAGTTAAGCCAATTGCCTGCAAAATTTGCTGAACACTCCTAGAAGGTTGATTGGGAGTAAAAAGGATACCCTTAGACTAGGGTACCATTAAATTAATCGATCTATTGAATGCCATACAGTACACTCTTGATAATCCGAGCCCTGATTATCCAATGTTGTTATAGGCCTAAATATATATTATTCACGTTATGGGTCGGAAAACAATAATTTCCTTACGTTATTAAGGTTTGTTTCTGTGTAAAGGAAATTTAAGAAAGTAATTGATTTGTTAAGATTAATACTTGAATTACAAGTATAATTTTTATCTATGAATGATCCACAATAACATAGAAAATGAAAATCACACAGTACTAGTATAGACTAACAAGTATGTTTAATCTGTCGTACAAGGTTGGCCACCAACCGTTGACAAGCTGGACGTATCTACAAAACGTAAAAAATAGGAGTGGCAATACCGGGGGTAACATTGCCATTTGACAATCTTTCTCTTTGCCATTACAATTTTTGATGTTGACATGATTGTGTCAAGTGTCAGGTCAAACTCAAGCTAATAATGACATTTTATACTTGTCAAGCTAGAAATATTTACCTTATGGTTTTTTAACATAGCTTTTTGTTGTTGGTTTAGGATAGTTTTCATAATACAGTACAGCATTTAAAGTGCTTCAAGACACCTTAAAAAGTGTTGAGCATGTTTGTGTTATTGTTTCTTTAATGACACTACCTTATTTCAACAAAATGTTTGCATGGAAATTTTATTTGATCATTTTTGTTTAATTTGGTACCGTAACCCTTAACCTCAAAACCAAGCGACCTCCAAGTTATCTGAGGTTCTCCGTAACCAAGGTAGTCTCAGTTAATCGAGAGTGTACTGTATCAGCAAGCTTTTACTAAAGTGAAATAATGAAGTGGAAACCATCTCACCTGACAATACCCAACAGTCTTATTATGATGAGAGTAAGCGACTAAAATTCTATACAGCTGTGAAGGCCGTTCCTCTCTCATATCAACAAAGAATATGTTATCTGGAAAAGTACGAGGCAGGTCCGTCAGTATGGTGTCTACTATGTCTTGTTGTCTTGGACCATCCAGTATTTTCTTGTACAAGTCTCTTCCATGTTCCCTTTTCAAAGCTTCAACGCCACTAACTAACTGCCAAATCTGTGCAAACATAATTTTATTTGTTAACTAACATCCAACCAATCCATCTGCACAAAAAAACTAAACGTATTTGCTGAAATTGTATATGACTTTTGACCCATTTAAAAACATATTTAGTTTAAGATTCCTTCTAATGGACTTTGTAAAATCAGAGATTTACATTTACAAATGCAATCAAGAAAAAAGAAAACCATATTGTCTCCTACAAAAACTCTTAACTGGCTGTAATTACAAAGGTTTTCTTGTGAACCAACTTGAAAAAGATAAAATTTTAGAGGCATTTCGATTTCAATATGTGTTTTAAATTAACTGTTGCTAAATATGTATTCAGATAAAATTAAAAATAGATGCATATTTATTTCCCTCTTTGATTAAAACTTTTACAGATAAGGAAAACTTGCTGACATTTATTGACTTATATACTTCATTTACGTTGTTTGACAAGCGTTCCTAACCTCGGGTCACATCTATAGTATGGGTCGTATAAAAAATGTAAGTGAGGTATCTACATGATTCTATAGAGAATCGACTAGCTAGCTCTAATGTAAAGTATTGTTTCAAAATGTAAATTTTTATATTGTGTTTAAGTAGCCTGTTAAGGTGGTTGAGTGGACCTTGGGTCCAAATCTTCCCAGGTAAAATAGAAATAGAAGTATCAACGTTACCAAGCCGGACACTGTTTATTTAAAGCACGGGTCATACTAGGCTGTCATCTCCCGCAAATTTAAAGAAGCCGCTATTGTCAGCTTAATATGAACAAAAAATTTGCAGCATGTGCCGCAGCCGGTGAGTATTTGTCAGTGGCTGGCGAAGTTGTACATGTTCAACTTTTGGTAGCAAGGCAGCGGCAACTAGAGATCGCGTGATCACTCGCACTCGCTGGTGCCAGCCAGCAGCATAGTCTCCACCTCTAGATGTTATCAAACGGCTACCAAAGTGAGTAGTTTGTTTTATACTTGTTTGGTTTTACTGGTTCTGTTTATCTGGCTATATTAATAATTTGTAGAGTAGAAATGACTGAGCTAAAGTAGTCGGGGAAGCAGGTAGGCTATTGATTATTTTAATTTATTTTAATTTATTTTAATTTAATTTTTTTTTAATTTAATTTATTATTTTTTTTTATTTTAATTTATGATGATATGTTTAAGATGATGTGTTGTTCTTTTTACAAAAACATTAAAGATAACTTCATGGTAATTTTTCCAAAATACAATGAAATTAATTGAATTACAGTACTTACGTAATTTCCTTATGGTGTCAATTAAAGTATTATAATATCACAATACTACATTTCACACCATAAGGCAATTACGTAAGTAAAAAAGCGTCAAAACTACTAGAAACGTGTTCTGCGCATGCGCGGGCCCAAGAGACAAGAGACATGTCTGTCCAAACACCGACCGGTTGGTAGTGATCGGCCAAGTGCCAGCTTAGATGTCACGAGCTGTACAAGTTTACGAAGACCCACCTACAGAAGACATGGCGACTAGAAATTAGTTTGAACTGAGGATTCATTACTTATACCGACCTTTTAAAAATATGTGATTAAACACCGCTAATTATAATTTTTTTATTAGATTTATACTATGACTCAAAGTCTACAATATACACCTCCAATCATTAAATGTTATCGAAATTATGAATGGAGGGGGGGGATAAATGAAACTCATTTAGTTCTAGGCAATTGCCCCCTATGAGTATTAGGGTTAGTCTATGGTATTAGTCCTAGAGCCATCCCTGGCACAGACTACTCACTAGTAATTATAAAAAAAAAAAACAGTAATTAATTTTTACGACCTAATGAACTACATATTGGTAAAAGTATAAAAACTGTACAAGTAATTCACATACAGAGTAGTCAAACCACAATTACCGAATTTCAGCCACATGTGCGTGCCTGAATGAGGTATAGTCAACTAGCATAAAACTGAAGACTGCTGTCAAAAGAATTAGGCCTACCTCCGTCCTCCATGTGTTAGTTAAACCTAAGTAAAAGATAATTCTATGTTTAACATAATACATAACATTACCTCACTTCTATGTTCATTTGGAATTCCTTTCCTTATGTAACGTTTTAGAGTTTTACTCCGAGGAAGTGATTTGCCGCTTTTCAATAAACTGGACCACTTTTTGGCCCTTGTTGCCAAAACTTTCAAATATTTTGACATAAAACCTTCATAAACATCGTAATTGAAATCATCAGGCCGTGAGAATCCATACTCGTCTACTTTACTGAAACAAATTAAAAAATAAAGTAAGATTTTTAGGCTCTTTAAGTGAGGTAAAAAAGTTGAACTATTGATCTGTGGAATGCAGCTCTAGCCAATGAAAGGTGTCTTCGCCGCCATCATCACAGTTATTTTAAAAATGTGCACCTACCAAGCCCCAATCACCTGCCAGTCAACCTTTAGGGCATCTATAATTTAATGTAAAATGTGATTTGCTTTCAGGGCTGTCCGAAGGGGGGGGCAACCGGGGCAAGCTGCCCCGGGCGCCGCGGCCGGGGGGGCGCCGCGACTAAGGGGGCGCCGCGCAGCGGCTACTGGTATCAACGTACGGGTCCCGAAATTTCGGAAAATTTTCAGGAAAAAAATATTCTCGATTTTTGGGACGAGATTTAATTTGATTCTGGAATTTTTCGGGACGGGATTTGATCCGATCATCGGCAATTTTGACGCTTCGCGAGTGAAAATGACGCTGCTATCGCGAGAGGTGTTCACGGTAATTCCACGAACGCAGGAGCCGAAGTCATTTCGACGATCGCACCGTGACCGCAAGTCATTTGGACGATCGCGCCGTGGCCGCGAGTCATACCGATGATAACGCCGTGACCGCGAGTCAAACCGACGATCACGCTGTGACCGCGAGTCATACCGACGATTCTGCCGTGACCGCGAGTAATACCGACGATTTCACCGTGACCGGGAGTCATACCGACGATTCCGCCATGACCGCGAGTCATACCGACGATTCCGCTGTGACCGCGAGTCATACCGATGATAACGCCGTGACCGCGAGTCAAACCGACGATCACGCTGTGACCGCGAGTCATACCGACGATTCCGTTGTGACCGCGAGTCATACCGACGATTCCGCTGTGACCGCGAGTCATACCGACGATTCCGCTGTGACCGCGAGTCATACCGACGATTCCGCTGTGACCGCGAGTCATACCGATGATAACGCCGTGACCGCGAGTCAAACCGACGATCACGCTGTGACCGCGAGTCATACCGACGATTCCGTTGTGACCGCGAGTCATACCGACGATTCCGCTGTGACCGCGAGTCATACCGACGATTCCGCTGTGACCGCGAGTCATACCGATGATAACGCCGTGACCGCGAGTCAAACCGACGATCACGCTGTGACCGCGAGTCATACCGACGATAACGCCGTGACTGCGAGTCATACCGACGATCACGCCGTGACCGCGAGTCATACCGATGATAACGCCGTGACCGCGAGTCATACCGACGATCACGCTGTGATCGCGAGACATTTCGACCGCGAGTCACAAGTTTCTATGCCTGTAAATTTTTGCCATAAATGGTAAAATTGATTTTGTGTGTCTTTTTTGGTAACTGCAATACTCAAGACTTTCTTTTTATGCACAGGAAAAATCCCATCCCGTCCCATCCCGAATTAAAAATTCAATCCCGTCTATCCCTTATTAACATAGTTTTAAAATGTGTGAATGCGACTATTACTGGGGGGGGGGCGCCACGACCACATTTGTCCCGGGCGCCGCTAACCCTAGGGACGGCCCTGTTTGCTTTAACGTAGTGACGAATGGCAGCATACACAGCAAAAAGCTCACGGTAATAGGCTGGCCAAAGGGGTTGTTTGGATGTCAGTTTCTGTGAACCTGTGAGAGGGGTTCCCAGGTTTTATTGTCGACCACCTGCTGGAGGGCAATTCCTACATGGATACTCGAGGGGTGAGGCATGAAAGAACAGTACAAGAGGGAGGTTGATAGTGGCTACTCAAAAAATAAACAATTAATTAATATTTACAAAACATATGATTTACAGTACGGTCCACAAGAGTCTGCAGTTGGGGGAGGAGTCTATTTGCCACGTGACTTCGAAGGAGTCGATGAGGACAGTGCAGTGTTGCCAAATCTAATAATACCAGCTGATTTAAAAATATTGTTTAGTATATTTTAATTAGTGTCGACAAGTAGTGAACGGATGATGTTGCAACGTCACACTAGTCCAGTCTTGGTATTGGCTGCTGCCAACTGCAGACTCTTGTGGCCCCTAGTATAAATAAGTTGTCTCTGCAGGAGGACCACAACTGCTTCTATGATAGAGTTTCTATAATTTTCTTACTTTGAGGTAGTTCAAGTTAAGACTTCTGGCTTTTCAAATCTAAAAAAAAACCTTGTATAATCAAAATAAGTTTGGTTTAAAATTAGATTGGATTTGGATACCACCAAGGTGTCAACATATAAAAAGTGATGACACAGAAATGAAGCTATTTAGAGAATTCAAATAGCCCATCAACTATGTAGGTAAACTTGGTTGGAGATTTAAACAAAATCGTAGAGCAGATCAACAATTGGAACTGTACATGATTGGAAAAAAACTATAAAAATTGAAAGTTAATGTTTGTAAACATAGGCCTAACCTAAACTGATTGTGGTCGACAAGAAAATGACTTGCGTTGCGTATATAAGTTATAGCTATTTTTATCCTTACAATTTTATTAACCTACCTAAATGAAGAAGTAGCCATCACTGCACTAACATTACAAAATCCAAATTAGGACTGCCTCGGTAGTGATTGTTGAAACTAAAGGTAGGCTTGAGAAGAGAGATTTGACAACTGACAACGAAACGACTCGACTGCTGACTGCTGTGTCTGTGTGTGCTGAGAGTGGACAACAAAATAACAGCACTAGCAGTGTTTCCAACCACAAAAAAAATACCCCTGGGCCAATGCCACCATTCACCAATGGCCACCTTTAACTACGCCAACGTCAAAAAAAATCCCTAGTTATCCCTAGTCCGTGTTTTAATGATCCCTCCAAATATCCATCTTCATCAAATCTGGACAGCTTATTATTTTTGCAGCCATACCATTGGATATCATGAATAGCCACTGAAATATGGTAACTGGTGATATTATTCTTCAATATCCCATATATTTGGAAAGTAATCTATATTAATAAAAGAGGAAGATTGTATACATATTTAAACGTTATTGACTCCAAAACCACTCGACAGATTACAATGAAACTTTTAGAAATTATTAAGCTTTCTTCAAGGATGGTTTGTGTGAAGTTTGGTGCAGATCCTTCAAAAGGTGCACTGAAGTTTCCCATGTTTTTTGGCAAATTTATTTATTTATTATTTCATCCTATACTATTGACGTATGGTCAAAAAACACTTTTTACCTTCCCCGTAGCAGCAAACCTAAGCACTCGTTAAATCTAATGTTATTTAAATTGGGAATAAATATGTCTTATTAATAGAAATATTTTAGTAATAATGTAATCAGACGAGTTGAAATTCGCTTAGTCTGCAGGTTTGCTGCGGCGGGGGTATGTTAACCTTATGATGAGTACTCTTATTTAAATGGAAATAAAGCATCTTAACAGCTGTTTCAACTAAACAATTTGATTCTGTGATGTTCAATAGCATTAAAAAGTTAAAAGGTTTACCGACAGGGTGCAGCACTATTCATTGTTTAAATTGATGACAACAGTTGAACCATAGACTAACCAACACAAGTAGACTTCTCATCCCATTGTAAATTTTGAAGCACGTTTTTCGTTAATTTAGGGTTAATTTCTTGATTTGTGCTTTACTGTTTGGTTATATAACTAGGGGACAAGTTATTGTTTATGATTAGATCGTATTATTTGGTTAAACGAGGTCTTAAATGGCTGTAATAACGGGAAACAAATTGTAAACAAAACACGACCTCTACAGAAAAACGGACAGAACTAACAATAAAATTGGCTTCAGCTGTTCCATAAGGATGGGAAATCTACTAAGGGAGTATGTTTTATCTATGGTTGAACCAAGCAGCAACAAAAAGCTGTACTGTAATACAATACCCCCCCGCTGCAGCAAACCTGCCGACTAAGCGAATTTCCATTTGTCTGAATTGATTTTCAGTTAAATATATTTTAATAACATTAGGTTTAACGAGTACCTAGGTTTGCTGCTACAAGGAAACTAATAAAGTGTGTTTTTGAGTAAAATATTGATAGCTTAGTACAAAATAAATAAATTTGCCAAGTTTGATCAAAATATATTCATAAACAAGCAAACTACAACATTCGATAATATTCTCCATAAGAATAACATGGGAATTTTAAATTTACAATTTTCTTAATGTTCTCCGTTACTAATAATCGAACAAAAATACTTTTATATACTAAATTTTTTTTTTTAGGCTCTTAAAAAAGGTCTAAAGAGAAATTGGGAAATTTTGTGTTTTGAGGGTCAAAAGTGAGAAAAACCAATTTTTACCCCATAAAACCCCCCGTAAAGCCCCGTTCCCATGGTCCGATCGTGCTGGTTCGCGAACTCATTCAAGTTTATCCCGCTTTACACCTTTAAACCAAATTTCATCAAAATCAGACAAAAATTACTCAAGTTATCGCGTTCACGGACGTATATATATATATATATATATATATATATATATATATATATATATATATACATATATAAAAATTTGAACGAATAGTGTTTTTGGCCTCTGGGGACATCAAAATGAAAAAGTAAATCGGTCCCGGGTCTAGGTCTTACCGTGCCACCTACGGTAATAGCTACTTCCCTATAGGGAAATTCGCTAAAATGAGAATTATCAAAGTAGGATTTTTCAGAGTCATGTTTATGTTTTTAATTTATTAAATAATTTTTGATATTGTGGGAATAAGTTGTTTTATTTTTTAAATGCATAGGTCAATGACTTATCGAATTTCTGTTTTTTTCCTATTTGTTAACAAAAATCTATTGTGTTTGTATGGTTTATTTCCCCGAAAATAATGTTTGGAAAACGGAGTAGCCAGTTAATACTTTTTTGTAAATCACTGAAAGTTTATCTTTATACAGCAAATATATGGAACATAATTATTCTTTTTAGCGTACTCTTCCCGTTGCGAAGCACGGGTATGACAAAAACCTGGCTACAACTTCAACATGGGGATGGAATGTCTAGTTGTTTTATTAATAGTCAAAGGTACTATCATTGACTATTGGATACACAAAGGTACTATATAAAAACATATTTGCACAATTAAAACCACGGCCACCTTTAACTCCTGGCAGGCCGCGGCCCGGTAGAATTGGCAACATTGCAAGTAATGTTGTTTAGCGCCAGACGTCCCATAAGATAACATGGCAGACAGGTGACATCAGCTCATTAATTCGCACTTTATTGATTTAAATTTATATTTATGACGAACATAAATTTATTAAAATATTGAAAATAGTACGTACAAAATTGAAAACCGAAACAATATGAATTAAAAATCTATATCTGTACATTTTAAGTGGAGTCAATATTGTCATAGTCCATTAACCAATCTTTCGTAAATTCACAAATACCATTAGCTGCTTCCAAATAAAACAGCTGTTACAACACCACTTGTGACGATGCCATTTCGAAGGCCGCGGCCTTGAGTTAAAGGCGGCCGTGAGTGAGCCCACTCGAACGATATATGGACTGCTTTTCGGACCATCATTTCCAGAAGAACGGCTGAACGTTTGGTACCACGTACTGTTATAACGAGTTTTGAGTTTTAGTTTAAAATATTCACATTCTTTGAAATTAATTGACTAATCAATAAAAGTTATCCCTACATAATTATAATCTATTGTCTGTTTGAAATTGTATGAAATTTTATAAATCATTTTGAAGCTTTATGGTGAGGGTTAATGGCATTAATGCCCTCTGATGACTCCGCTCAATTTTTTGGACGCGTCTGCGAACGCCTCCTAGGTTAATATGATGCCAAACAAAAGGGGACCTAACACCGATTCTTGGGGTACACCATGCTATGGTCGATACTTATTTTGACTCTTGAAGAGACCCCATTGAAGAGGAGATACTAGTGACCGCGTGCATGTAAATATTTTGTAAATATATAGACTACAGTGTTAATAGGCAAAGTCAAATCATAATAAGAAGATAACTTGAGAAGACCCCCTGAAGACGCCACGCAAATTCGCGAAATGCTTATAGGATGACACACAAACATTTTATAATCAAGGACACAGGTAACAACAAAAAGAGGTAATCCAATATAATTCATGTTCTAGTTATTTTACATGCCAACGATCAATAACCAGGTAGATTACAATAAATATACAAAGAATTCGTATTCTATTTTAATAATTAGTATGAAATATAAATTTTTCCTCGAGATGACATGCAATAAGAAATAAATAAAATTGAACAGCGACAAAATAAGTGATCAAAGAGCTTGCCTAATAACAAAATTAGTAACGACTTCACTTCGTTTGTTCTCGGATAAACACGACCACCCTCCCATCATCGTGCAATTCACCTCGAGAACAGCGAAGGACGCCTGGCTGTCAGCGGCGAGGAACAAGAAGACCATCGAGACCAGGGAGATCGCCGCAAACCTTCGTCCAGGGAAGGTGTACGTCAACGAGCATCTGACACCTCTCAACAAAACCATCCTGGGGCGGGCCAGACGACTGAAAAAGGCAGGGAAGCTGCACTACGCGGGATTCGTCAATGGCAAGATCCTCGTCAAGCTGTCCGAGGAAGCAGCCGCCATCCGGATCCAGCAGAAGGCAGACTTGGATAAATACGATGATGTTAACAGTAATTAGGTAAAACTACAATTTTTTTCATAATTTATTTTAGGCATGCATAAAATATACTACAAATCTACTACAAAATAAAAATTTATAATATTTTAATTTTATGATAAACTTATATGTTGTATTCAGTTATGTTTCTTTCTATGGTTAAAGCTAAAGTAGTTTCATTTTTATCAAAATATTTATTGATCTCAGTTCAGTTAGCTTTGCTCTTTGAATTTAAATTTAGAATCACTATTTTAATGTTTCATTTAATCAAGGTCGTTGTTAATGTTATGTTTATGTCTTTCACATTTTTTTTTTTTTTTAAGCATGATTTTGCAACATAAATATGTTTCATTATTCATTAACTTTTATTTATTATTTGCAAGTGTTGACTTATTTTTTTTTACCAGCCTTTATCACTACTATTGAGAGAAAAACTAATTATCTAGTACTCTAAAGATCATGTGTTGAACAATTGCATGGAGTTTAATAAGTGAAATATTTCATTAAATTATTTGTTACCTCAGTTCAATCTTTGTAATAGCATGTTTCTTTGCATGTAAAATTAGTAGAATTATTCATTCAGTATTTAATTGAGATGCAAGGGATGCAAGTAAAGTCCATTAGTTATTTTATAATATTTATTACACCAAAATACCATTAATTTAATTTAAGCTATTCAATAACAATTTTATTTATTTAGTTCCAAAAGAAATTTATGTATTTAAGTGTTCTGAGGTAAAGCAATCCTAATAGTAAACTTTTCGTGTATTAACTCATATTATATCTAATTCAAGTAATTTTCGATGATTAGATTTGTATGGTTTGATTAATAATTGCATAATTTCATTTTATGTATGTAAATATTAATTTATTATTTAAGTGATCAGGATAGGCACGGGCAGGGGGGCCTATGCGGGACGATGATTGGCAACATAGATGAAAATACACCTTTTGAATACGATTCTTGCTTGGAGCTGGATAATGTTTTTGAAAGCGAAATTTTTTTTAATGAACCCCCAATAAATAGTAGTCTTAAAATATTTCACACGAACATCAGAAGTTTCTCAAAAAATTTTGACAATTTATCAGTGTATTTACAGTCTTTGAATGCTAATCTAGATATCATCGTCTTATCAGAGTGTTGGTTGAGCGGGGGGGAGGTGGGTCACATGGACGGGTTTGACTGTACAATGACGGATACACAAAACAACAAAAATGACGGAGTCATTGTTTTCATCAACAAACAACTGTCTGCTACCGTAACACAAGTAAACATCAACAGAGTTTTTGGTATTTCTTTGGAATTCAGTCTTTTTAATAAAACATTCAATCTGTTAGCTGTTTATAGGACTTTTGATTGTGAAATTGATCATTTTATATCTGGTTTGGAATGCTATTATAATCGCATAAGTAAAGATACTAACTGTATCTTTTTGGGTGATATGAACATCGACTTACACAAAACTGATGCAATAACGGATCTTTACTTAAACACTTTACTAGGCGCTGGACTAGTCCAGTGCATCGACAAGCCGACCAGAGTGACACACAACACATCTACTTGTATTGACCACATTTTTGTCCGTTTCCAAGATATGAGACGAGTCAAATCTGCTGTCATACACTCTCATATCACTGACCATTACAGCACTGCTCTTACAATCACTAACACCATTCAGACACCTACAGGAACTGAAACTCAGTCACAGAACCAATTTCGCACCTACATTGATCACGCTTCATTAACTGAACATATTACAAAAACAGACTGGAGTCCAATCATGAGCAATCACGAGGTTAATCAGTGCACAGCATGTTTTTGTTCGACACTGAGTAACTGCATCAAAGCCTCAACTAAAACAATCAAACATCACTCTACAAGATTTAAAAAAATAAAGCCTTGGATTACCGTAGATCTCATAAAATTAATTCGAAAACGAGACAAGCTAAGTAAAAAGATCAAAACCCAACCGTTTAATTTATTACTACTAGATAGATTCAGGGCCCTGCGCCTATCTTTAAATCAAAACATAAAAATTGCAAAGAAAAATTATTATAGGGGTAAAATTTCAGAATCTAACAGGGATCCAAAATTATTTTGGGGCATAGTTAGTGAAATATCAGGCAGGAATTGCACTAAGGACCATTTCCCATTTGAAAAAGTTTTACCTGGTTCTTCGAATAATGCGAACATTAAGATTAAAATAGCAAACGATTTCAATAACTTTTTTACATCAGTAGGTTCTAAATTGGCCAACTCAATAAATTCAGCTGGGGCTCCAGTCGTAAACGACGCTGACTTCTCACTTGACACGAATTTTACATTCAACACGGTCACACACGCTGACATAGAACGTTACGTCCAGGGTCTGCGCGGAGGGTCTGCGCCGGGCCATGATGGTATCTCGGCCTTTGTTCTTAAAGAAAACATCCACTCTCTATGTGCTCCTCTTCTGCACATTGTCAATATTAGCCTGACATCTGGTATATTCCCAAACGAGCTGAAATTGGCCAAGATCATTCCATTGCACAAATCTAATGATTTCACAGACATGAATAACTATCGTCCGATTTCTTTGTTAAGTGTAATTGCTAAGCTTTTAGAGAAAATTGCCAAAGACCAACTTGTTTTTTACCTCCACCAGTGCAATATTTTAAGTGAAAATCAGTATGGTTTCAGGAGTGACAAAAACATATCTGATGCTTTATTTGATATTAATAAATACATTAACGAGGCAATTTATGGCAACAAACGAAGCATGTTAATTTTCTTAGACTTGAAAAAAGCTTTTGACTCAGTGGACAGAAGTAGATTGTTGCGTAAACTTGAGCTTGTCGGGGTGCGTGGCACCTCGCTCGCTTGGTTCAGCAGCTACCTCTCTGATAGGCTGCAAACTGTCGCACTTGGTGAAGTGGCAAGCGATGTATTGCCAGTGGAGTATGGTGTAGTCCAGGGTTCGACCCTTGGTCCTGTTTTATTCCTCATTTATATTAATAATATTTCTAAAATTCAAACAGAAGGAAAATTAACATTATTTGCTGATGATACTCTAATATTTGTAACCGGAGCATCCTGGGAGGAGGTTAAAAACAAGGCAGAATCAGACCTCTGTTTACTAAAAAAATGGCTTGATCAAAATGTATTGTCCCTTAATATATCTAAAACAAAATTTATGCCAATTTCATTACGCAAGATAACCGAATACAAACTTGATAACCTAACTATTCATGTCTGTGGAAATCATTTCAATAACTCTTGTTTTTGTAGCAAAATTGAAAAAGTTGATTCATACAAATATCTTGGTATTGTTTTTGATTCAAAGATGAAATGGTCGGAACATGTTGAATACCTAAAAAATAAATTACGTAAATATATTTATGCATTTAGGCAACTTAGTGATATTCTCGAAGAGCAAGAAATTAAAATAGCATACTATGCATATGTTCAATCATTGTTGTCTTTTGGAATTATTGCTTTTGGTGGTGCTTACAAAACTATCTTGCAACCTGTTTTTGTAGTGCAGAAAACAATACTTAAAGTTGCTTTTAAAAAACACTTTAGATATTCAACTGACGATCTTTTTGTAGAATCGGGAGTTTTGACAGTCAGGCAGTTATTTTTAAAATTTATTTTAGTTCACATGTACAAAAACTTTGATAATATTTTTGTAAAAATTACTCATCCCCACAATACGCGCTTTTCTCGAAATGTTGGTGTAAGTGTTCCACAAACTTTCAAATCATTTTCAAATACGAATTGCTTTCACTTAACCCAAATCATTTATCGTAACATGTGTAACAGATATCAAAATGTCAACATTCTAAATTCACCCTCTCTCTCTCTATTTAAGAAGCATGTTGTGGGGTGGCTTGTTGGTCTGAGTACAGAGGATACCGAGGCCGTTATCGCGTTGGGCGGACCTGACCGTTGACCCTACACAATCACTGATACACCACTTTCACTGACTGACTAATACACTACACCCCACCTCTCCTCTTCAATCTTCACCAGATATTATAAATTACCTCTGTTTGCACAAAGAGTTTTTTTTTTTTTTTTACCGTCAATTTATTCCAGAACACTAAAAATTCAGCTTCAAGCAAGACAAATAAAAAAAAAGGTTTAAATTATACGATTTTTTTTCTGCTATATATTTTTTACTTCCCATTTAAATTAATCTTTTCGCAACTCAGTCTACGCACAGGCCCTGCCTATGTAGACTTTTTCCTTTCTTATAGAATGTATTTTTTTTTTTAACACTTTTATTTACTTATTTCTACAGTATATAATTTTTGTTTTGTTAGCTAGTTAGTAATATTTTGCTGTTTCATATTTAAGCAAAGAAAAAAAATACAATGTACTTGTCTGTAAATAATTAATGGGAAATAAAATATTATTTCATTTCATTTCATTTCATTTCATTTCATTTCATTTCATTTCAACGATAATGAGCTCACTCACAGCCTCACAGCCATCTTTAACTCTACAATCACAATCTGGTACAATGCGTAGTTTTTGAGGTGGGATAGCAAAAATATATAGTTACCATTGTTTATATAGTATATATTAAATTTGACCAGCCTTCTCACTGATGCAACAGCTGCTATGATAAATATGTTGGTTAACCTGATTGATTTTATGAATTTGCGCTCTCTTTCATAACACAAGGGACAATGGCGGATAGCGCAGAACAGTTCAACAAAATTTTATCATCTTTATTGTCCGCTGACAACAATGTTAGGACACAAGCAGAGGTAAGTCAAAATTTAAACACAACCTGTTGTACGTATCGACATAATTAGCATAATGATTCTTTAAGTATTTTGCTGTTAACACGGCTCTTCCCATTGCCACATCAACCTCGTGTTGTCAGTCATGATACCCGGGATGGAGGGAAAATTTCTGTAGTATTTAATTTATATAAATATTTTATTAAAGCATATTCTGGTTTTCAATCGTACCAAATTATTAACTCTCATCTTTGGTAATGACAACGGCAGTCAACAAAATTATATAATAATTCACGGGCCTGAGTTTTATGATTGTAAACTTAGCCTTCTAAGCTAGGCTCTTATTAACTTAGGGCTAGGTCTTTTTCTGAAGCTCAACATCCTTCCATTACCCTCACACCCTTAAAATCAGTTCATCAGTTTTGTATGTTTATTAAATCATGCTTAACTTTTGTTCTTATTTCTACCTAGAACTCATTCAAAGTCACATTGTCCCTTGGAATCAAGGTTTTGGTTCATTCCAGAACTGAAACTTGATTGGATCTAAATTAATCTTGAGCCATTGTTGAGACTAACTTGAATTTTGCTAATAAAGATGCAAAACAACTTGACCTCTTTGCCTAACAGATTTACAGAGCAGACAATCTTTGAAAGATGTTGCTTCAAAACATATTTTTTAAGGCTGTGCTCACCCTATTGGGAAAACTAAGTATAAGTTAAATAAATCACAATCCAAGTAAGATATAACTTAAGACACACTGTTAATTCGGCAGAGGTCGCACTGATTTGAAAACGTGACGAGTCGCAAACAGTCTTTTTGACCAGGTTTAATAAACCGGCCATAACTTATTGCAGTGAGAATGATTTTTTTATCCATAAGTTAGCTAAAATTATAAAAATATGATACAATTTGTTTCACTCAACTAAAATTCCTTTTAAGTCTACAGCTTCATCTTCATCATTTAAATAGTTGTCTTGGAAAATAGCCTAATAGCCTCACTACACATCCTCCTCTCTCTCTCTCTCTCTACACTCAACAATAAATGGTTTATATTACCTGTCCGTCAGTGATCCTATTGTGGTGACTACTGACAGACAGGTATAAACCATTTTATTCAATAAGTGATCCTGGGCCACTAAGCATAATTAAGCTCAACAATAGTCTAGCAATTATTCTTCGTCGCTCATCCGAATCCATGTCTAGCACGAGTGATCTCATCACCGCCAGCGCTTTCCAATAGCGTGCCGTTTACAAACCATTGTTCGATTGGGAGGTTAGCCACTGCCGAGAGACGTTTCGCTTGCCTCTTATTGTGCCATTGTAGTTTATTTTCAGATATGACAATTTTATTGGTAGGGACTGTTACAAATTTATTGTACCTAGTGTGGGGTTTAGGCTTGGATTTAATTACCTGAAATAGAATAACAATAATAAGTGTGGCATTGTGGAAGGAACCTAACCTCAAAATTATTGAGCTTGGCCCCTTTTTTGTGGTAGGCCTATCTTTGTTTTTGGTGTATCCGGGTACTTCGCACTTTTGTTTATTTAGAAATTAAATTAAACTAGATTAAAATTTGTGTCAGCATTCGCGGCCCCTGCTTTTTCTCTCATTTCGGCTAAACTGAGGGCCTGCTAGCAGTTTTCTTCAGTGCTGCTATCTATTGGGTTCTTATAAAACTACGGCCTCAAAGACTGGGACGCAGTAACGTACATGCTATACCTCTCCTATTGGATGAAAAAAAGACTGAAAGTGATGGGGTGGGGGATGGCGGAAAGTAGTTCACGGTGTTCCTGGAATGAGGCACAGTTAAACGGCTTGCACTGCCGACACATATTAAATACATTTTTAGGTTAAGAAGTTCCAACGCAGTCATTTTGAAAGCTTTGCGACCTCTCCCGGGTTAAGGAAGTGCTCACACCAACTCAGGGTTACTTAGTTAGACTAATAAAAAAACAATGCACAAGTTAGTTTCTTCACTGGCCCGTTCTTGTGTACCGGTAACTTAACTTGTGTAGGCCTAATTGAAAATCATCACTAACTTATAAAAAAAAACCCCAACATCTCTCTTAATAGGCTAAGTTAAAAAAAAAAAAAAAACACCTAACACATTCAATCCTAATTCATAATGTTAAAATCTTTGTTTTGATGAAAATGTGACTAACTTAACTTAAACCTAGGTCCTATAGTTTTCAGTAGGTTCATTTTTATTAATTTAATATAGTTTGGTAGGACGCATCAAGAATTAATTGTCATGACAGAAAATCTGGATGTGTAGAACATAACAAAAAAATGTGTTCCTTGAGAAAAAATTATTTTAACCAATGGCCAAGGTGTGTGGTGCTTTACTGAATTGTTTTGTTAATTTTTTTTTATTTGACCCAGTGACAATTTCACCTTACAAGAGTATCTGCGGCCCTAAGAACAAAAATTCTTCCATACAAACGTACTTAATTTATGAGTAATTTAACTTACATTAAGGTATTTACAAAATACTTATAGGTAGCCAACCCTCAAGATCATAATGCATGTGAAAAAAAATTGAGTAGGCCTATTAGAATTTAGAACAAAACTATAAAATGAACTTAGGCATTTATGGTTTTGTAGGATTTGTTTTATTTTATGTAGGCCCTCCACCAGAGTACTGCTTTTCCAAAATAATTGGGCCCAGGCCCTATTTGTGTTACCAAATTGTTCATGCTACAGAAAGTCAAATTGCATTAAAAAATTATCAATATTATTTCTGTGACTCTGTGGCTGTAATTGCTTCCACCATCACAACAACAACACTTTGCGGCGATCACCGTGACCATATCCTGCGATTACGTTCGTACGACAACTTTAAAAGAGAAACCAATCAAATATTATCGATGAAGAATACGCGCTCGGCCAAAAGCTATTGACAATTATTAAAAATATCCACACAATATATGATTCCTCACATACGATTCCTAGATATCATGATTGGCTGGCCATTCAGTTATTATCTCAGAACACATAAATTTGTTTTCTTATTTAAAATTAATCCTAACCTTTTTTTATACAAGTTCAGATTATTGATGTCTACATTTAACGAGACTGACATAATAGGCTCTACACTTCATAATCAACAAACAATTTTAAGCTTGAAATTTAGCAATAAAATGCAATGAGTTATGAAATGATACTCAAAAGTTTCCTACATTGAAGATTATTACAACTTATCAAGGCCTCAGGTCTAACCTTACAACGGACTTTGGTGTTTACAACGGTGGTTACAACGGAAAAAAGTGTTTATGAGAAAACTTTTTTTTAAATCATTGCTTTAAATTTATTTACTTTGCAATTTACCCATTGATATACGTAGGCCTACGTATAAAAAACAGGACTGTACTTAAATTATTGATCCTTACTACCAATTTACCTTATACAGGGTGGGGCAATGAGAACGCCACAATTTGTTTTAGCTGTCACATATTAATTGTTGCAACAACGAATGATCAGCTGTGCTTAAAACATCAATTAAACTATGCCATTTTAGTAAATATTATGCCCGAGGCTATTAACACTGAGATTTTGATGTGCAAACCTATTTTTTAAATAGTGGTTCTTGCGCCAAAACCCAGAGATTGTTTGGACCACATTCCATCCTTGGTCAACATGGCACTGTTCAGGATTGGGAAACAATGGTGAACTGGGTAAAATTATTTAGGATAAACGCTTAAACCTTAAAAATAATTGGTGGGTGCCGGAAAAACTCCTTGTAAACCAGTAAATTTGCAAAGAGTGCGAGTCGCAGTAACTCAAAGTCCAAAGAGATTTGCCAGGAAACTGTTGTTGTTGAAAGCTTTACGTTGGCTCCTTTTTTTGGAAGGGAAGGGGTTTCTAATAAGCTACTTGAAGTTCGAGGTTTTTCAAAGTCACCTTCACAGATTTGCTTGAACCGAAGCTAAGAATTGTCCAAAAACTAAAGTGATATCTGAAGAAATGCTGGAGGAGTATTTGATGGAGTTTTCAAGTGCCTAATGTCAAGTACGACTAGGACGTCACTCGCAGGATTTCGTTCTCAAGAAATGAAAAAATGACATTGTTAATGGCAAAAGATAATCTGTGTTTTGATGTGCTATTTATATCTATAGGGTGAAAATTATTGAGTTTGTACTGCTTATAAATTGGGGCGCTTTCATTGCCCCACCCTGTATATATTTGTACATTAACAGTTAACTTCTTCTATTTAAGCCTAGGGCCTACTCTATTTTAGAAAAGACAAACATTACCTACTAAATCAAATATTGTTTGTGATAGAAACATACAACTGAATGTTTTAATTGTTCCAATTCCGATAAAACTGCTTCCCTTGTTAATCTTATTGGCAAAAATATATAGTTTTAATTTTGCAATTACTTTTATTTGTGAACTGAGCTTTTCCTCTAATGTCTGAGTTATTGTATGAGAGTAATATATTTGACAAAATAGTTTAACCCTCCGAGTGTTATTTGTCGCTGCAGCGACACATAACACACTTTGTGTAGTGTTTTGTGTCGCTGCAGCGACTCACAAACACTGTTTACGGCAAAGGCTCTATGACTGACAAAATCGGATTGAACTGGATCGAGTTAGGTATCGTTTTATTTGACAGATTCAGAGCTTTCTCCGGAGGTCTGTCTCTAAGCGCTATTCATTTTAGTTCCGAAAATATTGTAGCAGACAGCTGACGTACGTATTTGTAAACAGCTTGGTTAGACTCAGACCGATGACTGATGTGTTTTATTACGTTTATCATTGTTTTAGTATTAAAAATCAAAAGTAGTGATATACGTGGTGCATTATAAGAAGATTTAAGTGATTTTGAAGGGCTGGTTGATGATCCTGAAGAAGTAGGTAGTGATATTGATGTAAATTATCAGCCAGATTCCTAGCTATGGTTAGGCTATGCATTCTTAGCTAAACGCTATGTACTGAAATCTGTTTTTTGCGCATAACTTATTTTTATTTATTTGCAAATCTACTTCCTTATATTATTATATATTTGTAATCCTCATAAAATTTAGAACAAAGTGGCTATTTTCAAATATATATAGGCCTATAATTTATACAATTTCATTGAGCGCAAACTTATTTTGTTTTGAAAATTTTCCAAAATATTTTTTTTTCCCTAAAAAATTTTTTTGAAACAAATTTCCTTATGTTCTATGTATAATATTGAAGCCCATGATTTTCCAAACAAAATGGTATATAGAACAGTATAATTAACATTGTTTTCAAGCTTCTCAGATCCGTTTTTTTGCAAATGAGCAAAAAATAGGCAGACATTAAGGCCAAAACAAGGGACACTCGGAGGGTTAAATAGAAGCAGGCGATTCGATGAAATACATGAATAATATTGTCCAAAAAAGGCCTTAAATAAAAAAAAAAGTACCATTGTATTTATAGCAGTTCATTTTTCCAATGGCTATTAATTTTACTCAAGATGTATTTTAGAACTGCATTGAAAATCACCATCAATTTAAAATTCAATGACTTGTTTCCCTATCACATCACCTCAACGGTCTTGTAATGTATATCCAACTATCAGCGACCTACATGTTTGTTCTTAATTTATGGTTGTTATCTTGCATGGTGCTTTTGATAATTAATGTACCTTGCACCTATTTAAAAGTAGTGAAAATGATTAGATGTATGGTTTCCCAATGAATACTGAATATTCTATTGCATCAAAGAATGAGTGGACTTAGTTAATCTTAAATACTTTTATCTATGTTAATGAAATGAGGAGATAGCATCTATTAATCACATAAGCTGTCTTTGACAATTCACCAGAAAGTATTTATTTATCACTATCTGTTACGGGTCGGCTTTGCCCGACATACTTTTGAGTTTTATGAACCGGCTGAAGTTGTGACTTCACTACGGGCTAACATGACCTTTTCATTGTTTTCCCGTATAGTAACAGTTAATTAAATCCATTCTTAAAGCCTAATCACCTAACCTAATTAGACATATGGGACTACTTAAGTCAAATTAAGGGAAAACATCTTCATTTGAAAAATTAACTACCTTTCTACCAAGAGCTTCAAACTGCTCTCATTGGAAAAAATCATAATATTTTTTACCAAAATACTATTCCTGTTCTATCTCCTTTCACTTATAGTTATACCCTTATACCAAATTTGCCAATAGTGCAGCTTAGTTTTCTCATAACGTTATTGAACATTGTTAGATAGGCTATCTTACAGTAAGATTAAGTAACATAAAAACCTTAATTTTGTGACATAATGTTCTCTGATATATTTGACATCTGATTAGCTGTCATGATTTGATCTCTTCCTTGATTAAAATCTATTGGTAATTGGGTGAGTAGTAGGTTTGTTTTAATTTCAACCTGTAAGCCTATTATTTGTTTTAACAAAAACTATAACTATTTTACTTTAGGTTGGCTAGTGGCAACAGCTATAACTAAATATAAAGGTTTAGAATAAGAAATTTAAATGGTTTTTTATGAAGTTACTTGTTGTATTTGGTCTAGCTTCTGTACCCGTGCTTTGCAACGGGAAGAACAAAAAAATAAAGTGTACCTGTTAACGTTTTAATGCTATTGAACATCATAGAACCCATCCTTAATGGTTAATAATTTTAAACAGCTGTCAAATTGCATAGATTCTTTTAAAATCCGAATTCCCATACCTAAGGTAAACATGGGAAATTCCAGAGCTGCTGGGTCAGAGCTCCAAGAGAGTTCAAGAACAGGAATGAAACAGAAACCTTTCCGGGAGTGTATATAGAACAACTTCCTAAAGTTTCATCACGATCCGTGTTCATCACGAAAACCAGCCTCTTATTTTAAATTTGGTAGTTATCGAGGCTTGTATGGTTGTATGGCTTGTAGTTATCTTGTATAAATAAACAAGGGCTTAAGATGGAGCTTGGGGGAACTCCACAGGGGGTAATATGCTACTCTGATAATTTGTTCGTATTTTTCATATGTCTATCCTTTTGTTTCTTTGTTTTTTTTTTCTCAATAGTCCCCTTTTAAGTCAGTATTTTTAATTCCATGCTTAATGTTTCAAAGAGTATCTTATGATCTGCAGTGTTGATTAACATTTTGTTGCGGCCAACTACTCGCGCCGCAGAGTTAATTCCTGTTGCCTTGTATTATAATTTCGGTTTAACAGAGTTCTGTTAAAAGTAAAACCCCATTGTGGGTTTTGATAATATAAATGAATAAAAGCTATGAAGAATACACTTGAAACTGTATTGTCCCACTATGTTTGTAGGAAGCATACAATGCTCTGCCGCTGGGCTCCAAGGTCGTCTGTCTGCTCAACGTGGTGCAGACTATGGGTCAGGCGGAGGAGGAGCGCACCATGGCCGCCGTCTTGCTGCGCAGACTCTTCACAGCCGAGTTCTCTGAGTTTTACGCCAGCGTGAGTAGTCTCGGTTAAAGTGTAGGCTACTCTATGTATCAAATAACTATTTCTGTGTAAGAGCAAGATTTGTGTGGAGCAGTTTGCAAACTCAAAATAGACAAAGTTAGTCCTTTGACTGACAGCTCTTCAATAGCACAGTCCTCATGTATTAACGTTAAGAATAATTTATTGTTCTTAATCACCAATACACTTAGTCAAGAGAATTTTGACTTAAGACAAGTGCAATACATTTTGTCAATAAATAATTTTACGTAAAAGTATTAAAAAGAAATCCCAGAACACAATCTTCTTGACATGTAATAGTTAACTGTAGATAACAAATGTTAAAATTATAGAAATTACAATTAAATAACTCTTTACTAAATTATATTTTCAGAATAATAAACTTATAATATGTGAATATCAGTATGTAAGGTTAGCTTAAAAATTAATTTGGAACTAAAGCACTCTTGGGCTTGAACACATTAAGAAACAAGTAGGAAGGATACATAACTATTTAACCACAACACAATTTGAATTCTTCTAAGTAACTTCCTTCTACAGATCCCCCTTTGAAGTGGTGAAATTTCAAATTTTGTTATTTAGGCCTATGTTAAGACTTGGTCTGTAAACTGTAAATCCTGACTTTGTCAATGATATGTTTTATTTAAACATTCTTGTTTTTTCTGCCCCTGAGCTATAAGACTTAATAAATGGTTTTAAGTTACCTGGGTCCTCCTGCCGTCGATAACCGTGACGGGCCCGTTCGATAGATTGATCTCGTTCGTAATATGTTTTGTACTTGTTCGTGTTTAAATGTATGTGTTTTTTACGTCATGTGTTTTTATAAACTTTTTAACGACGTCACAGAAAACGTACTACTATAACCCAGAATGCCAACCTCATGGTAAAAAGCATTAAGTGTTTTGAGAGAGCTTTGCCTGTCAATCCGTAGGCAGCGCCACCAGCGTTGCTATGCTATTGCATGGCAACACTGGTGGCGCTGCCTACGGATTGACAGGCAAAGCTCTCTCAAACCGCTTAATGCTTTTTACCATGCGGTTGGCATTCTGGGTTATAGTAGTACGTTTTCTGTGACGACGTCAACTTGACCGACATGTGAGCAAGAAGTTATCCTGCTGACTTGCGTGATCATGGTGCAACTCAGCATCGAAACCTGGTTGTAGAATTTTAACGACCATTTGAGCTACTGACAAAGGTAACTTAAAACCATTTATATGTTTTATGTATCCTTACTGCAAATAAAAGATTGATTGATCGAATGAAATTGTACATTCTTATCTACTTGCACTTTTCTTGAGTACTTGTATAAATGAGGAATCCTTGAAGACGTGCAGATGTAGGCCATAGAACATACTGAAGAAACACTGAACACACAATATTTTGTCTCCTGGGGGACTTTGTCAAGTGTAGAGAAAATTATAGAGAGTTTATAAAATGGCTCTTTAGTCTTTCTTGAGTAAGTTGGTTGTCCATCTACTCCTTCTTATCAATTAATGTATTGTCAGCTTGTGAACAATACATTTTTTTTACTATTGAAGTTTACAAAATAAATAGGTTAATTTTTGTATAGTACAATTCTTGTAGTTTTTCTTACGAGAATTTAAGAAAATGTTTCAATATTGATGTATATAATTGCTGACGTGCCAATAAATTATTTTATTTATTTATTTTTTTGGCAAATAAAGAGCTCTGAGTTACATAATTTTTAGAGGTGTGCGGATAGTGAATTTTCATTTCGGATCGGATTCGGATCGGATAGCTGAGGCTCGGATCGGATCGGATATTGGGAGGATCGGATTTGGATAGTTCGGCGCGGTTAATAATAAGCTGCATATGTATTTTTAACCTATAAAACAATGTAGGCCTAATCACAATGTAATAACAATGTAATGTGTAAAACATGAAAATCACAATTCACAACATTTATTTTCAAAAGTTGGTTGTTTGAATTAAGTACACTAGCAGCCGAAATCTTCACACAACACCTTAGCTCAGCAGGACTGATGTGAAACGTTTTGGCTTGTTTACTTGAGGTTATGTTTTATGTTGTTTCCTGGTTCTCACAAGACAAGGAGTTCGATCTCAAGTTTATTTTCACATTGTATTTCCTTACGTTTTTGGAACGGATTATTGGCCTTAAGTGGCATTTTGCGGGTTTGCCAAGTTTAGAAAACATAACTAATGCACTATAAGCTGGGCTCTAGCTCACGATTTGATGTTGGGCAACTAGGCTTTAACTCTGTAAAAGGTGTGTATCCCTGAATTTATAAATGTCATTCTACACTTATTCACTGCCAAACCTAATTCAGTAGAACATTGATGAACCGAGAATTACACTAGCCTACATAGCTTCATTACCCCAATTAAAATACCAAGATAATTTTTATAATTGTATTTAAATCGTATAATCTTAGTTTGTTAAAAATGGATTGTATGTTCAACAATTGCAGTCCATTATTGTTATGCAGTATGGTCCCAAATTATTGTTTTTGTTTTTGAAACATCACAGTTCATTTGACAAAATTAAAGTTGAAGCCCAATGTCAAGTCACGCTTGTGCAATAGTTTGTTTACAAGCTTTCTCCCTGAGACCACTGGGGTCTGATAAGCCGTCTATTGTTCACCCCCAAGAAGGTTCGACCCTCATTAGTGCCCTGCTGCACTCAGTGGGGAACCCAATACCACAAATCAATCTTTTAAATGAATAAAAATATTTGGTAATAATTGTTTTATTAATATTCACCTTGAAATTTTAATAAATTTGGTGTAAAATTTGACAAAAATCGGCCATTTTGACCGATTATTAATACAGTACCAAATACCAATAAAGTACATTCATTGGTAATTAAATAAAAGGTAAAAATTAACCGATTTTCGTCAAGTTTTACCCCCTGCTGTGCGCTATGTCACAAAAGCTGATAACGACATGGGTGATTAGTAACCATGGCAACTTGTTGAATGCGTGATGAAGGGAAACCCAAGAAATAGAAGAACAAAGAGAAAGAATAATGACGTTGTTATCTTTATACCCTTTTTACAAATTTAGTTATTGTTTTCTTTATGTAAGATTTTATGATTTTGTTTTATAGGTTTATAAAATAATTCTTTTTAACTAGTACGGGAATATCTTATAATATATCAACGTGATTCTCTTCTGAAACAGCAATACCGGATGCATAATAAAGGTCAATGACCTAAAATATCACGATTGTGCAATATTGTATTTTAATGTTGAAATTAAAATCACGACAAAAGTTTGTATATATCCATGGTTCCTATTGTTTAATCATTTAATTTGTACACAATCAATGCTAAATAATCGTGGTTAGTTCTAACTTTATTTTTTATTATTCAAAGTTTCTACACAATAAGACAATCCAAAGTCAAACCGGGCAATGAATACCCAAAAAACAATGTATCTTGTCCTGTGATTGGAATACCACTCGCCGGCCAGTCCTTTAGATTTAGGGAAGTAGTGCAAGTCTATATATAGCTTCAAGGTCTTACCCACCCCTTCCCCCTCCGGTCCTACTTGACTCACTACCCGCACTCCTTTCGAGGTCAATGTATGCTATGTGCTATGTAAGTCAATGCCCAACCCCTCCCACCCTTCTATTGTGTTGCCTTTCTATTCCGACTTTTTTTTCGGGAAACCTATTGTTTACGTAACATCACAGTAGTAGGCTAGATTTTTCAACTTTTGAAACAGTACTGTAAAAAAAACGATTACGCAGTGAGCGAGACAAGCACGAGTTGACTTTCATTTGACCATGGTAGTTCTTTTCTGCTTTATGTCTGTTCGTTCCAGATGAATCTAATCGTAAAGCAAAACAGCCGATAACGACTAAACTAGTTATCGGTATTGCATCATACGGCTTCTTTGCCGTTTGCTGTTAGGTCGTTGGAAACGTATTGCTGTAATTTTGTCCTGGGAAACTAATGATGGTTATGGAGATTTAGTTTTCTGTCCAAAACGTCAAAATATATTGTCTATCCGAAAAAGTCCGATATATAATGGATAGTGTCGGATATCGAATTTTGGCTTGGGTTGGATACGGATTGCAGAATCGAACCGAATCCGACCCGATTTTTCGGATATCCGCACACCTCTAATAATTTTCAAGGCTTAGGTTGTTTCATTTTTACATATTCTGTCTTCACTATTAAGCACAACACTTGATATTGTTATACGTAAACATATAGTACTTATAAAAGATTTGTGTACACGGTACCACAGAAAACGTACTACTATAACCCAGAATGCCAACCGCATGGTAAAAAGCATTAAGCGGTTTGAGAGAGCTTTGCCTGTCAATCCGTAGGCAGCGCCACCATGCAATAGCATAGCAACGCTGGTGGCGCTGCCTACGGATTGACAGGCAAAGCTCTCTCAAACCGCTTAATGCTTTTTACCATGCGGTTGGCATTCTGGGTTATAGTAGTACGTTTTCTGTGACGGTACACAGAACATATAACACTTTTAGCTGGGCAAACAATAACATATTTCAGACTAGCAAGATACCTACGCTGCCTAAGCAAGACTGACGAACTAATTCTTTAAATTATTATAAAAAACCTATTAGGATTGACAATGTAAATGTAAATGTATTATTTTCAATATAGGAGGAAAATAATATGAATAAAATATTCAAGTTTGGCTTTTTGAATAGTTGACCCCGGAAGGCCAGCAGCAGTTAAAGGAACGTCTGCTCCTGGCAGTACAGTCTGAACAACTGGACGCGATCCGCCGCAAAATTTGTGATGTGGTGGCAGAGGTCGCCCGTAACTTGCTGGACGACGACGGCAACAACCTGTGGCCAGAGTTCCTCCAGTTCCTGTTCCAATGTGCTAACGGACAGTCACCTCAGCTCAAGGAGGCTGCTCTGCGCATGTTCACGTTAGTACAGTTACCAGTCGTAAACTAGGCCTACTACCACATGAGTCCTCAAGGTAGAGATTTCCAATGACAGTAAATTTGATTATGGAACGAGATGAGAAATAGTTTGCTCCTTGATTTTTCAAATGAAACTTCACTATAAGTTTAAACTGTCTTCGTTGACAAAAAGTCAATAAATACAATTTTCAGGTTGCTTTACTAAAAATACCTAAGTTACATATCCAAAAATGCAAAGGTTTGCTTGACATTTATTAAATTATAAATTTGGTAATAATTAAGATTTTGAACACTTATTAAAATTATTTTCAGGTCTTGGTAATGACTGCCTAGTGGTAACAGAAGTTTACAAAATTTCAGGTTTCAACATATCTGAACTATAAATTGATGTAAATACTTACGTAAATTAACTGATGTAAATTCATGCGATCTGGAACCAGTTTAAACTCACATTGGAATCATTATCAGGCCAGTACAGTACAAAATGTTTTGTCACTTCATTTGAAGGTCGTCAACATGAATAATACAGTAGAGTCCCGCAAACTCGGCGTAATGTGGACTGGAAGGGTGCCGAGTTTGTGAAATGCCGGGTTATCGGGACTAGGGTTAAAAATAAGAACAAAACAATTTTTATTCCTTTTAGCTGCCTTATTTTTTTTTTTTTTATATTACAAGTCAGCATTAAGTCATTAGATATAGTATAACAAATCCTTGGTACGAGTTGCGAATGATTTGACTTAAGCCCATGTTTAACTCGGACTCAAAAAATCACTAATTTTCTGAGCCAGGTGATGGCCGAGTTATCCAGACTGCCGAGTTATCGAGTGCCGAGTTTGCGGGACTCTACTGTAATTAGAACTTGTACAAAAAGTATTTATTTTAATGTTCTTGTTTTCATGCCTGTGTGTGTGTGTGTGTGGAGGCCTACATGTTCTTTACTATTTAATGTTGACGACCTTCAAATTAAGCGACAAGACATCTTGTACTGACCTGATAATGATTACAATGTGAGTTTAAACTAGTTGCCTTCTGCATCGTTCTAGATCGTATAATTACCGTCCCATAATTACCCGACCTCAACCATTGTCCCAAATTAGGTTGGGACAATCTTCCGTCCTGTGTCAACTTAATTTTTGGATTCCATCTGATCTCTATCTTGATGTCTATATCTGATTCTTACAGATAATTGTTATGCATCTTTGTTTCATAGAACAGTTGTAGATTAATAACACAGTTTTTAATCTGAGAATATTAAATTTGATACGGTTGTTGTGTTCAGATACTACGTAACCTGGACTGTCTCCACTCGGGGCGTAAAGATACCGACAATGGAATATTCGTTAGTTGCCGGGTATCTTGTTTCTCCGAACAGGTCATTAGTGTGCAGATTGAAACATGAGTTTTACAGGTTTTGGTGGTGGAGTTTTTTAAATGCTTAGTGCTTATTGTAAATACTATTCCGACTTCACGTTTTTTTGGTAACAGGTGTAATAAGAGCTTTGGAAAGGCTTTTAATAAATTATATGGAAAATTAGCTTTAGAGTTAAATTACTTTAGTCTAGAGTTAAAAGTCCTAAGTAAAGCAATACTAACAATTTATATTTATTATCTAAAAATAACTTGAAACTGCACCACCAAAACTGATGTTAAAATGAATGTAGGCCCTAATATAAGCAATTTCAGCAACAAAAATGTTTCCAGTTTTTTTTTTACTGTTTTGACAATGTGTAGTAAATGAGTAAAGAAAGTATAGTAGTAATAAAGTGGTTTTCTCTTACTTATGAATAAATTTGGTGATCACTATTTGTTACTTAAATCTCTAGACTGGCGATATATTCAAATTTGTATGAAACCATTTTAAACAACAACTAATAATTACAAAATGTTTTTAGATCAGTCCCTGGTGTTTTTGGCAATCATCAAACCATGTACTTGAACCTGATCAAGCAAATGTTACAACAGTCATTAGTGGATACCTCGTCATATCATGTAAGTTACATGGTTGGATTGTTACATCCAAGATATTATAGAGGAACAATAAAAAACTTGAAATGTGATCAATATTTTCAATCTCGTCTGCCAATCCCACTCACTGTATTTGACTTTCAGGTCCGATTCCAAGCTGTGAGAGCTGTGGCTGCCTTTGTTCTTTTGCACGAGAAAGAAACCGATATTCAAAACCAATTCGTAGACCTCTTACCAGTGATTATCCAGGTACGAATTCTCCTATTTCACCTGTAGTAGTATGTTGAAGTAGAGGTGTGTGAGTGGCTCGAATTTAGAGATGAGCCGAGCCTAGCCTACAAGCTCGAGAGATCCAGCACAAAGTCGGAAAATCAAGCTCGAGTGTCTGGCAATGTTGTGAAGTTAAGCTGGAAGTGTTGTAAACCATTCACTTGCAGTTCTAACCTACAACAAGCTGTTGTTTTAAATAGGTTAGTGTATATGGCCCCTATTAGACGAGGTAGCCTGGCGACGTCGCCAGCGACAGTAGCTGGCGACGCACTGGCCACCAAACCTAGTAGCCACTTAGTAGCCAGTTGAGTAGCTAGAATTTTACTGCCATTACTCATTTTGTCGTGAGTTCTTGTCTTGTTACTTGTACTTGTTATGAGCGGTATGTTTACAATGAATAATGAGTGATTATATCTTCTCCTTCTGTTACTTCTGAAGGAAAGGAGGCAAAGGAAGAGAAAAATATACGTTCATCCAATGCTTAGTGCAAGTGAATCGAAAGGGTTATATTACACCCTTTTTGATGAGCTCTGTGCGGACAATAAAAGATTTTTCAATTATTTTCGTGTGTCACAATCCAGCAGTTTCTTCGAGTTGTTAGGTCTCATAAATGATGATATAACTGGAACTGATACTGGTTGCTGCTATACTCCTCTACAGCACAGTTCCAAATACAAGGGTGTTTTTCGATTTCACTAATAGGCCTAAAGTCTTCAGTGTTCAACTTTGTGTCGGCCAACTTCTGACACTTTTTCATGAGCTCTTCTTGCTTTTTATTTGCTTCTTTCTTTTGATCGCCTATCGGTGGCTATTCTTGCTTTTTCTTTGATTCTTTCTTTTGTACGACTTTCTGAGATTCTTTTTTTCTTCATATCTTCGCGTATCCCTTCGACTGAATCAGATGTAGACATTTGATCAACTGAAGTGAACAATTCACCCACTCACAACACAACAGAACGCAACACAACAGTGTGCAAGTACCCCCGTAATATGAACTGACCGAGTGGCGACGTGATACTGGCGACCTAGTGTAATAAGCTCCATATGCTACAACGCAGCGTCGCCAATATGGGTAGCCAGTGGCTACCGCAGTGGCGACGGGACTCGGTAGCCAGTCGGTCGCCAAAGTGTGGCTGCGTCGCTGGCTACCCTCGTGTAATAACATCTATAAGAATCAATGACCCTTGACAAGCTGAGTAGCCAGTTTGGTCGCTGGCGACGTCGCCAGGCTACCTAGTCTAATAGGGGCCTATGATATTGAGTTCAGTTGGCACATGGAGACATGACAGAGAGAGGGGTCTGGAGTTGATCTTAACAGACGTCAAAGGATAACATAATAAATTTATCTGGCCTTGGTGAAGCTTGGGTCGAAAGAGAACTGTAAATATCATAAAGATCATGTAAAAAGTCTTGAGATAAATAAATGAATACAAATTCATGGGAGTGTCAATCAATGAGAGAATCCTGAAAACCCCCAAAAAGTCGGAATGCAGTACTGAGTTAAAAGTCGAGAAAGCACCTTACCAGCAGGGTCCGGTTTGGGCAGTTCCCAAGGCTAGGTAAGGTCCAGGTAAGATGATGTTATGTTTTCAACTATGAGGTTTATGTTGTCTTTTTGATATATTTTTTATTGATATAATCAAATTATTCTATATTTTGGTTAATTCCTTATAAATTTTCCTTGTGTAAAAGGTTAAATATTTAATAACGTAAAAATGTGAATTTAATTTTGAAGTTTGAGTTTTACAGTGTGTATAGTGCTGGTTTGTACAACACTGGTCCTGCTCACAGGTCATTGCAGAGAGTGTACAGCAGCAGGATGATGATGCGTTGTTGAAGAGTCTCATAGACATGAGTGAGTCCACACCAAAGTTCCTCCGGCCTCAAGTGGTGCAGATTCTCGACATGTGCTTAAAGGTGAGATATGTCTGCCCAAAAATATCCCCAAAACAGAAAGTAGTCCAAAAAAGAGTCAAGTGGCATCATGTGAAAAGAATCGTGGAAGTTGATGCAGTAAAAAAAAATTATAGCTGTTTCAAAACAGTTTTAGCAGGTTGGTAAATAACTGCAAAAATCTGTATTGGCTTCACAGTTAGCTTTGTTAAAACAATCTTAATCCAAGTTAAACAGTCCTTTTTGAAATACTAATGTTTTTTATTATAGTGGTACTTAACAACCCTTCATAAATATTTAAATTTGTATTTTTATTTAAATTTGTATAAAGGGTTGCATAAATAATTTTGTCCCATTTTATTAGATCTTTGCTTGAATGAAGATAATTTAATCCATTGACAGTTTTCTCATATTAATATACATTTTTAATGTTTTAATTGCAGGTGTTTTCAAACGAGGAAATTATGGACTCGTGGCGTCACCTTGCCTTGGAGGTGATTGTGACTCTCACAGAAACTGCTCCAGCAATGATGCGCAGGGAAGCACCCAAGTACCTGGCTGTGCTGGTACCGCTGATCCTGAAGATGATGACTGACCTGGAGGACGATGATGACTGGAGTGTGATGGACGAGATATCTGACGAAGACAACGACAGCAACAACGTGGTCGCGGAGTCTGCACTGGACAGACTCGCGTGTAGCCTCGGTGGCAAGACAGTATTCCCTCACATCGGTGAGAACATTCCTAACATGATGAAACACCCTGACTGGAAGTTCAGGTAATTGCCTGCTACTGTTTACAAATGACAAATGACAAACTTTTATTGCCTTTAAAACATGTTACATGCATGGCATCGTTCGGAAAGAATACAGTTGTATAATAATGATTAGCATTAGGCCTAGTATACATCCAAGACTTCTATCAAAACATTCAATTGACTAGACCTATAGGTCTAATAGTCTAATAGTTGAAATATAGATTGGGTTGAGACAAATATTCTACAAACTCATTCACATCATATACAAATATCTAACAATAAACTTTTTAAACATGTTTTAAATTTCTTATCATCTAACAACTTAATATTTTGAGGAAGGGAGTTAAAGATTCTTTTATCTGTTTCAAAAGGTGAATTAATAGTAGCTTGATTGCACTGATTGACTCTCAAAAAACTATTTTGTCTAGTACAATGACTATGAACTAAACTATTGATAGGAAACTCATTTATATTAGACTTAATATATTGCAATAAATTTAACACATACAATACAGTTAACACTCCTAGTTTTCTAAAAAGTGGCTTACAGTGGGTTCTTCTTTAGGATTAAGTACCTGTTGCTAGTAGCACAGATTTAACATAACGTACATACATCGCTGTATGAAATTGTCTTCCTTATGGATCCACTGAAAATTACTGTAGTTTTCTTGTAGAGGGAGTTTTGTTTATGATATGAAACTTATTATTAAACAAATTCAAGAACTATTTTTACCTAATAATTCTTACTAACTATAAACAATTGATTTTTTTCCGGTGCTTTTATCAAAGAGTAATTGTAGGAAAATAGTAAAATCTATTTTTTTATATATCGATGTTATTGCACTCAAACATCATCAACATGACACCTTCCTAAAACAGGTATATATTTTATGATAGAATTATAAGTCTACTTGTTTTCTTTAAAACTACTTAACATAATGTATTAAGTGTTTGATGTCAGCTACTAATTACATGGAATTATGTTTGAATTTGTTGTACCAGGAATTATGTGGGGATTTAAAATTTCACTGGGAAACCCTAATTTTAGTCTGTGGTCACGGTGGAATAATGAACGTCTTCCACTGTCAGGGTGAAATTGTGAATATATCTGGTGGTTCACGACGAGATCGAGAACATCTTGAAATCATTAAAGAATATTAGAATTTGAAAAAGTTGCAATATAGACTATGCTAAAACTTCAGACTGACTGGTGAAATCGTGAACATTGTCTGCGACCACAGTAAAATCGAGAGCATTCTCCGAGGTGACGGTGAAATTGTGAAATTCGTTTGCAGTCACAGTGAAATTGTTTAAGTGTTTCAAGCTCATGATGGAATTGATATGGTTTTCGTCGAAATTTTGAACATCTTCCACAGCCACGATCGTGGCAAAATCATCAATTTTCGGCCCGTACTGATCCCTCGGGCTAACAGTTATTCAAGCTAACTCGACATGTTAGGATCCATAAATATTGCCTGCTCTATTATTTGTCTTCAAGATAGGCTTCTTGCAGTGCAATGCTTGTAGATTTTCTGGCAAACGAGAATTCTACCTAAGTATTGTAACTTCAGTACTATGTATTTGAAGGCCATTTAATGGTAGTAATTGAGTGACCAACATGAGTGATGGTCCAACATGGCCATTTTTTCTGCAGTTTTACTGCTATGTTATTGCGTTATCATTACGGTTTATGAATGATTTGTGTGGTTGTCATTGCAGTGTCTGTTAGTTTTCCCCTAATCTTGTTTGCTTCTGTAGACATGCTGCCCTGATGGCTATATCAGCTGTAGGGGAGGGGTGTCAGAAGTACATGGCCGACCATCTACCAACCATTGTAGACGCTGTTCTGCACTTTATCAGTGATCCGGTAAGTCATAGTCAACCCTTTAATTACTTATATTAAATACTTTCACGATAATCATATGTTTATAATCGTAACCAGTGTAAGCTTTCAAATGTAGGTCTGAATTCTGTCATCTCACTCTTTTATAATCTCACTCTTATATCATGGTTTCAGCATCCGAGAGTGAGATACGCAGCTTGCAATGCCATCGGACAGATGTCTACAGACTTTGCTCCCAACTTCCAAAAGAAATTCCACAACCGAGTTGTGCCTGGACTACTCAACTTCCTGGAGGATAATGAAAACCCGAGGGTCCAAGCTCACGCAGGTTTGTGGGTTTTTTCGTTTAAATAATTGTTGTCCTTCAATTATTTTTACCTTACGAAGTATATGTGTAGATTAGATATTTGATGTAACTATTAGGGGTGTGCGAGTACTCGAACCTTCGAGCTTTTTGGTCGAGCTTTTCATTATTCGGCTCGGCTCGAGGCATTTTGAAAAAGCTCGAAGTTCGAGCCGAGCTTTTAATACTAAGTCAAAACTAAAAAAACACTTAATTTGGGTCGTAATTGGAAACAATGTTATCACAATTCTACGTTGTTCAAGCATTCTTCAAGGTTTGATAAGCACGAACCTCAGCTCAGTCAAGACGCAATGATTATCGATCGTAATTTTGAGGAGATAGTAAAGAGACAAACTACCACCTATCGCGATGTCTTTCTAACACAGCTATTCGTATCGTAATATACAACGCAGTGCGAGTGCGTGATTGGCTCGTCGCTATGACGACACACGGTTGCCGTGACAACCTACAGTGCGCACTGAGCACTGCGCCTTGTGTGGGAGGGGAGATTGTACCAACAAACAATTTCAGGAATTCTATTTTGGGACGGATGAAAGATAAGGAAGAAACAAAAAGTGGTCACGTGTGCAAATGTAGTGGGCGACACAATAAGGCTGTAAACAAGTATCAATCGTCGTGTCGTGTCGTTGTTCCTTGTTTGTTTACTTTTTCAGATTCCTTATCCAGGGTGTCTACCAACCGGGAAATCCGGGAAAACCGGGAATTGTACTTAAATTTTTACTGGCCATGAAATGTACGGGAATTGTCCTTAAATGCCAGACAATGTCCTTAAATTTTTAATGGGCCATAATTTTATTGATCGCTAGTTGGTTAGGAGCACATAAAAGGTTTATCAGATGTTTGTTTACATTTTCATAATTTATTACTAGAGTAATTATGCAATAAAAATCCCATTAACAATCTCAAACCCATTAATATTTTATCACGACAATCAAGTGTCAAGTCAAGTACTTCCAAGAACTGTTGACTCAGCAGCTAGCTCATAAAAGTTATATCACTTTTATTCCTTTACAACTTCTTTTTTTATTACTAGGGTAATTATTATTAGATCCCAAACCTATTTTATCGTGAAAATAATAGCTTTATAATGGCTGTTAAATTTCACTTCTTACTTGTACTTGGCTTGAAGATTCAATTTACCGCGGCCAGTGCCTACTGCCATAAAACTGTTTATGGTTTCATATTAAACATGTAAATAATCTACAGTCTCATTTTGTAAGTTAACCCCTTTTTTATGGACATTTTATCTTTCAATTGACAAAACCACAAGCATTGTTGTTTGCATTAATGTTTTATCACTATGTAGGCCTGCTTGGTTTCAAATTATGTCATTGCATTTTCTGTATCTTTGTCTTATATTGTTGGCTATTCAGGTTTCAATGTTTTTTGTTTCCCATATATTTATTTATTGAGTTGTATGCTTTAAGCAATCAAAATCTTATGAACTAGAATGATAGTAACTTTGCTGCTATTATAACCTCATTGTTTGTTACTCAGTTTATATAGGCCCTCCTAAATAATTAGGCTTAGGCCTGGGTATTTTGATTCTTGAAAGAGTTGTAAAATATATTAAGAAAATGTAATTGAGCCTAAGATAAACAACTAATGATTGCTATGTGTCGATATTAACTTTACAAATGAAAATACAATAATCTTACTCTGTGCTTATTGCTTATTAATAGCCGCTTACCATACCTTGATTTTGTACTAAGAATTGAGTAACAATATGCATTCAAGATTTTTTTTTTCAAAAGTAGTCGAGAAACTAACGTTGTGCCAGGGCGAATCATGCCAAATTAATCCGCCTGGATCGGATAAGCTATGTTATGAAGTTTACGTGACGGATGGAGATATTTGTCGCTATCGCAGGAGACAATGATTGCGTTTCTCTGTTACACTATAAAAGCTTTAGGCCTACCTAAAGTATAGGTAGGCCTATGTTTGTTTACTTTCAATAAATTTCTATTTTGTAATTTTTAACTCTTATCTATTATTATTTACTTTTCTCTCTGGTACAACTACAGTGAATAACAAGATTAATACAGTTTGACAAATCAGGAAAATTATTCGGTAGGCCTAATGACACCGACAAAGGTTACGGCAAAGTGTCCTTAAATGTACGGGAATTGTCCATGAATTTTTTATCCAGAATGTAGTAGACACCCTGTTATTGATAAATGCTGTTGTTAAGTGATTAAAATAACTTAAATATATGCCACTTCAAAGAAATAAGCCGGTGTTTCTGTTAAGTAGGCCTACTAGTAAAAAATATGTAACCTACTGCACCATCTAACAATAAAAGCATCATAGTCTCCGAATCCAGTCTGAATGTTGATGTGATAAAACATTCTATTAATATTGTGGAAAGCCATATGGAGGCCTAGCTTCTGAAATCGTTTACAAAATTGCAAACGTTTTTCTTATTAATTATTCAAAGAAAATAAATTATTTAGTCAGTATGCCTTCAAAATGAAAACTTCAAATTTTGTTGTCGCTAACTTATGGTTTCCTCAGGTAGACTAAAACATAATATTCCTATTAAAAATTTAAAATTAATTTTATATGAACAAATTGTTAGATGTTAGTCTCTACAAATCCCAAAGTCTCTACAAATATTGAAGTGGCAATAAGTTAGTCCTACTGTATAACCGTTCTTGGTATAGTAGCTTTATTTTGTAAAATTTAAGCACAGTCTGTCTAGTAGTTTTTACTATGTTGAATAACACACATATATACAGACACCATGAGATTGTTATATAATAGTGTAGATTAACAAATTAACAAAGGAAATATTTAAAGTTCATCTATTTCCACATTCATCGTACTTACAATACGATAAATGCAACCAAAAACACTATGTTTGTATATTTTTAGTTTTAGACATATTGCGGTATGTTGCAATTTTTCACTAAATAAACAACCTAGATTACAATTTTGTCTATTTTACCATACCTTAAAATCTACTAAAATATGTTATTACGTATTTAAATACTTTCATTCATTAATACAGAGCAGCAATACTCTCATTGATGTTCATAGCCTAGCGCGTGTGAAGACGGACGCAGAAGGGGTGTGATTGCGGCGTTGCCAGTTCGAACGTCGCGGCCTTGTATTAGAGGTGGCTGTGCTACTAGACATATTTATAACGATAAATATCAAATAAAAAAACACCATAGGTGAAAAACGGAGAACTCTGGGAACCTTGAAGCGTGAGCGGTGACATATGAGAGCAGGCTCCGTCCTTCGTGACTCTTCAGACCTCAACTTATTAACTCTGTACATTAGCTCAGGGGAGAGCGAAATGATGTTCAATCGGTTTCTTAGACAGAGGCATTTGAGGTGTACAGTTACTATTGAAACTGCTGGCTGATGATAACGCATATTTTTCTATAATATTAAATGCGATCAGAGGAAAACTTCATTGTGACACCTTTGAAGGGTTAAGTTAATGAAAACTCTAAAATAGTCTTTCACTGAAAATCACCAGGTATCATTTAAAAGGTTGGTTAAGGGCATAACAAACAGACCCAAACTTAACCAAACTCTGCCAACACCAACTATAAATGCAGTAGCAGCAGCAGCAGGGGGTCCGCGAAGCTTTTCAAATTAGTTAGGAAAAAAATAGTCAAATATAAATTAAAATTTGCATAGTTTAAGACTGCTCATTGTGTCCAAAATAAATCTGATTATTTATTGTTTACATACTGATAAATAAAGTATGTAACATAATACACTAACAAATGAAAAAGAATAAATGCATATCTGCAATCAATGGAACAATATACCGTACCATTTGCGCCCTCCTGGATAAATAACCTGCAGGTGCCCTCGAGTAATTTTGTGATCTTTGCAACAGCTACCCAGCTAGGAGCGTTGCTAAATAAATACTCTACTCAATTTGAAAATATAATATATATATATATATATATATATATATATTAGGCTATATAAGTTATATGTCCGTTAGCACGATCACTCGAGCAAAAATGATTCTATTTTGATGAAATTTGTTATAAACGTGTAATCCTACATTTATTCTAACGAGTTTGCAAACCAGCATGATCCGACCATGGGAACAGGGGTTTATGGGGTAACAATGGGTTTTTCTGTTTTTACCCTAAAACAAAAAGTTTTGAAATTTGTTTCTAAACCATTTTGTAGAGCTTGAAAAAAATTTAGTATTAATGAAGCGCTGTTGTTTGCCTAAGGGTTACGGAGAAAATTCTAAAAAAGTTTAATTTAAAATTCCCTTGTTATTCTTATGGAGAAAATGGAAACTGTTGTAGTTTACGTGTTTATGGATATATATGTTGATAAAATGTTGCAAATTTATCTATTTCAGTATAGGACTTTGACGTATGGTCAAAAAACACTTTTAACATTGCCCGTAGTAGCAAACCTAAGCACTTGTTAAATCTAATGTTATTTAAATTGGGAATAAATATTTCTTATTTATGGAAATATTTGAGTAAAAATGTAATCAGACAAGTTGAAATTTGCTTAGTCTGCAGGTTTGCTGCAGCGGGGTATTTAAACCTATTTTGGTAAAATTTCTATACAAATCCAGACATTTTCTTTATGCGTCAAATTTTGATTACTGTTTAATACTTTTGTACAAGTGCATTTTTGTGTAGTTAAACATCATCAAGCATTAGGCCCATTATTTTAAAATATGCACCAAACCAACAAATGAAAATTTTTACTTTTGTTACCAAAAGCACAAAAACTTAGACCTTGACATCTTGCCTTATTCTTACTTTTGTTTGTTAGAATTTAGTGATAAAACATTATGTTTCACTTTGCAGATTAAAAAAACCAAATAACAATAGAAATTAAAAGAATAATGGATGCATGTTACATTTTCTACATTCATATTAATTTCTCAGTCCAAGCTTGACTTTGGATATACAGCTAGACATCACATGTCTTTAAATGAGCTGCAGACAAGCCATGTTAGGCTTTTG